TCACTTTCTTCTTGTGGCAACAAACAACAATTAGAGACGCAAGTCGCATGCCGAGGCACGTATTAAGTGGAGCCACGTGGAGTACGTTGTGGAGTGCATAACATGCCCACTTGACGCACAACCACTTCAATTCTTCACTGCTCCACCACCACCTCCACCTGCTCCGCCAACCCCTTTTCCATGGGCCATTTGGAGGCGAAACATGTGGGCGGCGGCAAGGGGCGACTTGACGAGTTGACTTTCTTTTAGGCTGAGTTGCAACTGGCCGACAACACTTTAACAATAACAATGTGTACATGTGGGCTGAGAGATGTATATATATATATAAATAAATAAATATATAAATATATATATATATATATATATATATATATATACATACATATGTGTGTGTGTATGCTTATTATTTTCGGCTTAATTTGCTGCCGGTTGTTGCTTGGCTTTCGTCAATGATTATGTCGATTGTTGTTGCTATTTTGCTTATTAGGGACAGGTGCGTCATAATGCCGCTTATTAAGAGGCGAATATTTATTTGGCTCTTGTGTCTCTCTGTTATTTTCTGGCATATTATTACTTTTTTTCTTTTTTGCTCCCACACAAAATATTCTAATTTGTGCAACTCAAGCCAACAGCCAAGTTTAATTGTTATTCACCGATTTCGGTTCGATATTCGCCTATGACCCAAAAACGAGCATGGCAAAGCGTAATGAAATAGTATAGTAAATAATTTAGTTAACCTATAAAATGCATCTACAACTAATTTGAAGGACTGCTGTTCAGCGAACAGGTCCAATGTTGGGAAAAATATGATTAAATATTAAATATGATTTGTAAAAATGATTCCCAAAGCACATAAAAACCAATACCAGATTCAAAAGGTTTAAGTACTGGTAATAATAATAACATCGGGTCAAACCGCAAAAGGATTTCACAAATGGAAAACTTTAAATGTCTGGAAATAAGTCCTGTTCTGTGAAATCCCAAAAAAAAAACAAACAAATTGAACAAAATAAAATGTTAAAAAATAGTAAGTCAAATTACAACAAGTAAAATACTGCAATGAAAAGAAAAGTCAAACAAGTACGAGTATTCTAGTCGAGACAGTTCGACTGGAAGATATCAAAAGTGGAACATGTTTTAGATGCCTTTATTTTATGTCAAGATATATACATATATATATTCATACCTCGTTAGAAAGATGCATCTTTCCAATTATGGTTCTCAGTGTAATCGACTAATAACCAGGAGGAGAGTCATCGATCAAGTGACAGGCTATGTGAGAACATGCATTCCAAATTTCAAGACAGATCATGAAATATATATATATATATATATATATATATATATATATATATATATATAGGGTCAGAGCTATTTGAATACATATTCAATAAACCCTTTTGGGTTCTGGGTGTACAAATAATAGTTTTTATTTATGAACTGTAACTGAAGTGGTCTAAGTGGATATGTACATATATATATATATATATGGAAATTATATAGTATTTATTGCGTGTACTTTTGCTATTGGCACACGCAACAGTAACAGCGAGAGTAACGGTCAAAGTGAAAGTAGCAAGGACGAAACAACTGAAAGCACAACTGCAAACAATCAGCCAGCGAATTGTCCTTAACCCAACAATTTCCACCGTTTCTAAATATGATTGTGAAATTAGTTTGTAGAAAACAAATAAATGTGTGTAAATGTGTGTAAATGTGTGTGTGTGTGTGTATTGTATGTGTGCTTTTATGCAAATTGGCTTCGATTTTATAAGGGGGTGGTGGACTTGATTGCCGAGTGGGTCAAACAGCTGCAACAGTTGTGACATTGAAAGCACCACACTTCCCCGCTCGGTCCTTTTCCAAGCTGAACCAGAAGGAGACGCTGACTTTACCAGCTGCTGGGAAATTGGAAATGTGTTGCCTACTTTGTTGAGTCAACTGTACCACAGAGGACAACAACAACCAGCATTTAAAGGAGAGCGGCACACTAAAAAGGATTGCAATTTTGTTGCTGTTCCTGATGATGCAATCCGTTGAAAAGAACAGCCACTCAAGAGTCATAAAGTCGCTAACAGTTATTGGGCCAAGTGGCAGGCTGTACAGTGACCAAATGTAGCAAGTGCTCCTTTCATATACACCGGGGAACTTTGTGAAACTGTTGAAAATGCCACTTAACGTTTCTAATGTCGAATAAATATGTCCCGATATCAAATTTAATTGCAATTTCAAATTTCTTAATCATTTTATAGCTAGAGTCAGTTGGTGGAAACGCTGTGAAGGGATTTAATTAAAACTGAACGGGCACACAGACACACACACAGACACACACACACACACACACACACATACACACACACACACACACAGTTGGGGCAACTAACAAGTGTGGGTGTGCAAAATTGTTAAGCCTTAAATCTGGTCAATTTGAATACATAGTTTTGTTCGTTGTTGTTCTTTGTGGCTATCTTTGTTGTTGCTGTTGTTGCTGTTGTCGCTGTAAGCGTTACTTTTAATTAAGGCAAATGGTGAAATGCACTTGTTGTTGTTGTTAGTGCTGCTGCTGCTGACCTTAATCTGCGTGTCTACCTATGTGTCTGTCAGTGTGTGTGTGTGTGGCTTGCTTGTGGTCACAGACACACACAAACAAATATGTAGATATATACAGGCATATATACATATATATGAAGAAGGACAAGAAGAGACACTGCAAGAGAGACAGAGAGAGAGGGAGAGAGAGGGAGAGGGGATGACTCGAACAATAAACTGGGAATAAATAGCGTTGACACGGATATAGCTATATGGATATATGGATATGCAGGCACAAGTCACAAGGCACAAACTCTCCACTGGCCATGCCACCCGGCAAATTGGGTGGTTTTGGGGCGCACGTACGTTTCGCCGGCGTCGGCCATTTTGTGCAATCCAAAAATATGGCCTGGCCGCAGAGTGGAGTGTTCAACACGCTGCAACTGGGTGAAGGTTGTGTCGCAGCAACAGCAGTGGCAGACATCAGCTCAGAGCCACAGCAGAGCACATCAGCAGAATCAGCAGTCGCAACAAATTCATTTCATTCCATTTCAATTTGTGTGCAATGGCATTTGTTGCTGTTGTTGTTGTTGCTGTTGCTGTTGTTGTTCTTGCTTATACAACACTTAATTTGATCACAAGCACACACACACGCATACACTGCGAGAAATGATGCTGCCAATCAGTATTTACGCCAACGCGTGTGTTTATTACGCTTTAATGTAATCTCTTGATGTATTTCAATGAAAAAATCGTCATTTGTCGCTTGACATGATACCGTGATGCAGATACCCTGTAAATAAAAACCCACTTTCCGAAGGTATCATAGTATATTGATTTTGTGCAATGTCCATCATGCTCTCTGTGCGGCCGTCTGTCTGTATGAACACAACTTTTTTCGACGTCCTTGAAGCTGGAGCCTTGAAACTTGGACATTTACTGGTCTGTGCCCACGTCACTCAAAGTGCTCAACGAAGTGCTGAGTCCACTAGGAGCCTCGCAAATCGATAAAATCGATAATCGCCAATTGATAAAGCCACATATCTCCTGCAATTTAAGGGCTCCAGTCAGAAAATTCGGTTCGTAGGTTGTTGGCGATATCCTTAGATAGATTACTAAGATCGTACTCCAACAATATTTTTAGCGATGCCCCCTTCCGCCCCAAAATTCTCTAAAGTCCACATCTTCCGTAATTTAAGAGCAAAAGTTACCAAACTTGAAAGAGGAAGCGTACTGGGAAACTCTCCCAACTGGCATCGCTTCCTCTTCCTCGACGCTGCTTATTGACTTAATATATAATATATACATCTTGGAATACTTATGCTGTATTGGGTCTGAGCTCTCATAATTGTGAAACTACCGTTCTTATATACGCATATAGCTGATGCACATTTATCATATATCTATTTAAGTATGTACATTTATTTTTATGTGCTCAGCTAATTCAAAGCAGCCTCAATCTGGACACTTCTGAACAATGCAGCAAATGAAATACGCATCAGAGCCACCCACGAACTTTTGCAATTTCCTTTACAAATGCCAGTGTCACCATCTAAATATATAAATATACATATACATATACATATATATATATATATATATATATATGAATGTTTTTTGAAAACATGACGAGTCATTTGACGCAACTCATTTGTTGAAATAAGCTGACACTTTTACAATTTTTAGACAAGCAAACAAATTGCTGACTTGTTTATGTTAACCAGAGAAAAGATAATAAATGAGTTTTCTCTTTGGTCCAGTTAACATACTATTCAGCTTAAATAATATCGCTCGGGTAACCGAATAACTCTTATTAATGAACCCAATGAAATGAATCAGTTGGCCATAGCCGACAGACAGTTAAGACTTGTGCCTCTTTAGTAGAATGTGTGGTCTACATATGTTTGTATGTATGTACATATGTATGTATATATTCATGTTATATTTACGTGTGTATGTATGTATATACACAATGCAAACTTCAAGAGGGGGGACGCAAGGCATAACCTTGTTTTCTAAAAAGACTGTAGTTTTCAACAGATTTTCACACTCACAAGTCACAAGTGTTGTCGTCTTCACACCTATTTTACTGTCCAGGTGTCTATATACATAATCATTGTGGGGTCAAAGATGTCTCCTTGATTATAATACTAAAAATAGTCCGCTTGCTTGCGTGTGTTACATATATATCTTTCTAATCACATTTGACATTAATGGTGGCGGATTGCGGACTGCGGATGGCGACCAGTTGACCTTAGCATGTGTCTAAGAGAACCTCATTATAACCAAACACACACACACACCCACACACACATACCTACCTAATATAAGCATAGACACGTGTGCAGTGGCAATGATTGTTGTATTTATGAAAATGCGTTGTAATTTGTTGGGCTCATTAAGATTCAATAATCGTTCAATCGTCGAACAACATCAAATTTCTAATGTGTATTTTGTATTTGCATATTTAGGGCGGGTATCCGGCACGCCTGAAGAAAGTGCTGATCGTGACGGCGCCGCTGTGGTTCAAGGCGCCATTTAAGATACTGCGTCTGTTTGTGCGCGAGAAGCTGCGCGAGCGTGTGTTCACCGTATCGGTGCCGCAGCTGAGCCTGCACGTGCCGCGCAAGGCGCTGCCGGTGCATCTGGGCGGCACGCTTCAAATCGAACACGCCACATGGTTGCTAAATTGCCGCAAATCGATGACGAATCGTGAAGACGAACTGCTTGCCAATATTGTGGTGGGTGTCGCTTGCGCACCACTCGCACCAGCAGCAACAGCAGAAACATCTGCAACAGCGACGCCGCTAAGCAACGGCAGCAGCAGCAGCAGCAGCAGCAGCAGCAACAACAGCAGTGGTGCTGCCAACGCCGCGACATCAACAATAATCAGCGCCGTACATCAGTTGGCCGAGAGCAACACAACGGTTGTGACAGTTAGTGGCGAGCAGAGAGCAACAGCAACAGCAACAGCAACAGCAACTGCAACAGCAACAGCAACTAGCAACAGCAACAGCAACAACACCGAATCGGAGTCCAACGAGAACATCACAATAAACGGACTAAGTCCAACGCATCGGACTCCCGTTGGCAGCGCAGGCGGCGCGTTGCTCAAGCTAAATACCAGCGGCATACAGAGTAACGGTGCTGGTGGTGTTGGTGGTGGTGCAGCTGCTGGGACTGCCATTGCAGCAGCGACAACAGCAACGGCGTCAGCGGCAGCAACTGTTGCTGGCAGCGCTGTCAACGGCAGCGCCGCTGGTGTCGCTAGCAACGGTAGCGCTGGAGGCGGCGTTGGCGTTGGTGCCGGTGAATTCTGGTCGGAAAATCCACCCAGCAGTGCCTCATCTGGTTTCAGTGATGACGACAGTCTGGCCGGCCAGGAGGGAGACCCCAAAACGATTGATCTAATCGTTCAAATGGTGCGAGAACGCGGACGCCAAGGCCTAATCAGAGAGTATGCGGAAATCCGAAATCGGGCGCCCGAGGGCACCTTCATCCATGCGCGGTAAGTGTGACATGACCAAGCATCAGCTAACCGAAAGATAACCAACTTTTTTAATTTGCAGCATGCGCAACAATCTGACCAAAAATCGATACACAGACGTGCTCTGCTATGATCACAGTCGTGTGGTGCTGTTAGGCGAGATAGTGGATGGCGCGATTGTTGATTACATAAATGCGAATTTCGTCGATGGCTATAAACAGAAGAATGCATATATTTCAACTCAAGGTGAGGTCGCCGCAACGCCGCGTTTATCGATTCTCTTACTCTTACTATGGCTTCCCAGAGAGACAACAACAATAATACGAATATCAATTGGCATCGTTACGTTTTGGTTTTTGTTTTTGTTTTTGTTTTTGTTTTAATTTTTGGTTTCGTTTCGTTTCGTTTCGTTTTGGTTTGGCTTTGGCTTTGGCTTTGCAGGTCCATTACCAAAGACATCCTATGACTTTTGGCGCATGATCTGGGAACAACATTGCCTAGTTATAGTTATGACAACGCGCGTCATGGAGCGCGGACGTGTGAAGTGCGGCCAATACTGGGAGCCGACTGACGATAGTTCCTTAGAGTTTGGAAATTACCATGTGCGAACAATTAGCGTCGAGTGCAACGAGGATTACACCGTTGCATCCCTAGAATTGAGAAACCTAAAGGTTAGTTTGTTGCTCCCGCCGGTTGCTGAATTCTGAATTATTCTTTTGCATTCGCATTCGCATACGCATTTTCAGACTGACGAAATTCGCAATGTGTCACATTGGCAGTTCACCAGCTGGCCGGACTACGGTGTGCCCAGCTCCGCAATGGCCATGCTTAACTTTTTGCAGAAGGTGCGCGACAAGCAGGCACAGCTGGTCCACGCACTCGGCGACACCTGGGCGGGTCATGCGCGCGGCCCCCCAATTGTGGTGCACTGCAGCGCTGGCATTGGACGCACCGGTAAATATTTTAACTAACCGTTAACCCCATTAACACGAGTACAAGTAGAATCACAAACTGCTGCCGAAATACACGTTTATTGATTGAAATCTTAGACTGTCTACAATTATGTTTATCCTTAACTACGCACACCTTCTCAGCTGCAAATGCGTCTGGACTCATTCTTATATCACTATATTTGCTTCCAAGAATTATAACAGATTATAATAATAATAATAGATTATCATTTAATGATTTAATAATCCAGCTTTATAGGCAACCAGCTATGAACAAACTTTAGGCAGTGCCCAATGTCAAAATAGCTTAAATCGATGTGAGATGAGAGCATTGATTTATTGCATTAAAGTCTTTAGTTCGGTTTGAAGATATATTACATATATGCATATATGCATAACACAGAAAATTCTTCCTTAATAAATATGAAAAAAAAGCAAATGGAGAGGGAAATCGGTGATATCTGAGCTTTAGCATATTGGCATACCATATAAGCATTGCGATCCGATTACTAATCGTCACATTTGTTTTGTTTATTAGGCACCTTCATCACGCTGGACATATGCATATCGCGTCTGGAGGATGTCGGCACGGCGGACATACGCGGCACGGTAGAGAAGATACGCTCGCAGCGCGCCTACTCCATACAAATGCCAGATCAATATGTGTTCTGCCACCTGGCGCTGATCGAGTACGCGTATTCACGCGGCATGCTCCAAGCGGTTGATTTGCCAGGCTTTGATGAACGGGAACAGGACTCCGAGTAGGCGGTAGCAGCAGCAGCAGCAGCAGCAGCAGCAGAAGCAGCAGCAGCCACCCACAAGGAATACAAATTGTATACAGATTACTTATATTATTGTCATTTTTTACAACTATTATTATTATTTTTATATATATATATATAAACATGCATATATTATTATGAATTGAAATTGTAATTTTGTATTAGAAGAATGTTTCATTCGTTCGTTCAATCAGACGCATAGGCAAGCAATTTATGTTTATTATCATAATATTAATAATTCTAATCTTTTTTTTTTAATGAAAAAAAAAAAAAACAAAACCCAACAACAACAACATACCAACATTTATATATATCAAATATGTATATGAAAGAGAAAGAGCAAGCGAGAGAGCGAATGATACAAGTTTAGCAATGTTTCGATGTAAGCGGCTGGTAATTGTAAAGTTGACTATTTTTTTATGTTTCTTATTATTATTATTATTATTATTATTATCTTATTATTATTATTTATGTAAAAGTGAAAAGGTGGAACTTCAACTGCTTAAAGTTGCAAGTTGCTTAACCATTTCTAATGATGTATGTAGTAAGTTTGTATGTGTGTGTGTGTATAGATGATATACATACATACACACGCCTACCTACATAGTATGTATATGTATATGTATATGTATGTATACACAAATTTTTAGTAATGTACGTGATTTAATATTTAAAATGCATTATTTTATATAGAATAATTTCAAGATTACAATGATGCTTATTTTGTGTAAACCCAAACAACCACACCTCCCCAACCCAACACCCCTAGGCCACTCCCACTACCCCAGCCAGCTTCCTTGCAAACGCCTTCATTATTAACATGAATTGTAATTGTAATTGTAATGTACATTTATTTAAATTAAATTAAAATTGAAAACAAAAACAAAAAAACAAAAATAAAAACGTAAACAAAATACAAAACTAGATAAAAACAAAAAAAGATCAGCATTATGCGAAATAGCAAAACAAACAAAAACAAAATGAGAAAAAAAATCAAATAAAAGAATAACATGCTAAAAAAAACAAAATATATATATATATATATATATATGTTTAATTAACAGTCACACAAAAGTTAACTACGTAAGAAATGCAACTTGCTAACAATTATGTTCAGATGACGCTTAGAGAGAAACGCGGTAAAGTACAACGAAACGAATCGCAAGGCTAGGCCGGTACCGAATCGTAACGAACCGAACCGTACCGAACCGAACCGAACCGAATTGAGAGGAACAGACAAGAGTCCCAATCAGAAACAGTCCCAACCCAAAGAGAGAATACAAGTTGATACCGTCCGGTGCAACGACGGCAACGGAGATGAGTCTAAAGTCAATAAATAATTAAATTAAATAATAATTATGAATTAGACACAGCAGCAGGTTCACAGTGGTTCATAGCAATTCAAAAGAATTTCTTGTGCGATTCTTTTAATTTTGCTGTCGTGTTTTGTATACTTTTATAAATGTATGTACTATATTGAATAATAATACAAATAATACAATTTATGCAAATTGCTGCAAATTTCCTACAATCAACTACAAATCAGAGAGAAAAGTTACAACATATACATACGTATTCGTGCATAAATACAGACACACAGAGAGTAATGCGTGTAAATCAAAGTAATAAGCATAAATTGTTAAGCATTGTTCAACTGTTGTTGCACACACACTATTCCTACTGACAAATAGCCACAAGCAGAGCAGAGTTCAAAGTGCACAGTATACATAGTTTGTCCCTCGAGCAGCATTCTCCAGTCCGCCTCCCTCCTGCAAGAAGTTACCCCACCAGGCCCCATCTAGAAGTCAAATCGCTTTTTAACGAACAACGTTAAACGTAAGGAGATGAAGAAAATAATAATAAATACGTAATGATAAACAACAAAATCGAAATAAAACCGTCGTACTAGCTGTTGAATGTTATCGCGTATGATTTTTTACTATTTTTGTTTTGGTAGCATTACATTTAGGTTCTTCGACATTTCATTTAGAGCATTTTTCAATGTAGATCACATCGAACTCTACATGTAGTAGAATTGACTAAGTAAATATATAAATGATATGATATACATACATAAACACATATTAATGAGAGTCGCAGATATATATGTATAACTATATATATACAGATTACATGCCTTCTTCTCATGATTTTCATATACCAGGCGAAAAACTAAAACTTCTACTAAAATCAACATATTTTGTATTACCTTTTTAAATACTAAAAGATTATTATGACAAACAAAATAACATGAATTAATGAAAAAAAAAAATGAATATTTAGTTGTTGTGTGTAGCAGGGAATGCAAATAAGGCAGCAAAGACAAGAATATATATTAAATAACAGCTTTCTTAATGATTAAGCATGAAATATATTAAAACCAGCATAAACATGCAAGGTTTGTTTGCCAGTGCAAACTTTGTGCATGTGTGTAAAAGTATAAAAGTTGAGAAGTATTATAAATATATAAGTATGTATGTTGATGTACATGCATATGCATATGCATACATTTATTGCATGTCTACATCAAGCTGACATTCTCACGTATACATATGTATAACAGTATTTCTGGTGCGAATTTAGTAAGAGAACAGATTTAAGAGTAACAAAACACACATACTTCATTGGCCACACATATACACACACACAGACATACATACATCAATTTGTATATCATTAGAAGAAAAGCTGTGATCAACATAATGCAAAAATTAAAAGGTAACCTTACAAATTATCCTGCTTGCACACTAGTCGTACCAAATTCCACACAAGTTGCAAAAATTAAAAAAAAAAAAAACAACAAAAAAAAAAGAAAATCAAATCCTACCTATAATGAATGCCAGTCAATACATAAGCTTATAAACATCTTAAAAAAAAAACATTTTCAATTTTTGAAGGCCTTTTCGGAATGTGGTCGAGAGCACATCTAATCCAGATGCAAACTATTACTCTATTCAAAATTCAAAATGATGCTCTATTTTTATAATGCTTCAAATATAATGAATTAAAATCAAAGTACCATATTATAACAACATATGCACACACACACACACACACACACACACACACACACACACACACACACACACACACACACACACTCACACACACACGCATACATATGTATTCAGAGATGTATATAATCGTCAATGTCAATATTTTGTTGTGTACCCAAAAGTGAGGTTTTATTTCAAATCCATTATATATGTATGTATGTATGTACATACTTGAAAATATACATACAAATATATGGCAATGGTATACACACACATATATATATATATATATATATTTATGTATATATTATCTGTAAACTATGTATATGATAAAATGATTTAGCAAAATTTCTTCAAGTGTAATGTATAATTAGCTAGAATTACTACACACAAACAGACACACATACACTTGCAATCGGGTAACATGCATTTGTCTTGCTCTGTCCCATGACCAGGCTCTCTAAGAGGCAGCTTGGCATATAAGCAATCAAATGTTGCAAATGTGATTTTGCATCCAGTCTTTGGCTTTCTGAAAGCTTTCGCTGCACTGGCAGGGATCACACACACACACACACACACATACACACAAATTTAACTAATAACAGAGAACAGAGAGATCGTTATCCAGCCCACCCAACTTCTGCGCATCTAAAAATACCTAATCTAAGACAAATACATACTTACACAATAATTCTATTTAACACACACGCTACTCTCTCTCTCTCTCTCTATCTCTCTCTCTCTCTTTCTCTCTCTACTCCTCTACATAAATATATACACATATATATACATACATACATACATAAAACCTACCTAAAAAGTAGCACTTCCAATGCCCAGCTCAAAACTTTGTAAATACATAATAAGTCCAAGTCCAATTAAAAGGAAAACAAGGAAAACTAATTCAAATGCGGAAATCTAAGCCGGTCGGTCACATAACAAATAAATATTTAAGTGCATATATGTATCTTATCATTTCCATTATAATCTAAACAATATTGACAAGCAAAAACTGAAAATGAAAATAAATCGGTATATGTAAAGCGAATTACATTTGCTAAAAAAAAAAAACAGAAGGAAAAGAAAACAAAAATCAAAATGCAAAAAATGATACCAAACACAAATAAAAGTAATTGAAATTGTGAACAAAATATATATAGACAACAACAAAAATTATAATCCTGGTCATATTTTCTATGGTTTGGATACATTTTTACTTTCAATACAGACATCATTATTTTAAAAAAAATCTTACAGCTTACTTTTAGGATGAATTAAATTGTAAGGGCAATTGCTTTTTTAATTTACAAAATCGCTAAATCTACCTAATCCGTGTGATTTTTGAAGTACATGGCGCCTTAAATTCACATGGACCAACTCTATGGATCTATTACTTAAGGCAGTTATTTAAAAACCAAATACTTGAATAATTTCAATCGTAGAGCGAGTGGAAGTGGGTCAAGACGCAAAGTCGCTTATAGCTTGAAAGGCAACGGGATGATATGAGGGTACTTTGATCAACTTAAAGCCCTCGTTAGTTCGACTCGTTTGGCACATATTCGTTTGGATGTATATTCTGATTTGGCATACAAGGTCTATTTGTAGGCCCTAAGACAGCCGCATCACCAAGTTACAGCCGAATTTCAGGGCTTACAACGTTCATCCTGTAGAACTCTCGACTGAAATATTTTTGCAGGGTCTGAAAATCCTTGACTGAATCGATATGAAACCCAGCTCAATTTTCTTGCATTTAATTTATGGAGTCATCACAAAGTGGCCTAAATCGACCATAACTCTTTGGAAGTACTTTAAAAATACTAAGTGTGATCTATTTTAAATATTTCCCGCTTTTAGGTGTATAAGCTAAATAATTTTATCGATATAATTTAAACTATTTAAAATATTATTTCAAACACACGTTATTTAGCTTTCCAAATAAAAGGCTCATGTTTATTGATTCATTAATTAATTATAGTTCATTTATTCAATAAATACACGCACATTAATAATACAATAAAACATTCTCATGCATCAAAAAGCGTTTCTCTATATAAGTATCTCGATCTCCAATCTATATCTTAAGTTTGTCTTTCCTTTTTTGTTTTGTTTTGTTTTTTTTTTTAATTGCGTTAAACTAATGCGAAAATAAATCACCATTTTGTAGTCGTTCTTTTATTCTCAATAATTTTCAATACTTATTTTAAAAATGTGTCTTCATTTTTTATTTAATTGTTAGCTAATAAATTTCGTTATTTTGATTTTTGGTTAATATTAATTTGTATGCGCTGGAAAATACAATAATTCCAAAGCAAATCACTGGCCCAATGGCTGTAGAATCAATCGATTGTATATATTTACGTATGTATGTATATGTATAATATACATCTATGCATGCATGTGTGGCTATGCTCGTACATATACATATACTTCTAAATACATACATACATATATATTCTCGTACATTATCGGCTTTTGTAAATTTGAAGACAATACACTTAAATTTAGTACAAATTTGTTTTTTTGTTTTTTAGTTGCGAATAGTATAATTAACATACGTATTTTTAATATTTACCCATCCCAAAATGGAATGAATAGCTAATAACGCAGACATCTCAAGAGATTTGTTTAAGGCTAAGGAATTACAAGCTATTTAAGTATTGGCGTAGAATTTTTCGTAGGTTCGTTTCTCTTCTCTTCATAGTTTTAGGTTTTATGGAATGAGCTGAGAAAATAGTTTTTTTTTTTTAATTTTCTCTATGAATTTGAAGACGAACTTTAATATGGTTGTAAGTTTAAGTTGCCAAGTTGCTTTGGCCAGCTTTTAGATCCTACGCACTGAGGACTGCAATTTTCTCATTGATTAAGGGGCGTCTGTGTATGCATGGGTGTGAGTGTGTGTGGGTGTGAGTGTGTGTGGGTGTGTGCGAATGTGTGTGTGTGTGTAAATCTTATGGCTAATGACTGCGATGTGCGGCGCACTGTGGCGCTGGCAAAATGTTTGTTTTTGAGGTAATGGTAACGGTAACGGTAATGGTAACGGTAACAGTAACGGTAACTATAACGGCAAAATCAAAGCGGCAATATTCAAACCATATCAAATTGCAAGCAACCAAATTCGTCACCAAATAATATCCTTATTCGTATTTAGCATTTGCTTTATGGTAATCAAAAAACAAAAAAAAAAAACAGTCTGTTTAAGCTAATCGATTTACTGGCAGCAGCAACAACAGCAACAGCAACAACAACAACAATATGTGTGTTTGTCTGTGTAATTACATGCCAGTTCGAAGCGACTAATACATACAAATTGGAAAAAAAAACACCACAAATAATTATTAAGTAAATAAATAACGCATGTCAGCATCGACAACAGCAACAAGAACAGCAACAACAAACACCATCAAATATCACGCATCAGCAGCAGCAGCAGCAGCAGCAGCACAAGCCAATTGCACATCCAGATCCACATCCAGATCCAGATCCACATTTCTCATCCAGTCGGATTCTATAGTATCGTGGTAGGGTTATTCTGCTGATTAAATTCACTCAATGCCAAAGGTGTTGGTCTCCTCGACGGCAAGTAGGAGCTTCTCATAAAGCAGCTCCGGCGTGGGATACGGCGGCAGATCCAACCGGTTGAAGCAGGTGTGCGCACGGGGCAGCGAGTTTGGCTTGCCCCACTTCTCGATGCAGAAGCGTCTGGGGCCAGTGGAGCCGCGCAGCGCGGAGAAACCCTCGTAGGGTATGCTGGATGTGCCCGTGACGAACTGAAGCAGGCGCAGTCGCTGCTCATTGCTGAAGCGTTCGATAACCTGCCAGAACCAAATGATCACTTGGTGGTTGTCATGGTAGCCCGAACGGTATTCGGTATTTAGGCGCCAATCGTTGGTGTCTATCTCTGCGGTGCCGGCAATGACCAGCTCCAGTTCGCGGGCATCGAAGACGGAGACGAGCCGTGAGTCAACCACCTCGTAGAAGCCGCGCACCAGCGACTCCGTTTGCTCCTGGACGCCCCGTTCTAAACGCCATTTGATCATGCGCTCCAGATACTCCTTCTTGTTCTTCTCATGGACAATGACATTCCTGCCACCCGGCTTGAGTTCGCGCTCGACAACGCGACCGAGCAGCTCCTCGGTGACGCAGAAGGTGAGTCCCAGGTCGATGCCGGTGCCAATATCGTTGTCGCGAATCCATTGCAGCGACTGATGGAACTCATTGTCCAGCGACTCGAGATCACTGAGTGCAACTGGCAGACGCAACAGCGCTTTGTAGAAGGGTCGCGTAAAGAACGCATCCAGCAGATACTGATGGACGAGGGCGAGGCCCAAAACACGCCCACTGAACCGAAACCAGTCGTGGCAGTTATCCACAAATGCCGACAGCGGCGACACCTGCACCGTATACGTATCATTGGCGGAGTACTCGAACAATCCGTAGTAAGGATTGAACAGTTCGCGCGACAGCAGAAAAAAGAACTCCCGAGACGGGCCGCCATAGTCCAAGCCCTCCTCTGTGTCCCAGAGCACGGCGAGACGACCACGCTGCAAGTCCTTCTTGTTGGCCGACATAATGCGACGGAATGCGTCCTCCAGCAGATGACTGCGTCGGATGTGCAATCTGTTAAAAAAGTACAAACAATTAGCAATCCGCATTCTCTTCAATTTTTGGGACATTTATACTAACTTGAGCTTGTGTGGTCCCTGACCGTAGCCCTTGGACTCTAGCTTGCGATAGAAACTACGCAGTTTGGCCTCAAAGTCGCGACGGAATGGCGGCGGTGCACGTTGCGTCATCCGGGAACTAAGCACCGGCGATCCCTGAGGACTACGCTCCTCAATGGGCACATAGCTCATGATCTCCTGCTCGAACAGGCTGAAATCGAAAGTGAGAAAGAGAGAGGAAGAGTTGAAGATTAGCTCTGGCATTGATAATCTCTGAAATGTATCTGAAATCGTAGCTGCAACTTGCGTATTCAGTTGCTGCTCATAACTAATTGTGCATATTATTCACTAACTCAATGCTTTATACTCACAATTGATTAGTTATCTGTTTTATTAATACCGGCTAAGCTGACAATTTACTAATGAGACATATTAACAAGCTACAAGCAACAAGCAACAAGTAACAAGCAACAACAACAGATATTGCTCAGCTAGTCGAAGTCGACCCAACATAGCCCTGATCGTACTGCAATAACTATTATTAGTTTTGTCATCGGTTATTATCGATAATTCTGTAGTTTGCAAAATATGATGGATTTTCATTTGTTTTGATTCACAGCACTGTCGATATTACTATAATGCCAGAAACCCCTAAAAATATGCCTGCAAACAACCAAACTAAGCACATAAGCAAAGTGGGTTTTCGATGACAATCGATTGTGTTCCAGCCCAGCTTTGTGTAAGTACAAATATAATAAACACATATAGACAATAATATAACACAATACGTCCGAAAATATCTGTGATAATATGTGAAAATGCAAGCTAAACACATATATAGTGGGTTATCGATAACAATCGAGTATATCGAGGCCCTGTTTTGGGCAAATACAAATTAATAAAATCATAAAGTCTTAGTAAATTATTTAATAGACTGTTAACATTCGAAAAGAAGATGACAAATAAAGTTCATGACATTCTCAAATACCACAAAGATGATCTCAAAATTAAGTTAATTAATGCAAATTGATTGAACAACAAGCAACAACAAGAGCAATGGGACTCATTTATCGATGACTCTCTTGCAGCTCAGAAAATCCATATGCCTTTCGGTTGTGTAGTGCGACCAAATAAATTGCATCAAGCACAAAACTTGACCATGATTTTCCATTTGAAAAACAGCAGCTGTAATATGTAGATGTAAACGCCTGCCGGAAGAACTCGAATAGACCACAGACCTTGTGCCGAGAACTCGCTGGAGACTTTTCCCAATGGGCTAGATGCCGCTAAGCTCCAATAATATCTGCCCAATATTCCGTAGAATTCTAATTGCCGATTTGTGTTGCGTTTTTTTTTTTTGTTTTGTTCTCTCTCTTTTTTCGCGCTTACTTTTTGACCTTCAACTTGAATTTGAAAATTGATCAATTAATACACAAAAATTATGGCGATCGGTGACTGTCTGTGGTCGACAGGGTTAGGATTGGGGAGGGGGAGGGGGAGGGCGTTGCCATGCCATGTCCATGCACTAGTGACAACAGTTTGAGTGCAATTAACGCCTCTTTTGCGCGGCACGGAAATGACTAATTTCCAATATATATATATATATATATATATTGTGGAAACGAGACGATAAAAAATTTGGTTTTGTTGAAAAACAAAAACAACTAATGTTCATTCGAAATGGTAACTGATCGGCAATATAATTTGGGCCGTGTCAAATTACTTTCAAATTGACTGAAGTTAACAAATTATTAGCGAAAACAACACAGGAAATTGCAATTAACGTAAATTAGAGGCGGCGCAAAACGCGAGCGCGACTTTAAACGCGCGCATTCGGCAACCACATGCGGGTCTGTCTTGTCGCCCACAGTGGTGCGAGTGGTGGTGCTGGTAGTGGTGGTTGCTGCGTGATGGTTGGTGGTGTCATCTTTTCTGTTCCAAGTGCAATGCGCGCACGAACTGATGCGATAGATGAGGGGTCACCAAATGTTTTCGGGTGTGGTCAGTTTCAATTAAATAAGCTTTGAATTCTATCCGCATTTGTAGTAAGATTACAAATATATATATGTATATATATATATCATTATTCATGCATATCATTATTCATTTACATCTGTTTTTATCTGGTAGTTTGCTAATTGAATCGCTTGATGAATAGCCCAAGCGAAGGGTTTCTACACACAATTTAATTTCATAGTTTCTTAATTTCATAAATATACCAGATGTTAGCTCGTGTCAATTAGATTTTAATCATCAGCCATATTTCGTGATAAGAAGAACACAGCGAATAATTCCAAAGAACAAAATCTGAAGACTTTTAATTAAATGTAACTAATAGATAAGTCATGAGTTTGATTGCTGCATGCAGTAGCTAACTAACTACAAAACAAGTACCACTGATCATAATTCATAGATATTGAGTTAAGCGCAGATATATACGTGTATACTAACATAAGTGTCAACTTATTTTTAAGATCTACAAATCAAATAAGAAATAAACTCGCTTCGAGCCCGACCGACAAGTAACATTAATCTCAATCTTTCCTCACAAAAGTTTTGCTGAAATTGAAATCCCAATCCAGCTAGCCAGTTTCTGTATGTAAGTATATATCTTTGTGTGCACAGGAACACTGCCAGGGATCCACATATATTCCCAAGCTGCTTTAATATCAACTGCATACTTATGTGATAGTAACAAGCAAACTAAATTCCATAAATAGGTATAGCATATGTGCAAGTGTGTGTGCTATCTGTGTGTGGCTATCTGTGTAGTTGTACTTGAAATATGCTAGGTATGTTCACAGAGGTACACAGAGAAAAAAACCAAAAATAAATATTTAAAAAAATAATTTGTACAAAATATTTCGGACGTTTGTAAATAAAAATGTGAGGAGCCTCTTACTTGGTCAACATGGTGTTGTAGGTATAGCTGAACTTGGAAAAGAGACCCATTTGATTGGGCTATTTCGGGCTGGTTGTAAGGCCCTGATGGATTCTCAATTAGCGCACTTTAAATTAAAACTGAGTAGAAAACAAACCAAACAAACAAAAAACAACAACAAAAACTTGTAAATGTAACGTAAATTTTATTCTCGTCGACCCGAAATGAAAAGCCTTTCAACGAAAGCGAAGCGACTGACTTGTGGTTACTGGACTGCACATAGCAGTTGCAGTTATCCCAAACAAAGTGAAATAGACAGAGACAGAGAATGAGATAGGGACTGAAAGTGAGAGAGAGAGAGAGACAGAGAGGGAGGGCATATTGAGAGCGAGGCCCGATAGCGTTGATAAGCGGGCACGATAAAACCATTGTGGGGTATTACGAATTTAATAACAAACCACTGTCGCAAGTACGCAATGTACATCTGAAGGGTCGAGTGGTGCCCGAGGGGTTGGGGTTGGTTAGATTGGTGGGGTAATCCGGCAACTTATGGCGGCCAGTGACAGTGTTTCAAAAGTTGATCGATTGTAATCAATTCACAATCTGGCAACCCCAATTTGGACAGAATACCGCGATAAGGGCTCAACAAATTTTGTATTGTTGCCGGTTGCTCAAAGCTGTATATTAATTGCACTTGTTGTTGTGTAATACGAGGAAAAGATACTTTAGTAGAGCACAAGATAGATTTGTTGACTACTAGCAAACGGAGTTGCGGTTCACGTTTCGCGTCTCGATCCTTGAACCTGTCGCCTGGCAGCAATTAGTGCGAGTAATTGGATCTGAGATCACAATAAAAAACCACAAGCCAAAAACATTATGAATCCAAACAACAACCACCAGCATGTTGTTGCAAGACTTGAGAACTGAAAGCATTAGATTTACAAAGATGTTTACGATAAAAGGCTTGCGATTTGTTTGCGTAGCATTCCTTCAACCAGATACCCTGAGATATTTTGCACATAAATATATACTCCTTCTCTGGGTGGCAGTCGTGAGAACCACATACATTTGGGATATCTGAACTGAAACTGAAGATTTATGAATGGCTCAGTGAGTAAAGCAGCAAGTAAAAAAGAATACGACCGATGTATTATAGTAAACAAATGGAATGCAAGCGAGTAAGATGATACCTCAGGATGTTGAGACAGACAGAGAGAGATAGACAGACATAGATGGAAGATCTTAGCTGTTTCCGCCGTTGATGAGAAGATAACTTGCAAATTCTTTGACAACACTTGAAAGTGTTAAGCAAATGTTTTTAAAGGCCTTAAGATGCTTATTAAACTAAGTCAAACTCTTTAGTTAGAAACTGCATGAGATCTCTGACAAACAAGAAGTTTTTTCAATCAAACCAAATTACCGATTATAATCATGTTGTAATCAATCTAAAAATCACATACTTTAGATTTTGTAGAACATTTTTGATGATTGATTTTTAAAATGATTTTTTTATTTTTATGACAATTGTAGATGTCGCCAAATCGAACAATTTTATTCCTGATTTTCACACTCATTTTACACTCATAGCTAATCTAAACCTATTACTATAATATTAGTGTGGAAGCTCCCCCACCAGATCATTTGGTCGTATTATATTTAGTTTCTAAAATAGGCATTGGCAGTGCGTTGAGGATTCCTCCTAAAGGTTGCAGTATTAACATGTTCTTAATACTGATCGATCTCCTCCTTATTGGTATTATTATTGCTGAGCTCTAGTTATAGTTTCCTAGTTCTTGGATCTATCTAACATAATAACTTAACGAGCTTGATTTATCTTTTAAGAGAGAAGTACTAAGAAGTACTTCTGATTAAGATTTCTATGGAAAATGTAACATAATTAAAAGTAATTTCTTGAACGAGATTCGACTAGGTTGGGCAGGAGAAACCCTCTGAAGCTGGTTCGAGCATATCTTTAAATAAATAAATAAGTCAACTGCAATTAGCCATCAGTTGGCAATATGTAAAATATATATTTTAGAGTGTATTTCGAACAACTGTAGGAAATGCCTTATGCATTCGCACTCTTCTCACTTGTATTTCACAAAGGCAAGTAATTCCCGCAACTTTAGTCATGATCGAAGCGCTGTTCAATACTATTATAGGATGTAGTCATATGTATTTGTTCTTCTTTTTTTTTGCTGACTCTGGATCCGACAATGGCTTGGATCGTGCCTTGGGTCGTACTAAATATTAGATGGGTTGATAACACTTACACGGCCCACACGATGTATGCAGCCTTCGATAGGAAGCCCATTTTGTAGCGCGGCCAAAGTCTTGTGCATGGAATGGTTCAACATGCCGTTGGATGCTTGAAATTCTTTCAAAACTGTTCACACTACTAATTATTATAATGACAGACAGCAAAAACCAAAAAATAAAACACAAGCAAAAAATGCGAAGCAAGCGGTCAGTTTTAAGTTAATATTAAATAGTTCACTTTTTTTGAAAATTAAGTTTATTTATTTATGTTTATATTGTTGTTTTGAGACTGTGACAGCGACCTGCACACGCTGACAGTTCAAATGCTTCTGTTTTTTTTTTTTTGTATTTATTTTGTTTTTTTTTCTAGTTTAAAGAGGCGCGTGAAATCGAAACTGAACCGAAGTCGAAGTCAGACTCGGAGTCGGAGTCGGGTTCATAGAGTTGGATATATTTATGTGCTAAGGCAACAGTGTTAAATGCGAGTTCCCGCTGTATTTCTAATGTCGAATAGCAAACGCAGAATGGACGCGTTTGTCTAGCGCCCAACCGATAAATATGAAATTGGAAATGGAATTAAGCGAGCGCACAAAATATACGACAACAACAAGAACAACAACAACAACAAGAACAACAAACATCAACACCAACAACTCCAAACAGCAAAGAAAATTGTTTAATTGTAATTTTATTTTATTTTATTTTTTGTGTTCTTTTTATTTATGTTTGACGAAGTGCAGCCGAAGCGCCAACGAACGAATTGCCGAACATTAAATTCTATGTGCGACGACAGCGACGCCGACTGCGACGGCGACGGCGATCGCGACAGCGACTGCGACTGCGACTGCACTACTGCGTTTGCGCTATTACCTCAAGAATGAAATAAACGGCTTTTTAGCTTCTGGCAGGGGCTCTGCGGCTGACTCACAACTTATTTGATGGTGGTGAACTTGGACTGCGAGTGATTGGCGAGTGCGAGGGCTGAGCGGCAGAGCGAGAGAGCAGAGCAGCGCAGCACATGTGCACCGATGACAACTGTGGCGTTGGTCATGGTTATGAGCTGTCGCTCATCAGCCGATCGCCGGCTGTTCAATGCGCTTGGTGGAGTTCCAAGTGCTGCGAGGGTGCAGCAGAAGCGCAAAGGGCGCGCCATGCGCCAAAAAAAATAGTTGCTGTACTCGCAGTACTTGGTTGCAACAACAAACGCGTCCACTGTCAAGCACACCACGCATCCAAAACCCAAACCTAAATCCAACCCATGCCCAGGCCCAATGAACTGTAAACCAAGCGAGTCGAGACGGCAGCAACCATTGAAGCCCTAATTCGCCTTCAATGGGTCAAATCACAAAAACAAATAGCCCCTCGAAAGCTCAAATGGTTGTCAACGCTTCAGTTGTGAAAAAAAAGCAGAAATAACTCGTATCGTGAGGCACCATGAAGATTTAAATACCCTAGCCTAATGGAGTCCACCTGCTCTAATCGAAGTTTCAAAAGACATTTAAAAAGCTGGACGACAGCCCCTATGGAGGCCCAATGCTTATAATTTCTTTTGCCAAATTGTAAGGAGGATCACATAATTATTTACTAATCGATTTGATAGGAATATCTTGGTAAAAGGTAGTTTTCATACAAGAACTGAGCATTCAATCGTTCCCATGTCAGCTTTATGCTACACTGATCTAATTCGTATATATTATTTGCTAACTGCTCTCGATGCTGATCGAGACTATATATAAACTTAGTATGATCGTAGACGTATCTTTCAATGCGTTACAGACTTCACATCAAAATCATAATACCCTCAGCAATGGGTACAAAAGAAAAACACACTCAGTGCTACTAATGAAGATGACGTAGTTGCCACAACCCCGCCCTCAACTGAACCCAACCCAACCCAAGCCAACGTAACTGAGGCTTAGAGCCCAAGTCCAAGCTGCAGCTGAAGCCGGAGCGCTCAGATACGCCGTCTAGCCAATAAATTATTGGTTTATTGGCAACGCTCATTTGTCGCTGGTCCCAGCTCCAAGTAAAAAATCTAAAATTGGGTTAAACTGCGTCACGTTTCGTCTCGTCTCCTTTTCGAGGGATTAGCACGAGAATTTAGCGACTGCCCAGTAAACAATGGGTTGTTTTTGTTGTTTGTTATTATTGCTGTTGTTGTTGTTGTTGTAAAGGGGGCGCGTCTTTAAAATAAAATAAATACAAATTTACAGATAATAAAATAAAACAGCCCCAAAATATGATAAGTTATTCGAACAGGGTGATTCGTGCGTTATATCTTAATTATTCTCAAGCCTACGCCTGAAACAAATACAAAAAATAAATACAAATTACAACAACTCATTGAAAACCCCGACCGATTGTTCCTATGGGAGTTATCTGTATAGTAGTTGCTTATTGCTTCAAACAATACCAGTTACTTCGGTTTGGGCATCTTGAAAAAAGAAGGTTTTCCGGAGCAACTATAAGCATCTTAAAGGCTAGTTTGCATTGAGAACTACAGACATGACTATAGCGACTATGTGTATATGTTTTGGAGCTATCAAGATTGGTTAAGGGAGCACAAAATTTGCATTACAATAGGTGAAGACTTTCTTTCGATTAAAGCATTCTTACATCTATTTTCTTATTCTTATTCTTATACAGACAATCCGGTTGCTATATACATACATATAAATATATATACACATTCCCATCGATTACAGGCTAGTGCGAAATGGCAGAATGTAGAATGGGACACCCTGTTCAAAATGCTGTCCACTTGCTATGCTTTGGTCAAAACTGAACCAATTTTGCTGGGGAGTTTCTTGTCCGACGAGGTTTGACTGAAGTGTAATTTGTGAAGAGATGTGTGTTTGTTGCAGAGTACAGAGAGGTAGAGCGATGACGTATGTGTGATAAGTCAGCTTAATCCACTGATTAGTAGATTTGTAGATTGGTTAACTGTATTTACTTCCACTAGGCGTTTGGACTGCCCACTCCCACGGTAATGCCAACTTAGATTTGATCGCCTGGTTTTTGGGATGCAATGAAGCATGATAATTTATCTAATTGAATGCAATTAAATCGCTCAAAATCCAATCGGTGGGCAGCTGCTTTCAGGCGGACCGCCTGTCATGAGACGGAGCTCCATTAGATCACGTCGACTAATCTATGGATTAATCTTATAACAACAACAACTTGCTTGGATATTAAGGTCAGAAAATGCATGTGAATATTTCCTCAATATTTGTGGTTGAGTCAACAACATTTTGAAGAAATATTGGCAATTAAACAATAAATGTGTATAGAACAAATGGAATGAAGGTGGGGGGCTGGTGCTGCAGGAGGTTCGGGCAATTTGTTGTTTTCAAAATACATATTTTGTTAACCTTGCTGTTTGTTGCTATTCGAAGTGTTTTGGAAAATTAGTTGGCAACCTTCGCAGCGATTTTCAAATGCAATTAACACACATGCAGTCGTCGATGACTTCGTTGACGAGCTGAAGCACTGAAGCAGGACGACCAACTGGCAATTGCCACCACCAACCAACACCATCGAGACATCCATCGACCAACAAAGTCGCTGCTGATGACGCAGCAATGCAATTTGTGCCAAAGCCTTTGCCAAGTGCAACCGATCTAAGCTATTGGATTGGCAATTGGCAATTGGATATGACGCTGACTCTGAGCCTGACTCTGATAGTTCCACTATAAATTCATAAATATGTACGTACATACATACTATACTTACGCATGAATGTTTTATAATATTCATTTTTGAATTTGCGTGTAAACAAAAAAAAACTCATAAATTATACCAAAAGTTAAGGCTCGAAAGCGCATCTCTGCTAAAATATTGTCCAAATGTTGCTTACAATTACTTCCCGACTCAATGCGACTCGAATTCTCATTCTTTGTTTCTTAAGGAATCGTTTACTTAGACAATGAAAAAATGATTACCAACAAGAAGTGATAAATGTACAAATTACACCTTCTGAAAAACTTAGCTTCTCTCATAAAGACATGCTTCTTAAAAAAATCCCAACTTGTTTAATACTGTATACTCTCGTATACCCAATCGCTCATTAATAATTTTGCACATCACTTGTGACAATCACTTACCTAAGTAAAATGGTCAATTGCAGATCATGGCCAAGACGCTCCAAGGCGGGCACGCCCTCAACTCGTAGTATGTTAATTTTTTCGCGCAACGAACGGGACACAGTATGTTGGCCCTGACGTTCTCGTAGAATCTCCAGAATGTTGGGTTGTCGCAGAAATGCAATGACCTGAAATATACAAACTTGTTGAGCACAATCGAAGAAAGAGCGACTTACTTAGGCACGCCGAAGATTATGTACTTGTCGACCGGAGTCAACTGGACAATATCGAAATTTGACTAGAAATTTAAAAAGACGACCGATTCGTGATGCATGTGCAAAGTATCATCAAGAAGGATTCAAAACTGCATTAACACAGACGGACAGATGTCTACATCAACTCGGCATATGTATAAACTCCACAAAAAATACGGGAATTAAGTCTGTATGGGTCAAAGCTTCAACTTCATCTGATTCACTTTAAAAATGATCTAAAAACTTTTGAAAATCCAGCCTAAATAAACGGTTATTGCTGTCTACTTTACAACCCCCCTGAAGAAAGTAGGATGAAGTCTTCATGGATCATATACTCTAGTGAATTTTAATCTAATTAAGCTCTATACGCGAAATCCAATTTAAATATATTTATCAAACGATTCAGAGTCAGTTGCAAAACAAATTTTGTTGATTGAGATTTTCAGAAAACTTGAACAAGACTATATACAAATTGTAGTGGTCTAAAGGGAAAGTTTAACGCACTTAATTTTGAGTTATGAACACACAGGGGTTAAACCGAATCGTATTTTGGTTACGGTTACGGTTCTGGATCTGAATTTCGATTAACGTTTCCGGTTTTGAAATCCGTTTCGAATCTTAGTTATTAACTCATGTTGGTTCGAGTTAGAGGAATTGTACTCACCTTTTCGTTGTAGGCAATGGGAACATCCTCATAGCCAGACTGGGCATGGGCTCCGCTGGTGCTGGGGCCGCCGGCGGCGCCACCGCTCAAACTCAAGGCGCAGGCAATGGCCGCCGTCGTGGTGCAATTATGTGCTGCAGCTGCTGCTGCTGCTGCCGTTTGACTGGCACTGCCGCGACAGGGACGTGGCGGGGGCAGGGGCGGCACGCCCGAAACCGAAGCCGTCGCATTGCTGCTGGAACTGAAGTTGGAGTTAATGTGGCCACTGGTGGCCGACAGGCAGTTGCCATCAACCAAATCCGGTTGCGGCTGTGGCAAATACTGATGTGGATGCGGATGCTGATGGTGATGGTGCTGCTGCTGCTGTTGCCGATGCCGGACGACACGGGGACACTCGACGGGCAGGCGGGGATCCATGAAGGAGGTCTTGCGATGCTGATGATCGATGAAAAACTGTTTGCCGGACTGATCGATTTTCGTCTCCCAGCTGGAGGGCAACTCACGACTCAGTTGCGCAAATGTGTTGACCAGCGCCACCAAATCTTTGTTGTACTGATAGCGCTGAAAGCACTGAGGATCGCGACGTATCCGCATCACCATGTGTTTCAGTGCCGCGTTGCGATTGTAAATGGCCAGCGCCGCCTCATTTGTGTGAAGCAGCGAGTAAAAGTCTGGACGGCAGAGCAGCAGCACTGCCGGATGTATGGCCAGGTTGAGAGAGGCGGATGATGACAATGGCGCCGGCGGAGGCGGTGGCGGCACAGTTGCACCACCAACACCAACACCAGCACCACCATCAGCAGCAACTGCAGCAGCAGTAACTGTGGTTGACTGTGATGCTGTTGTGGTCTGGGCAGCGCCACGAGGCAGATTATATAGCTGATTGTGGGCGTGGCCCGTGGACGGCTCGACGGTATGCATGGACAGACGATTCTCATTAGTGATGGTGCGCCGTATGGACTGATAGCGTCTGTCCAGCTGCTGGCGATGATGCTGCTCGCGTCCGCCGGGCCCAGTACTGGGACCACCCGGACGCTGCCACGATGTGGTGCGCGTTGTATGATCAATATAAAATATACGACCATGACTATCCATGCGCGCCTCCCATGCCGGTGGCAATGGTGGCTCTCCCACACATGCTCCATTCGCACCATTGCCGCCATCCACAATGCCAGCACCGGCGGCAGCTGCAGCGGCGGCGGCTGCAGCTGCTGCTGCAGTACGTTCGGGTATGGAGGGCAGACGAGTGCTGCTAATGTGCAGCATTTCATTGTTGTCATCCAGAACAGCAGCAGCGGCGACTACTCCAGGAGCTGGCGAACCGGGCGGCGTCTGCAGTTGACTAGAGTTGCACTCCGGTACGGAGTTGGCAGTGACGGCCTGCAGACGCGCATGTCGCCGTGCATGATGTGTTGGCGTTGGCGGACAGATGAGTCCAGTAGTAGGTGCACCACATCCACCTCCTCCTGCTCCTGTCCCACCACCACCACCACCGCCACCCACACGTTTCAATAGCCTCTGCTGTGGACGCTGAGCATGAAATGTAGGCGTGCCAGGTGGCGGTGGTGCCAATGGCAGTGGCAGCATTGAGTCCAAGCCACCAACGCCACGTCCACGCGTTGGCGAATGCTGCTCTGGACTCAGACTGAGATCCAGTGGAGATACACTGCGTGTGGAACAACCCGAGGGTGGACTACGCTGGCGCTTCGGGGATAGCAACAGTCGTGGAGAATTGTTGCAGCTACTGCTGCTAACCAGATGATGCGGTTCATCTGTGGTGCCCTTGCCATTGGAGAGGGCTCGTGTCAGGGGACGATGCTGTCGAAGATAGGGGAAATGGTGTGCGACCATTGTGCCATTGTTGGAGTTGCCACTTCCACTGGCTATGGTGTTGTTGTTGTTTGTGTTGTTGATGTTGCTGTTGCTGTTACTGTGCTGCTCCTGCAGCGGAAATGTGGGAAACTCATAGGTCAAATGGGCAGGCACCTTTTGGGTGCTAATCGTATTGATGTAACTATCGGGTCCAATCTTCTTCTGTATTAGCGGCTTAAAGCGCATCGGAGGTGGACTGGCTTCCGCCAGTCCAGAACCGGATCCGGGTCCGGATCCGAGTCCGAGTCCTGGTCCAGGCAGACGTAATGGCGAGCTGTTGCTGTTGGTGCAGGCGCCGCTGTAGCTGGGCGCCTCGTCCGCATGGAGTCGCTCATCCGTATCGAGTATGTCGAACTTAAACACGTCACCATGCAGCTTGAGTTCGCATCCGATGGCACGTGGCGGCCACGAACGCTCCAACGGACGATGCTGTGCCGGCGGCTGTCGCAAATTATTATTATGCTTTTGACGACCCAGTGCTCCCGATCCCGAACCAGATGCGGAGTTGATATAAGCACTGGCTTGCAGAGCTGCTGCAGCGTCCAGTAGACTCTCAACGGCGGCGGCTTCTTCATCCACATCATCGTCATCAGCCTCGTGATGATCATGATTGTGATGAGGCGGCTCCTCTTCCCCCTCCAGCTGCTCGTCCTCTTGTTGCTCCTGCAGCTCGGCAACGGTGAGCGTGTCGACCATTTCAGCGGGCACCGTCTCAAAGCATTCGCGTGCCACCCACAAATTAAAGCTATCGCCATTGGACGCAATTGATTTGGTCTTCCTCTTGGAACTGGCGCTTTGCGGTGACAGTGTCCACGACTTGCGACGCGCACCGCCACCAACGCTGCAGCTGCCATCGCTGCCAATGCTGCCGTTGCACGAACTGCTCGGCGATAGTGTTGCACCCGCTCCAGCTGCAACAGGCGTCTCGCATGATTTGGTCGTTAGCAATGTCTGGTGTTTAGGTGCTGCTCCACCTGCAGCTGTTGCTATTGTTGTGGTTATTTCGCTAATTTCGTTGTTTGTCTCATGTGGCAAGTCTCTTGGAGCTGTTCGTTTGGTGTGCAACTTATTAGATCATGTTCATAATAATAACATTCATCATTTTTAATCACTTACTTTGGTTACGTTTTCTGCGCATCACGATCGCATCCGATGTTGCATCCAGCTGCTGCTGCAGCTGCTGCTGCTGCTGCTGCAGCTGCTGTGGTTCAGTGCCATTCTCAGCATTCACATCCACATCCGCAATCACATCCGCATCTGCATCGCAAATATTCACTCTGACGTCACCGGCCAAAGTTAACGCACTTTGAAATGCCGTTTCCAGCTCATCGCTTTCATTGCCATTGCGCGCCTCGTAGTAAGCATCCTTGGCATCATCATCGTCATCATCATCATCATCATCGTCGTCGTCATCATCATCATCACCATCATCTGCATCGTCCTCATCATCGCCATCACCATCATCGTCGTCATCATTATCCTCTTCTGCGTCATTGCTTTGCGCTGCTGCGACTTGATTATCGTGCTCAGCATCCGCTGAACTCTGGCCAAGGCAGCTAGTTGTGACGCCCGTTACAGCAACGTTCGCTGGAGCTTCCATGCTGCTGCTACAGATGCTGATGCTGGTCCTGCTCCTGCTTACCCCACCCCAACTGCGGCTGCTGCGGCTTCTGCTCTACTTTTTTATAGATTTCTTGTTTCGCATAATATTGGCTGTTTGCTGCTGCGTCGTGGTGTTCTCGCTATCGATAAGTTTTTGAATGTGTTTTTGGTGTGTACTCAAACAGCTGTTCATTGGACCTTCATCTTAACCACCACTGTACGCGCTATACAACAACATTGCCCTCATTTGTAACACCACTGTAAAAGCAAGAGGAAAACGACCAAGACAAAACGTAAACAAAAGTATGACCAGCATTTTGTAAATAGCATGGTCACCTTTTTTTTAGTATTTTTTTCTGGTTGCGACCAACTCACAAGCAGCTTGAATCATTTCGATTTGACAAATACCGCACTTGTTATTTATAGCGAATTATCTAGCTTACATACATACTTGTATACAAAATCGAATGTATAATTTTATTGTTACGCTTAAACATATCTATGCAATTATACAATGTGAGATTAGATCAATGCAAGTAAACTTACACAAAACATAAAATAAATTTAAAAAATAAAAGCACGTCAGTTGTAGGGTTATGTAGGGTTCTTTTCTTACGTCGGCGCCAACGACTCGGTCCGTGCTGCTGTCTCCCTTGAGAAATACATGTATGTATGTTGTGTGTTGCTTTCTCACTTGTACTGACCGACACATAAATGAACGGGAAATTCGAAATTGTAGCGCGCTATAGCATATAAATTGAAAACGCGTCTTAATATTTGTTAAGATTAGTTAGTTCGTTTTTTGAAACTTCTTGTTATCTTAAAATAAACAATCAATGAATAGAATATGTATTTAACTTGTAATTATTTCGGTAATTAAATCAAAATGAAATACAACCCAATTTTTCACAAAAAATGTGTTTTAGTTTATTACAATTAGTAATATATTTTATTAAAATGTTTCTAACGAAACGAAATACAAATAATTTATAATGTTTTTCATTGCTTTGCGAAAGTGCATAATTCAAGCGATAAAGAAAAGTACAATTTATTAGCATGCGCTTGACTTTCTTGAAGCACTGTTCCCTTCGCTGCTGCTCTGCTGCTCTGCAGTGAGACCAAACAAATTACGGTAAAACAAAATAGTCATAAATTTTAAATGTTCTGAATTTCATTGGATCGACAAGAGCTGATGATTTTTTAGAAACATATTGTTAAAAGTTCTGTGTATTGCGTCTGACTGTGATTGAAAAATGTTTGTGCACCCCAAGAACTATGAAATGGAAGCTACTTTCTCTGTCCCCGATTCGGACATGGACAGCAACAGCATGGACATCGAATTGACATTGAATCAAAATAAAATTAAAAATAAAAGTCAAAATGCCAGTCACCAGTCGGCCGTCGGTAAAACAATATGCAAGTGTTTTGTTAATACTTATCAGGACTATTGTCAGCACACATCCATACATGGTGTCCAGTATCTCGGGGAGGAGAAGCGACCGATTAAGGAGCGCATCTTCTGGCTGTGCGTTTTCGTGGTGTCCATTTACTGTTCGGCGACGCTGATCTACAGCGCCTACACCAAGTGGAATGAGACGCCAGTGATTGTCAGCTTTGCGGAGAGATCGACGCCCGTATGGAATATACCCTTCCCAGCTGTGACCATCTGCTCGGAAACGAAACGTGTGCTGAAGACGGAAGGCAACCACAACAATTCATATGCGAATCTCTACCGTCAATTTACGGCCGATATGCGATCCGGTCGCATTTTCCGGCCACACAATATCACTGCGTGGGAAATGGAGGAGTTTCGTACGTTGCTGCACATCTGCAATAAGCAGATCGTTGAGCAGGATATGCCGCTGATACCGGGCGAAGATGTGGACTACACGGATGTGCTCGAACGGATGTTGCCACCATTTGAGCGATACTTCTTTTACTGCCGCTGGCTGAGTCGCTTCAACGAGTGCGACAAATACTTTAAGCAGACTCTGACAGAGGAGGGCATCTGTTATACGTTCAATGGACTGCGAGCCACGGAGATTTATCGCGAGGATACGTATCAATACCATTACAGCAGCAATATGGCTGTAAAGCAGAATGTCACCGCGGCAACATGGAGCTTGGAGACCGGCTATGATGCCAACAGCGATGTCGAAACTTATCCGGCACGTGTCCTAAGTGCCGGCGCTCGTTCGGGCATATTCATGGCACTGCAGAGTTTCAAACAGGAGGTGGACTATGCATGCAGGGGCCCCGTGCAAGGATTCAAGGTGTCGCTGCATGCGCCGGACGATGTGCCGCAGGTGTCCAAGCAATTCGTACGCATACCCATGGGCAGGGAGGTGCTGATTGCCGTCAAACCAAATATGATAACCACATCGTCGGGCATTGCCGAATATCATCCGCTGCGACGGCAATGCTTCCTCAGTCACGAGCGCCAGCTGCGCTTCTTTAAGATCTACTCGGAGTCCAATTGCCAGCTGGAATGCCAGGCCAATTTTACGCTGAGCCAATGCGGCTGTGTCAAGTTTTCGATGCCGCGCAGCCTGGACACGCCCGTCTGCGGCGAGGATAAAATACATTGCTATGAACGGGCCGAGACGCAGCTGCTCGTCCGCGAGTTCCATCGCGTGCGCAGCCTGAATGTAGTCAGCGAGGCGCCGCGCGGTGTGGAGACCGCATGCAATTGTATGCCCGCGTGCACATCGCTCATTTACAACACGGAAATCTCGCAGGCCAACTTCGATTTGGATGAGATGCTGGTCGCCGAGGGAGATACCGAATTTTTGCGCGAATATCCCGGATCACAGATGTCCCGCCTCTCGATATACTTCAAGCAGAGTCAGTTTATCACCTCGAAACGATCCGAGCTGTATGGCGTAACCGAGTTCTTGGCCAATTGTGGCGGCATCTTTGGCCTTTTCATGGGCTTCTCCATACTAAGCATGGTCGAGCTGCTTTATCACTTTACATTACGCTTCGGTGTGAATCTGAAACATTTGTTTAAAGTGAATTTCTAGCCGCGAATCTCGCTACGAGGGTCTCGGTAACTTTTTGCATCTGTTCATCCGAAACTCGCATGTTGCGCATGCAATCAGATCAAAAGTCCCATTTTTTATTATAAGTTAAGTTATATTTTATGTTTCCACCTTATTTGATATTTACATATTTGTAATTTTGTTAATCATCCCATACTGAATATAAGCTATTGTAATTGATTTTATGCGGTAACCAGAGACGGGGATCAGATATTTAAATCGAAGCAGTCGTTGAAGAGATTCATTGCGTCCTGTGCCAATTTGCCATTAATAAGGCGTCGCCTTCATATCTATCGTTATAGCTTAAGAGCAAGTAAATTGTAAAATGTGCATATCTTAAGATGTTTGTATGTTATTTGTTAAGTTTTCAATTCAAATATATATTTTTTCGAAACGAACAGTATTCCGAGTTTTGTATACGGCAAAAGCTCGTTCAAAATGTTTGCCAATACGCGAATTCGCATTGCTACCAATTCTATACTCTTTGTTGTGGCTGGCAATACTGCGTATATTTTTGCGCGCCAACTGAAATTATCGATACTTATCGAAGTATTATCGCACAGCCGAACTTGAATAGTGTCATTCCAGCTGAATGTCGTCACCGCGAGTAATAATAAACACTCGGTTGGGATTAACTTTGGCATGCACATTTGTATATTAAGATACAGCAGTTTATTAAGAATAGATTTCGAAAAGAATTAATTTAATTTTCCAGACTTATATTGCTCACAATGAATTTGAGACATAAAGAGCGTAAATTACCAAAATAAATCAGTTTTATTTAAGCATGTTTCACTTGAGAACAATTTTTGTTTTATACACAATTACGACAAATTGGTATTAAGCGATTTTTGTTTAAATGGGTTACAGCACCGCATTAGGTTGTAAATATGTACGTATGTTTGCCTCGATTTTTGTTTGTTTTTTTAAAGCGTTCTGTGTACAGATTAAGTAGCTCAACATTCGCATGGATAACCGAATAGATGTATATATATGTATATGTATTTGTGTATGAATATTGATAAATATGTATTTACATTTTTGCATACTGCTAATAGAACTCGTGATTGAAACTCAACTCAATTGCAATTTGCGTCTTTAGTAACTAAACCGATGCTCCAAAAAACACAAATAAAAATAATAATGATAAAATTATATTATAATTAAAATAATAATCTACAAAGCACGAGCCCAGAGTAACAGAACTGAACAAAATTAAGCAAATTTTACAAACCTATATAAATTGTATATATATATATAAGTATTTGTCATCGTACAATACGAATTAAACACAATACAATACAGTACATCGTTACAACAATTTCACTTATCTGTATATATAGCAAATTGATAATTGTCTGCTTTGCTTTTGTCATATAATGCAAAATGCAAAATGCAAAATACAAAAATCGCTGAAAGAGTCAACGTGCTGAGACCCCATTGGATTTATGTTTGCGTATGCACATTGTGTGTAGTATGTTTATATATGTAAATATATATGAATATATATTTAAGATATTAGTTGGTAATACGAGGCGTACAATAGTTTACTTAAAATCATCCGTTTCGAGTATCTCAAAGTCGCTTTCATCGGATGAATCCAACGCGGTCACCTGGCGTCGCTGAGATTTGGCCAGCGCTGCACTATCCGTGCAATCTGTTTTAACGGCCAGCTCGTTGGCGCCCCACTTGACCAAGTTGGACATGAGGCTGGGAAGCAGGGATTGCGCCACTTGTGCATTAACAGCGATGGCCATTAGGGAGCTGGCGCTGCCGGTGGGGGCATCGCTGCTCACCACTGTATCAGTTAGCTGAGGCAGCGACGGAGCACCAGCGTCGACGCTGGTATGGTCGGGAAACTGCAGACCCTTGGATAAGCTCTCCTCGGATGATGATGAGGTAGTGGACAATGAGGAGTCTCGCTTAAAGTGTCCCCTGCGAAAATCCATCGTTTTGTCTGCCTTTGACAAATTGGTATTGCTGATGGATTCGTTCGACTTCGTCTGTTCAGACTTGACGTAGCCTGCAGCACTTTGTTCTTCTGCTGTCTGCTTGGACTGAGACACCAAGGGCACCAACTCATCATCCTCGTCTGTTGAGTGCTCATCGATTTCGGGTATGGAGTCGGGTATTAAAAGCTCAGAGGGTATATCATCGCTGCGATCGTCATCATCATCATTATCGCCGACCCCATCGGCATCGGTGGGTGAACTGATGGTGGCCACATCACTGGCGCGCTCCAGCACAAATAGATTCGATTCATTCACATCGGGCATGAACTCATCATCCACTTCCGCATCGGCATTCGTATAGTTGATCTTCTCTGACCACTGAAAATCTACAAGTGAATTGAATTGAAGTGAAAGTCAAAATAATATTTAATGTGTGTATATAATACATATAAAAATATAAAATATATTTACCTCTGCGTTCAATTTGCAGCAGCTTGAAATTGTATTTGGTGGAGACGAGTGCGGAGAGTACCAATAGGGTCAGCACCAGCGTTGAGCCCGATATCAGATGCCCCAAAATGGCAAGGGTGGCCAGGCAGCCGCTGCTAACCAGACAGAACATGCTGGGTGAGTTGTGACGCCAATTCTCAGCACGATGCAACCACGACTCGAATTTGTTGCGCAGCTGTGGTGTAAGGACCACACGGTAACTACACCGTGTCCAATAGAGCCAGTAGCTGAATAGGCCCAGGAAGAGCACACCCAACGGACGAACACTGCAAAGATAGACAGGCAGGCAGGCAAGCCTGGAAGCAATTAGCCAATTAGCACACACAGAGAGCAACAAACTCGGCGAGGGATCTTGAAGATGAACTGAACTGAAGATGTTGACGGGTCAAACACAAATGCGACTTGCTAACTTGGCTTAACTAACCAATTACCAATCGCATATAGCGTTACTCCCTATATAAGTTTCTTAAGATGGCTAAAAAACAAAAAAACAAAACACAAGCAAAAACAAAAATTAAAACACGTTCTAACAGGAAGCAGCTGGTCCAGCATCATCATAATTTTATATAAATTGGTTTTTGATTTCGGTTTTGGTTTTGGTTTTCGTTTCGTTTTCGTTGTACGAACTCAGCTGATCTCTGTTTGTGTTTTCTTCTACTGTGTGCGTGCGTGTGTGTGATTCCCTGTTAGCTAGTCTCTGACTGAACCTGACTAATCTACAGGTTATGCAAAGAGCGCTACTCTTTCGCACCTCTCTCTCTCTCTCTTACACACTCGCTCTCCATCTATCCGTCTCTCTCTCTCTCTTGTGCACAGCTAGCTGCACGGAAATGTTCAACGCTAATAAGCAAAACTGACTTAAATTGTTATGTTATTTCGCAGTTTTGACCTTTTAAACGCGCTGATTAACTTTCGTTCCTGTATATTTTTATTTACTTATTCTTGAATAGTCGTTCATTCATCGTTTGGACTTCGAAAAAAATCAATCGAAAAAAATATCTAATACTAAAATAAATAAAGACTTTCTTTTAATAACATTGCAAGTTAGTTTATTGTCTGACAATCAAATTAATATATTTTATTTTGCTTACTTACTATTAAAGTACATAGCAAATAACAAATGCATTTTAAGCAAATGCTGGCTTCGTAATGAGTGTATCTGATGTATATCTGTGAAACGTTCATTTAATTTCACCAAGTCAGACATATTAGATACAATGAGTTATTTTAAGTTAGTGAACACGTATCCATTCTATATGTGTAGATGTATTTATACAAACTTAAAGGCAGCAAATTCGCCGCACTTGAGAGATTAGATTGTATAAAGTGGGGCAAATAGCGAAAGTTGTCACTTCTTCAATGTGCGTTGTATCTAAATTGGCAATAACAAAAGCAGCATACGCAAAACTGACTAATCACCTTCCTGTCTTTGTTATTTTTATACCCATTGAAAATGGGAAAAAGGCGGTTTGAATCAATTCAATACACTTAACAGCTGGATACCTCCCAGTCGATCTCTCTGTGTCAACGGGAGCAATCTGATTTGTTAAACCTCAAAGGCATTTGTGCTGGCTGTTAACGTGTATTTCAGAATATACACACATCGATATATGTGTATTTATATGTGTTTTTTTTTAGTTAATAATTGCATATCAACTGTTTACACCGTGAATCCAACCGAGACTTGTTAACTGCAAATATAAATACATATTTATTTATATGGAACAGGCAAAAGGAAACTTCGTCGTTTCTCCTTGATTGGCAAGCGAAACCAAATTTAGTGCGTACATCAGGATTATTTATCGATAACGTTCTATGATAGGGTTATCAGCTATGTACCATACAGGGTGCTATCTTCTTGCTGTCTCTCACTCACTCTCTAGCGGAATGGAGAATTCTAATTATCACAATGCTTATACTTGACAGCTAATTTACACATTTAGTTAACGCAAAAGCCAAACAGTTGGTATAGTTGGTCAGTGGAAAACGTAACTAACAACACCCAATAATAATACAAGTCTATATAGAATCAGCCTCCAAGTATTTGTTGTCATAATACAAAGTTGTGTTATTGTAAAGAAAGTTTCTGATCAACTTATCTACATACATATGTACATATATATATATAATGGAATAATGGTATTTGATTTGGATTTTTGTCGATGTTATTGTTATTGGCAGTTGTTGGCGTCGTTGCCTGACAAACAACCTTTAGCTGCATAACAATTGTTACTGTTATTGTTTATTTTCACTGATAGTCAGTCGACTGATAAACAAACTAATGCAGCACAAAGTGACAAGTACATTTTGAGTGGACTCGTTCTACTCTGTAGATATAATTTCATCTATGCACACATGTGTATCTATATACGTATGTATATTATCTGCCCAGATCTGCTTGAGACTTAGTGCGAAACATTGTTGCTGTATTCTTCATTGGTTAATTGCGCCACACAGCGAAATTGTGATTGCATACACACGCACACACACACATACGCACACACATGTGTGTATTTGGTACATGTGCTATGCAAGCTATGGCAGCAGCTGAGCTGTTGGGGGGAATGCATGGAAATTACATTTATATATATATATATTTATTTATATATATATTTAACTCAGCACAAAGAACAACGCAACTGACCACCAACCAAATACATACATAAGTCTGTACATACAGACATGCATATACATACATATGTAGAAGCGGGGGCCCAAAAGGCAACGCTGAGCAGCCAGCCGAATCGAAGGTGTAAGCACGTACATACTTACACATATGCATGTACATACATACGCATATGTACATATACGTATATAAATATATATATAAATATATATGTATATTCCTAAAATAAAACATTGCAACTTTGAACAAGAGAAAGTTATTTTTGTTGTGACGAATTTTGAATACCCTTGCATGCAGATCTATATATGTATATATATATATATATATATATATATATATACTTAGACATATAGCATAAATATATACCTATATAGACTACTGGTCCTGATCAACATGTATGAACATGGTTCGTCAGGTTATGTGACAAAATGATAATATCAATTGCTAGGGTATACAATTTGGCCACGCGACGAATCGTCCACACTCTCCCCCTCTGTCTCTCTTCTCTCTCTCGCCTCCAAACACTTTCTTTGCCTCATTCTCTTTGTGCTGCTGTTCCTGTGTCGCCGGCTATAGAATTTATTTTAGTTCCCTTTAAAATGGGAATGCGTTTGGCTTTGGCTTCTGACCCAAATTTGGACGGCGTGAGTGCACCTTAAGTATTTAAATTATAAACAACTTCATGCAAGAGGAATATGGGAAGTTTATATGTATCTATGGATGTGTTTGTGTGTGTGAATGCTTTTACTTACCAGAACATTAGAAGCATAGTGATTAGAGTGATGGCAGCCACTTGCAGCATTAGCCGCGAAGGTCGTGGGATTTGAAACATATTTTCTTTGTTGATAAACTGGCGTTACTCTTTCGGTTTTCGGCTTGATAATGAATGTGCTTTTGAACAGAATGTTGCCCGTTTATTGGGTTGCTTTGCTTTGTGTTGCAATGCTTTGGTTTGTTTTGGTTTGGGTTTGGGTTAGGGTTAGGGTTTGTGGCTATGTTGGGTTAGTGTTTGATAATCGGTTCCAATCGATCGATGAGCTGTTCGCGCATGGGCACCGTCACATCAATCTGCGCACTTGCACTTTTCCTCACTGAATGCGAATGCGAATGGGAATGCTCACAGCCAGAATCTCAATTCACTCTTGAGGGGCACTGAGCCAACTTGTTTTTCCGGCCGATGCTGATGCTGCTGTTGCTGATTGTTGCTGCTGCGTAGAAATGAAATATTGCTGAAAACAACAGAATATGGCAATTTACCAAAAATAAATGCAAACGAATAATCCAAAAAAGAAAAACAATATAGTTGCTGTTCGTATTAATATTATTAAAATGGGACAAAAACAAAAATGTCCATAATGATATGGCACTTTCGAATCTCTCTGCTCTCACTGTGGACAACACCGACCACACCATACTCTCTTTCTCTTCCACTCTCTCTCTCTCTCTCAATAACTGTAAAAGGTTATTCAAATATATACTTTGTACATAAATGTATAGCAATTTGTTGAATTGTCGAAAGATGTGATTTTTAAAATAAAATACTTTTGGATCGAAAGCGTTTTCAATTTTACACGTATACGCCGCTTTTCCATTGGAAACAGTGTGCAAACATAACAACAACAAAAAAGGACATTAAACTGCGTTGCGATTGCCACCCAATATTTGAATGGGGTATGCACGATAATTGTGACAATTTGCTTCCTCAAAGGACTGAACAAATTTATTGGAAGCTTTGCAGTTACTCAGCTCAGCGGAGGACGCGTTGGCGTTTGGCATTGGCAGCGACTGAGACGCCGGCTGCGTGCTACAGCGAGAGCGAGTGAGGGATTGCGCAAACGATCGGGCGCGTGAGCAGCAAGCAACAACAATATTGTGCGAATAGTGAGTGAAGTTGTGATAATAACAAAAACAAAGCCAACTAACACACAAGCGTAAAAAGAAGGCGAAAACAAAAACAGCAAAGTTGTTTGGCCTTCGATGTCTTTTCAATTGCGTCGCAGAATATACATACATACATATGTACTTACATATTTACTGTATGCGTGTATAAATATATGTATATATATTATATATGCGTAAGTGTGTGAGTGTTGTGGCGTTGTCATTCTTGTTGTACTCTATTCTGCTCTAGTATGTACAAAGTAATTAAATACAAAGACTTTTTTGTATGTACATACACACATACATACATACATATATATAAAAGTCAAGTGACTTAAGACTCGTGCATTTTACCCATTTCGCAAGTGCCCATTGCAAAAAATAATAATTTTGGTTGAAACAAACGCTTCTCTTGGAAGCAAACTAAAACGCAGTTACAACTACAGCTCAATACTCCAGACCCCCCTCCCCCTCCTCAAGCTAAAACGGCAGCTGCTACGGATAACAACACCCACACACACAACCGACGGCACAGATACAGAAACATTTACAAGGCTACTACACACATATGTACATATTTTCGCGCACATGTGATTTTTTGGAATTGAACAAATTTTGAATTCTCAACTCAATTTGTTTCTCTATTTGTTCCAAAATGTCGGCAAATCTTGAAAGACTTATTTTTCTAATTCGCACACACTCACACACACACACATTAAAAAAAAAACGCTCTTGGAATAGCGTGCAACAGCACACAAAAACAACAACAAATGTTGAGAGACGCGTCGTTGCTGAGAAGGGGTGGAGTGGCGTAGTGGGGTAGAGTTGAGGTTGCTTGTCATTGTGACTGCGGGGGGTACGTACGTCCTTATGCTACACAATCTTATGTTGTTTTTGGCACCAAAACGAAACACATTGATATACAATTTGGTAAAAATATTGATGCTTGCGCGTCGCTTTTGTCACTATCTGCTTGCTCCGTTCTTAGCCGCGCAATAAACAAAAACAAAAAAATTGATAATAACAACGAATTAGGTACGAAACGCGCAACGCGATACCAAATGCTATGTTACGCCTATGTTAACCTGCTGTTCAGCACTCGATATATCGACATTTCGATATCCGCTTGGCATCAACATTGTCATCGATTTCGTGTAAAGCGCATTTTATTCAACCTGTACAACAGAGCGCGCTGCGCGCAAGAGCTGCCCACTTGCTTCAATCCAAATTGAATTCAAAAACATCAGCAGGCTGGCAGGCTCAGTAAACAAGTCGAACAGAAAAGCAAATGCCAAGCGATTTTTTATTAATTAATTATTCTTGTTACTTATTTTAGTTTGTATTTATGTTTGTGTGGCAGCCAACCGACAGCCGTTCAAAGTGCGCAGTTGCCCTTGAAATCGTCATAGCAACGGACAAATAACAAATGTAGTTAGCTTTCAATTATAGCTTTTGGTAAATGGCACACTGGGCAAAAACAAAAGCATAAACCCAAAAAGAGCATCGCTTGGCATTTTTTCACACAACATTCCTCCCAAAATTCAAAGTGCATATAACAACAATTTCTTACACATGGATATGGATAACGCAAGGTGAGTTTGCTAACCACCATTAATTAAACAAATTGTATAATTCACCTTGGCTGTTGCTGTTTTGCTCTCTGTTTTCTTTTCGATGGTTTCTCACAGATGGGCAATGGATGTGCTGCGTGCCGCTGCAGAACAGAATGAGGACAGATTAAGGTTGGATAGCAACACACCCAATGTCGCCAATCCCTACCAGCTGCCTGTGCCGCCCGAATACGTGTCGCAGTTCCGCATCGATGGTCAACCCATATTACCGCCACTGGTGAGTATATATACATATATATATATATATATATATATATATATATATATATATATATATATATATATATATATATATATATGTGGGGAGTGCCATTACTGAAGCATGAAAATTACCATTTACAGATGACGGCGGAAAAGCGACGCCAAATGCAACAGCTGCGACAACAAGCTATGGCGCTAGAGGCCAAATACAGGCAGCCGCATGCCATCAGATCAACATCAACGCTAGACGAGGAACAAGCAGACAGCAGTAGCAGCAGCAACACCAGCAAAAGCAGCAACAACAGCAGTATCACGAATAGCACAATTAACAGCATGCAGCGACTGCCACAACTGCAGCAAACGGAAACGTTTATTTATGACAGCACTCGGCAGCAGCAGCAGCAACAGCAGCTGCAGCAGAAGGATGTGCATCAGGAGGAGGAGCTTAGCAGCTCAGCAGGACACAATCGACCCCAGACTCTCAATATTGAGCCAAAGAAGCACGCGGCATTAGCTGGTGTTACGATACCTGCGATACCTACGATATGCGTAAATCCGCCAACACCACTGCAGCCATCGACGAAGCCACCATGCATGTCAACACCAACTATGGCCACAAGTTCAACGACATCGTCCATTGCGCTGAGCGCAATGCGACAACGCAAATTGAACAATATAAGCGGTCGCATTCGGCAGTTTGAGCGCACTGGCCTAGGCAGACGGATGGAGCTACTGCAGCCGGAATCGACCCATTTGCTTTGGCAGAACGAGACGCTGATTGGACCAGCCGACAAGCGAATGATGCGCTCCAGCACCAGTCCAGCACTGAGCGCTTCCCAAGTGGACGTGCAGCAATTGCATCGATCGCGTTCCTTCACGCTGGAGCAGCCATCACAGGCGCTCATCGAGCACATGCAGCGCGAGGGCAAAAGACCGCCAACACCTCCAGCAGTGCCACCACCAGTGCCACCATTACCAGCTCAATTATCGACGCGTTGCCGCTTCGCACTGCCAGCAACGTGCAACGGCAACGGCTCGGGATGTTCATCAACGCTGGGTTTGGAGCATTTGCGTCGAGATACCGTCGAGTCGCGGGCCAAGCAGGTGCAACGCAACACTTCCAGATCCCCAGTAACACCTTCAAAGGGCGGTAGGCGGCGTGGCGGCAGTAGCAACAGCACAACGGCTCGACTTCAGCATCAGCAACAGCAACTGGAGGATCTGTTGCAGCGTGCGCTGCACGAGACAACCGATTGTTTGGCGGGACAGGAGCAGGTCGAACGCAACAGGTTGGCGCTGGCAAAGCGCCAAATGTTCAAAGATATCAAGACGGCGCATCGGGATCGCTTCCAGCAACTGGTGCAGTATCAGCACGAGGAGCAGCGTCGCATGCAGGAGGAGTTCGATCGCCAGCAAAAGTTTCTCATTGAACAGATCTGCACCGAAATCAATGTGTCTGCCTATGCGCACGAGCCGCTAACTGATGCGGCCAGTCCCAGCGCCATTTCCGAGTATACCAGCACCGATGATTTGCCAACGCCAACGGCAACATATCAGTCCTCGGCGAACAACACGATTGCGCTCGATTCGCTCGAGATAACGCCACTCAGTTCGGAGTTCCTTAGCCAGGAGCAATCGAAGCATATGGTACGCAAGCGTCTCTTCGACATGGATAATGATTCCGAGGGTCAGGGAATAGAGTTGATGTCGCTACCTCTGCCTCTGCCTCTGCAGAGTGCTTCCAGTTCACCCAAATCCCGCTCACTGCGCAGCAACAACAGCAAAATCAAAAAGCCCGTACAGCGCAGCCAATCGAAGAAGGTCAGCAGTCCACTGCTGTTGTCCAAGTCGCCGACGCCAGTGCAAAGAGCTAGCAAAACTATCAGCAAAAACGGCAACAACAACAACAACAACAGCAGCAGCATCAACAACAAGACGACAACATTGACATCACAGACGAAGCCGACCAGCAAAAACAATACACGCAGCAGCCCGCAACAACAGCAATCGTTGCAATTGGCCAAGACTCGACGCAGTGTATCCCCGAGCCGTCTAACTGTAAGTAGCCAGTATGCTTCCAGCTACTGTTTGGGGCAAACAATGTGTTAACCAAAAAAGAAAACAAAAACAAAAAAACAAATCTCTTCCTTTTCTTCAAATCTGTCTGTGCGAATCTGCTGTGCTGCTCCAACAGCAGCGCTTTGTGGCCAAGAAGTGATAGTGATTAATGCAATGAATCCAAAAGTGCCTTAAGCCAAATATATTGGCAAATCTCTGGGAACAAATAGCATCTAGCAACCACTAACAAACTAATCATTTGACAAACATTCCCATTCACATTCGAAAATGTTGAATAAATACTGAGGAGGGAGATCATCGAACTAACTCGAACTAATTTACTTATACCGAAACCATTAATGGTTTTAATTATTAATAACATGCTATCTGATCTGATCTGATTTGATATCATTTGATCATCGCCAGCAGTCAGAGATGCAGCGACGCCATGAAGCTGCCACGCTGTTAAATGCTGCCACACGTGGCTTCCTCGTGCGTCGACTCTTTCGTACGGAGCAAGTGCAGCGGATTGTACAAACCATACGCGATACACTCATCTTTGTGCTCAATCTGCATCTGGAGACGTATGGCAGCAGTCTTGAGCAGGAGGAGCCGGCCAATATACGACTCAAGGCACGCCTGTTACAACAGGTGCGTACTATATATAATATTATGATATGACCACTAAGTCATTTATGATTTATTGTTTTATCCACTTTTAGTTGTGCTCAGCCAGCCGTACTCTGCACCTGATCTTCTTCCAAACGAGCATAAAGGAGCGCATGGAGATAATTGCGCGGGACCGCAAACGTATCAAAATAAAGCTTTTGGCCACGCATATCAAGCAGCGCTCATAGATAAATAATCCTCGAAAATCAGCCACCTCCCAATCTATTCCAAGTTCACGCATCAACTGGGATCACGTCTGCTACCCGGTAGATGTTTTAATTCGAGTATAGAATAAAGACTTGATACACACTAATTCAGATATATAGTTATCGTTACCAAATCATTTCATTTTCAATTTTAAAATCCTTCTTGATTAATTATTCATACTGAAATATAAATATATACTATAAAGTTCGATATAATCGTAAGCAACGCAGATGTATTCTTTTCAAGTGTTTTTTTTTTTTTTTTTTGTGTGATATCGTTGAGAACCGTTTTAAACTTGTTCAACAGTTTTCTGATACTATATGAACCTTATAATAAAACCGTATTTAAAATACGTGTAACATCCGTTGTAAGATGCCGTTAAGTAAAAGAATGGGATTTAATTGCCGTATTTTTTATGAGAATTTGTCAAACAATATTTTCGGAAAAAGGAATTGAATTAAATTTTAGAAAGTAACATTTTGAATAAATGTAAATAACAAATGTATTTGCTATTGAAGTCTTTACACCTTTGAATATAATAATTGAATTAGCTATAAAACAAAAGAAAATTGAAATAATAATAATAATCGACAACTGTTCAAATCACATTTAGCATAATACTTTTTATTTGTAGTTCCCCGAAGTCGCCTGCTGAGTATTTGGCAGTATGAAGTCGCTTGTAACTTGTGTGAATCATACATATATACATATTAGATATATATAATATTAAATTGGCATCAGATTAGAAGACAAAAGCTATCAAAATGAAATATAGATAGATCTCGAGATAGAGAGAGAGAGAGAGAGAGAGAGAGAGAGAGAGAGAGACAAAATAAGCGAAGGAGATAGACACACAAAGCGTTAAGTTTGAAACATTCACACATGTATATATTATCATAATTATGTATATTGGTATAATTGCATATGAATAACATTATCTGTACCATTAGCCTAGACATGCAAACAACAAGATGCCAGGTTAAACTTTAAAACACTCCCACACGCGCACACGGATAGAGACAGACACAGCCACAGACAGATGAGTTGGGGCACATTCGCACATTAAATATAGGTACTAGTGTTTGTATGTATTTTGTATATACCCAGTCGAAAATTGTCAAGTTTCTCTTCAATAGAATTAAGCATTCAAAACAATTACATTTTGAGCAATTCGATGTAATATATGCAATTCATGAATTAGGAAGCTCCAAATTCGAAGAGTAGTGTTGACTGAATCTCTCTCCGAATTCATTGTTCAAATGTTTGTTAGCATCCTTGCAGAGGAATCAGGCTCTTAAATGTAGAATGGACTATTTGCAGTGAGATTGAGTCGCTTTTTAATTTGTACAGCGTTTTCATTCCTACTGCAGGTGGTATTATAATTTTGTCAGCAAGTGTGTGACGCATTGAAGGAGAATGGACATATATAGTTATTTATATATTACTCGTGACAGCAGCGCGAATGAAGGGCTTTAAATCGGTTCCTTTCCAACTAGGTATATATGTACAGTATAGTATAATATATTATATATAAAATTAACTAATTATTTTATAAAAAAGCATACAAATTCTAAGCCTGTGCCATTAGCAATCCGTGCTTTATCGCCGTTTGTATCCTGACTGTGTTGATCTTGTTAGTTGCACGTTGGTGTTTTGTTGTTGTTGTTTATGTTAGCGGTGTTTGTGTTCCTGTTTTGCGTTCCAGTGCCTCCGTTAAACTCGTTTAGGCGAAACTGCAACACGAATTAGTCTTTTTCGCCGTCTTATAAAATGCCTTGCTTTGCATAGATAGCTGCTCCGATTTGGTGACCATGTCCTCCAGCTTCTCGCCACGTTCCAGAACGGACGCAATTGTGTCCTTCAGTATGATTTTCGTTTCATCCAAATCGTTTTGCATTTTCGTTAGGGGATCGGCCTCTTTGGGATCTTGGTATTTGGCCAGAAATGCTGGCAATGAATCAAAATTTATGGTCGCCTCGGTACCGGTGGCCCACTGCTCGGCGGGCACCTTGGCTGTGAAGTCATCCAGTATTTTTGTAATTAACGTGTGTGCCACACGATGTGGATACTCGTGATCAGCGATAAGAACGCCAGACAAATTATCAGCTCTCACATACACATGGCACATGTAGGCATCCTGTTTTACCGACTGCCTCAGCGCCGGCTGTGTGCGTTCCACAATTGTCTTCGAGGCGAAACTGTGAGGGGGGCGAGCCAAACAAACATATGTGTGTGTATTAAATTGGGGCACAAGTTGTTAACGGGGGTCGCTCGGTCGGTCGGTGGGTGCAATGGGCAAATTGCGCATACTCACGTCATGAACTCATTGACCGTGCCACGTTGAAAAAACGAGAAGGACTGCAAGTCGGATGCTGTCTTCAGTAGGCGCGCTTCGCTGGCGCCCTTGTAAAAGACACTCAATGTGAATAGTCGGACCATATTTGCCGATTTCTCCAATGCGGGTTGCAAAACTTTCGAACTTGCTTTTTTAATATTGATGAGATTGACAGATTGGCGTTGCAGTGCTGTTGATGTCGTTTTTGTCTGCAAGATGGGCTTTAGTTAAGTCACACACTTGTCACCATTACCATATCACACATATGTCTATCAATCGTGGAAATGTCTGAATTGTTTAATGCGCTGTTCGTTTTGTGTATGGGACTCAGTTAGAGTTGAGCAATATCGGAGCGTACATGGATCTAGTTCACTGTGACTGACAAATATATCGTGTCACGCCGTGACTGAATATCGAGAGTAACTGGTCACACGCCGATATTAATCGCCGCTGATATCGATAGCTAGTTCAAGTGTGGAAAATGTTGTATTTCGCATTAATAAACGTCCGTTAAAAGTACAACTCTATTTAAATTATAAAAAGAGGTCACCAAACAATAAACAAGTAAAATTTTATATCGCAATTCAAAATTAATTCTCTTTATAATTGCACAATAAAACTTCATTCACACAGACAAGTTTTACTATGGATTTATTGTTTCTTCAAGTGCATTTCTGTAACAATTTTGCCTTGTCTTAACTATGTTACTTAATAATATATTCATTTTACCTAAACTTCCGAAAAAATCGCACCTAACATATGCGGCAACCTAATCCTGTTGGTATTGGAATTGGTCGTCACGTCTCTGATTTGGTGCTGGCAGTGGTGGAAAGTTTGCCGTATATAGATTACAGCCGACACCCATTGGCACCGTCACCTGACCCTGTAAAGGCAACGGAGGACCACACGCAAAAGGATTTGGAGAGGCAGGCGTTGCTGATGATTCTGATACAATTGTCGCTGACATCGGCTCAAGAAACTAGAAGAAATTAAAAAGGTTGAATAGTGCATTAAAGTTCGTGGAGCTTGCTTAGAAGCTAGATTTTGGGAAATTCGATGCGCAAGCTTAGAAAATGGGAACTACGCAATATTGGAAAATACCTTCTCGTAGTACATTATGTTATTATGTCCTTGTGTGGACAAGCATGGGAAATATTCTAGCACTCTTACTATTCTCAAGAGAGTGAGTGAGATTTATACTGTATCACAACGGGCCAAAAATGGCCTATGGGTGTTCACCTTGGTCGGCAGCCGTTAAACCTTACCTAACCTACTATTTTCAATATTTCGAAAGTGGAAATGTTGCTAAATTCACCTGCGGCTTCGCTTTCATTGTTATCTCCCAGTTGTCAATCGGTTTTCGTATTGGCTTCACTCCTGTTGCTGTTGAAGATGATCGTTATATAATACGTCTGTATCGTCTGGCCATTGGCATATCAAAGAAGCGCTTACCATGTATTGCATACAGATCCTCCTGGCACAGATTCAGAATATATGGATCTATATTGCTGTTGCTGTAATTGTTATTGTTGTGGTTGCTGTTGCGAACGTTGCAGCAGCAATGCTTGCAATGTTTGCCCTTGTTGAAGCGACTGGTGTGGAATTGTGGGCGTGGCTTGGATAACCAATACTGCTGCTGCTGGAGCTGGCTCGATGGTTGTTGCTGTGCATTCTGATAGCTGTGACGTACGTGTTGCTGCTGGTACTGCAAGCGACTGTTGTTGTTGCGCGCATTGTAATTGTCATGGTTTTTATAAAAGTAACGAGAAGTGTCATTGCTGCGCACGATATACTTGTCGTTGCTGGTTGCTGCTGCTACTGCTGGTGTTATCATTTGTTGGTTATGTTGCGGATACTCCGGCACTGCCGCTATCAAAGTGTGCTGCTGATGAGCCAATGCAGCGCGACTGCGCCGACCCCAGCTGAATTCTCTATGCTGTTGAGTTTTCTGCTGGCAGTTGTCCCATTGGATGCTGCGATTCCAAATGCATTTGGTGCTGTCCACAATGCTATTGGGACTTGGATGGATTATGTTGCGGTTGTATTGCTGCAGCAACCACAAATCATCATTCATCATCGGTTGGAATTGCTTCTGCTGCTGTTGCTGTTGCATTTGGTTTTTGCACTTGGCCTCATAGCCAATCGGGTTCAGGGCGCTTTGAGGAATAATATCGGCGAACTGATGTGGCTGGTGTTTCGTCTCGTTGCTATTGAAGTAAGTGATCTCAAAGGGATTGGACCAGAATTTCTTGCATGGTATATTGCCGGCAGTGGGGTTGCCCGTACACAGTGGTTCAAAGGCGGTGTTATGAAGCATTGATAGCATCAGGCTCTCCAGCTCCTTGTATGGTGTAGTCATGGCTAGGAGCGACAGCAGTTCGTGAACTGACACATCTCGGCTCCAAGACATTGTTCGCCTTTTTGGCAGCTGCGTAAGCTTAAAATGGTTGGTGGAAGCGGTTTCTGAGTTTTGAGAGAAACTACTAGAGCCAAATCTAAATTGAAAGCCTCGCTGATCTAAGGAATGCAAAAAATGAATATGCTTATATTTAAAATATTTGTGTATATTGTTAACTCACAACTCTCAAGTGAACACCAAAGTAAACAATTAATTTCAATTTAATAAGCATTTACTATTTCTTAGAATGTTTTGAATCTTCTGATTTTTATAGGGAACTGCTGAGCTCAGCTCTTTCCAGCTAATGCCAAAAACTGCAGCGCACAAGGAAAGGCAAGAAGCGAGACTGGAGGAATTAATTGATCAGCTGTTACAAATAGTTTCAATTGGCTTAACGGATCGAAGATCAGTTGCATAACATTCGAGTCATTTGATTTACTTGCCGCTTGCTTTTTGCGTAGACCGTTTGTCAATTCGTTTGTCAATTCAAAGCGTGACTGCCAATGCGCTGCACATTTGTTTAAAAATCAGTGATTCTATTTGTTTATGTGTGGCGGCGTTGGCGGCGCCATTTGACGCCGATGCCAGCCAACCGGTGTCGATTACTCACGGCAAGTCGTCCCGTCGGGGGGCTGTTGCGGTAGCTGCTGCTGCTGGAGTTGGTGGTAATGCTTGGACTTGTAGACGCCGTTGGCGATGGTCTTTGTCGTCAATATCAACTGCTTGGTTAAGGAGCAATTTAAATTTAAATTAGAAGTGGAAGTTGCACGTGTTCGACTTAACCGCTAGTCTTGAGTCTACCTTCTTATTGGAGGACGTTGTCTCCAAATCGTTGGACCCTATTTCACTGCACAAGTCCAAATCGACGTTGACGTTGAGTCCCTCTGTGCTGATCGGATAAGAGATCTTTCCAAATCGATTGAATAGTTGCACCCTTCTTGTACGCTGTCGCTTGGTCAGATATTTCATTTCGTGTCGGTTCGGCACAATTCGGACAGTCGGCGATCGTATTTTCAAATATTTTAATGGCCGCTGACGAACCAGTGTGGTCGTAAGATTGAAATATAAAATATATTCGCCAAAAATACCAAATAGTATTTAATATTTTTCAGCGTGAAAAATGGAGTTCCGGATAATGTTTATTTTCAATGAGCTGTTAAATTTAAAAAGTCTTAAAATCGTTTCGTTTTGAAACTTTGCCCACTCGCAACATACTTGAAATGTAATCAATAAGATAAATACTTATCGATATATGTAAATATTTTTTAACTTCACACTGCTAAGAGACAGAGCACAGGAACATGTACATACATGTATGTATATCACAACCGCAAATCAGCCAAATATTTTAAAGAACTGAGCATTGAAATACATGATTGTGCAAAATGTCTAGTGATTAGACTATTTATTTGCAATTAAGCTTTAGCAAGAGATCAATGGCGATTTTATCAAGGTTAAGCCCGGCTCCTCCCGTGTATGTAAATAAATAAAACAATCAGTGCAATTGCAAGAAACAAAGAATGAAAGTCAAATTTCCATAATTAAAGCTTTGCATGGGCAAAAACCAATCAAATAATGCTACCAATGATATTACCAGCTGTCCCATCTGTTTTGAGAAGATGAAACGCTGTGAATTTACCAATCATCTGGAGGGCTGCAGCATCACCATTAAAGTGCCAGCGCCATCGTACAAAGGTTTATCAAAATTGCCCGGCACCAGGAAGCAAAAATGGCATCAGTGGCCTCCTTCCGTTCAGCGAGCTAAACAATTTGACTCCACGACAGTTGCACGGAGGGAGCGTTGCGAAGTGCACCAGTCGGTGTCCCAGGAGCGGCCATCAAATGGACCGCTTGAAGTGCAATCGCAAAAGTCTCTAAAGCTTACTTCATTTTCTCTCGGAAAACCAATATTGATACATATTTAAGTTTTCAGAGTTATTAGTTAAGTTATGCTCTGGAGTTAAGTTGTTTACAAAATGAACCCATGAAAAATTTAAAAAGGGTGTAATTTTTATTATCATTTTTTTCGCCATTTTGCTTTTCTTTTTTATTTCCATTAAGCTAGAAGAACTTGAAAATTTGTTGTTTCTTTGTTACCGTTAACTCAGTAATCCATTTTAGTAAAGATTCGAAATGCGTTCGTGTTTCTTAATTCAGATGTTGCAGATGATGGATATGGAGAATGCTTGTATCGCATAGCCATTGACATATCCAGATCCTCCTGGAAAGGATTTAGCATAAATGGATTCTGGTTGTTGATGTTGTGGTTACTGTTCTTGTTGTTGTTGTTGTGGTGGCAATCTTTGCCTTTGTAAAGGCGACTGGTGTGGAACTGTGGACGTGGCTTGGATAACCAAAACTGCTGGTGCTGGAGCTGGCTCGATGGTTGTTGCTGTGCATTCTGATAGCTGTGACGTACGTGTTGCTGCTGGTACTGCAAGCAACTGTTGTTGTTGCGCGCATTGTAATTGTCATGGTTTTTATAAAAGTAACGAGAAGTGTCATTGCTGCGCACGATATACTTGTCGTTGCTGGTTGCTGCTGCTACTGCTGGTGTTACCATTTGTTGGTTATGTTGCGGATACTCCGGCACTGCCGCTATCAAAGTGTGCTGCTGATGAGCCAATGCAGCGCGACTGCGCCGACCCCAGCTGAATTCTCTATGCTGTTGAGTTTTCTGCTGGCAGTTGTCCCATTGGATGCTGCGAGTCCAAATACATTTGATGCTGTCCACAATGCTATTGGGACTCGGATCGATTATGTTGCTGTTGCTTTGCTGGCTCAACCAAAAGTCGGCAGCATTTGGACGCTGGTTACAGCCATTCGTCATCGGTTCCAATTGTTTCTGCAGCTGCTGTTGCATTTGGTTTTTGCACTTAACCTCATAGCCAATGGGCTTCAGGGCACTTTGAGGCATATTCTCGACGAACAGATGTGGATAATGTTTCGACTCGCTGCCATTGAAAAAGTTAATCTGAAAGGGATTGGGCCAGAATTTCATGTCTGGTATATTAGCGCCAGTGCTGGGGCTGTCAATGCTCAGTGGTCCAAAGGCGGTGTCCTGAAGCATGGATAGCGTTACGCTGGCCAGCTCCTTATACGGTGTAGTCATGGCCAGGCGAGACAGCAACTCATGGATTGGCACATCCTGCCTCCGACATTGTTGGCCCTTTTGCCAGTTGTGAAAACTTGAAATGGTTGGTGGAAACGGCTGCTGAGTTTTGTGGTCTGCTCATTGGTGTCTTCAGGCGATGCTCCCGATGCTCACCAAGAAGCTGTCTCCAAGCCTCAGGACTCATGAAGCTGCCTAGCGTTAGTGTCTCGCGCTGCTTTTGATAACGCTCCGGATCCCGATCAAAATACTGAGAGAAACTGCTCGAGCCAAATCTAAATTGAAAGCCTCGCTGATCTAAGGAAAGCAAAAAATGTATATGCTTATATTTAAAATATTTGTGTATATAGTTAACAAACAACTCTCAAGAGAAAAATTAATGTAAACAATTTCAATTTAGAATTTTTAGAGGGGGGCACGGAACATCTGAGCTCAGCTCTTTCCAACTAAGGCAAAAAGGGAGAGTGGAGGAGGAAAGAGAGTCAATGCAATTGATCAGCTCTTACGAATAGTTTGAGTTGGCTTAACGGATCGAAGATCACTTGTATAAAATCAGTGATTCTATTTGTTTATGTTTAGAGGCGTTGGCGGCGCCATTTGACGCCCGATGCCAGCCAACCGGTGTCGATTACTCACGGCAAGTCGTCCCGTCGGGGGGCTGTTGCGGTAGCTGCTGCTGCTGGAGTTGGTGGTAATGCTTGGACTTGTAGACGCCGTTGGCGATGGTCTTTGTCGTCAATATCAACTGCTTGGTTAAGGAGCAATTTAAATTTAAATTAGAAGTGGAAGTTGCACGTGTTCGACTTAACCGCTAGCCTTGAGTCTACCTTCTTATTGGAGGACGTTGTCTCCAAATCGTTGGACTCTATTTTACTGCACAAGTCCAAATCGACGTTGACGTTGAGTCCCTCTGTGCTGATCGGATAAGAGATCTTTCCAAATCGATTGAATAGTTGCACCCTTCTTGTACGCTGTCGCTTGGTCAGATATTTCATTTCGTGTCGGTTCGGCACAATTCGGACAGTCGGCGATCGTATTTTCAAATATTTCAATGGCCGCTGACGAACCAGTGTGGTCGCAAGATTGAAATATAAAATATATTCGCTAAAAATACCAAATAGTATTTAATATTCTTCAACGTATAACCGAGCGAAAATTAAGTCATATTGCTTTGAGTGCAAACTCGTATGTACGTAGTTGCCAAGCTAAGTCTTATTTCGTTTTGCAATGCTTTGTAACTCAAAACTTATTTGTAATCCAGTTAAATAAGTATTGTTGTCAGACCTCCTCAAAAAACATCGATATATTTTTGATCACTTCATTCCGATTAAAGACGCAGCAGAGAAACAGCTGTGAGCTTCGGTTCCCATTTGGAACCGCCAAGCAGTCAAATATTTTGAAGAACGGCTTGCTTGTCACTGCGCATTAAAATACGCAATTGTCTAAGATGTCTGATGATCCAGACTACCTCTTTGCAAGGAAGCTTCAAAAGGAAATCGATGAGGATGTAATCAATATTGATTCAGACTCGCGCCATGTAAGTAACTGAATAAAACAATCAACACACAACACAGAAAAAACATAAATTAAATTCCCATAATGCCAACTTTGTATAGGCAAAAACTAATCAAATGTCGGTCAAGGATGAAGACTACCAAATTGCGATGCGGCTGCAAGCCGAATTTGATGCCGAGAATACCTCAAATGCAGATGAAAGTAGTGCTTCCTTTGCAGAAGCCACTCGGCCATCAGACATTAGCATTTTGATGCGCGGTGTGAGCAACAAGAAACGAGCAGACGTAATTATTATATTATTATATCAATATGTTGTATGTAAATAAACCATTAATCTTACATTTATATTATCCAGGAGCCCGTTGGCCACGATGGTAATTACCTGGATCAGACACAGAATCTCGTCCATCCAGAATGGGAGCTAGTCGATCCCACACCAGACATATTCGCCATGTTTGTGCGCTTCGATGAAAAGTTCTTTAATCGCCGTCTCAGCGCCGTCGCTGTCCAATGGAGCAAACGTATGTATTCCTGCGCCGGTATCTGCTATCAGCGCGGCAACCGTCTGGGCAAAGAGGTGATTATACGCCTCAGTGAGCCGCTACTAAAGCTGCGTCCACGGAAGGATCTAGTAGAGACGCTGCTGGTAAGTGCATCTATGTCGTAATAAATATACGTATGTATATTAGTAAATTATTTCGTCTGCAGCACGAGATGATACATGCATATTGCTTTGTGCTAAACATATTGGAGGGCAATGGCGGACATGGTCCGAACTTTAAGCGCATTATGGGAACGATAAACAAAGTGGCGGGCACTAATATAACTGTTTATCACACATTCCACGATGAAGTGAACGCATATAAGACGCACATTTGGCGCTGCAATGGCATTTGCCAATATCATAATCCCTTTCAGGGCTGGGTGAAGCGCACATCGAATCGCGCTCCCGGTCCCAGTGACCAGTGGTGGGCAAAACATCACCGCGAGTGTGGCGGCACCTTTGAGAAGAAGAGCGAGCCACCGAGAGCAGCTGCCAAATCAAGCAAACCAGTTGCAAAACCAGCGTCGAAGAGATCAAGCACTATCACATCAACTTCAAACGATGACATTCGCAAGTATTTTGGCAACAATAGGCCATCTGTTAACTTACTGCCGCAAGCGCAGCCCCATCTTGGACTACCAGGCGCATTTCCGCCCACCTCATATCCGGGTCTATCCAACGAACCATTTGCTGGCATTCAGACCAATAACGCAAAGAAGCGTGGCAACATAGTTGGCTTCAAGGATCTGACCAGCGATGGCAGCTCTAGCGACGAGAACAAGGACAAGGCCAACTCCAAAGTCAGTGGTATGCAGGGTAAGGGCTATAGTCTAAAAACGAGCATCTCCAGTCAGCTCCACCCGCCAGATAATGTAAACCTCAACCATATGCGCGATATCTGGTCCAAGCGTTTTGATAACCGAAATAAACAAACTGAGCCAAAACAAGAGGCGCAAAACAAACAGAATCCGAGCAAACGTCGACGCGACTCTTCAGAGACCGAAGGCTGGGAGAAATGTGATGAAGATGTTTTCATATACGATGTAAAAGTTCCAATTTTAACCATATCAGATAGCGAACATGAGGCTGAGGCTGAGAATAATGTTGTGCTCACAAAACCACTAAAATCGGCAGCAATAAGTAGCCATGATCGCACTATTAACATCAAGCGCGAGGTTATGGAGGAAGAGGGGCTGTACAATGACGACGACATTGTCATGATCGATGATGAGTACGATGATAACGTCGATGAAATGACTGCAGCCATTGAGCTCTCCGATCTGTCGATTACTGAAGATCTATTTGGGGAGGATACGCTGCTGCAGGAGTACCAGCTCGAAAACGATGTGGTTGCCTGCAGCTCAGGCTTTCAGTTTAATGCTGCCAATGATATTACCAGCTGTCCCATCTGCTTTGAGAAGATGAAACGCTGTGAATTTACCAATCACCTGGAGGGCTGCAGCATCACCATTAAAGTGCCAGCGCCATCGTACAAAGGCTTATCAAAATTGCCCGGCGACAGCAACACCATCAACAAGCCAAAATCATCAGGAAAACCGAAACGCAAATACTCAAGTCGTGGGTGTTTGAGAAGCGCTGGCTACTCAGAAAGCGAAATTGCATCGCTTGATCTCAGTACGTCCAGCGAGTCAGACAATATGACACCACAACAGTGGCGCCAACGTTCCCTCAAGAAGCAGACAAATCAGTGCCCCAAGTGCGGCCAGGAAATGCTTGGCCATCAAATGGAGGCACACCGTATGATCTGCAAGCGCAAAAAACGCTGACATTCTCAATTCGTAGTTACAAAAACATGTCATGTGTGACTGGAAATACTTATTATACAACTCATTTGTCAGTTATTAATAATAATAATATTATTCGTTATTCTTATGAATAGTTTTTTTTATTAAACTAGTTTTTCTTGTATACGGTTTGATTTTTATTTTTTTTTTTGTGAAACCAATATTGATCTTTTTGAAGTGGAAAGTATCATTGGATGCACTTCAAATCGATGGCATATATTTGAAAGATTATGCGTATGATTCCTATAAGATTCGGCCAAAATATCGAATATTAGGCTTGTGGGAGTAGCGTGCGGCCAGCGCTGGCCAATGGACGACAAACATATCGGCCAGAGGCAAGAGGAGGCGGCCACTCAGTGAGAGCGTTTCGACGCGACAATAACTCTCCACAAAGACTATCCGGCTGTGGGCGGGCAGGCGGCCAAGCAGTCGCCACATATATGCTGCGTAGCAGTAGGGTACACAGGTGCCAGGCCCGTTACACAGTACCAGTTGTGGCCGGTCGCGCCAAACCAGCCAGCAGCTCCAGAGGAGTGACCACAGCGTTGTGAATATAGTGCTCACCCAGCTCTGGCCGACGCTTCGACTGCGCGGCACTCGGATGAAATCGCTGTCCTTCGTCACAGAAGGCATTGCGACACGCAGGTGACGCTCTGAGGTATCATCGCTATTGGCCACAATGTAACGTACCGGCTGGTATTTCTTTTGGTATGTGTTCTGGTCACGCAGCAGTGCCTGATTCATTTTGCACATCTCAGCGGTGTGGCCGCCCGATCCGAGTATCACAAAGGTGGGGTGTATCGTCTCAGTTGTCGGTGATTTGCTCGTACTCATCATTGTTTCGATTAATTGCGGAGACCACTTGGAAATTTCTAACCAGCTTTTGTTTACCTTTTCAAAATAATCTCTGGCCACACTATGCAAACATAAGATTTGTTTAGTCTAGTTACCCTCAGTAACAGTTTCGAGCAAATTCATGTCTTCAATAAAAACAGCCATGTGCAACAGTTATTTGCCTTAAATGTTATTTATTTATAAGCTGTTTGTAACTTAAATGTTATTTGCTTATAAGCCGTATAAATGCTGTCCATAGAATATGTTGCACTGTGGCACTGGCTCATCGATAATTTGGCATTCCCATTTTCAACCAGGTGGCCGCACTCTGTTAATATGTGGTGCGAAATGATAAAGAGAGATAAGAGAGAGAGAAAGAGAGAGAGAGAGAGAGAGAGAGAGAGAGAAGTAAGGCTATGACACACCCTCACACGGATCACAACTGTGCTTTAAGAAATCTAATGATCGGCTCAAGACTGGCCAAAATGAACATTTGTTTGAAATTTAATTTCTCTTTATTTTATTTTATATTTAACGCATATATTAAAATTTTTCTGGAATTTATTTATTAATGATTTATTTTATATGCGTCTGAATTCAGAGAACGAACATTTATTTAAAAGGCTCCAGGAATTTTGCGTCTTCTGTTTGTTTTTTTTGTTTTTGTTAATTTTACCATGTAAAACCCTAAATTTTATTTAAACCGTTTATTTTTTGTGCAAGTGTCCCAATGCCGTAAGTGGCGCAAAAGAACTAAAATTATTTACATTTTTACAAATTTAGCATGCGAAATAAAAAACAAGTGTTAAATGATACAGTTAGGGAGGAGGGGAGGGTAAGCGAAACATCGTTCAAATCATTTGTCTAACGATTAAGAGATGTGATTTATACTTCATGCTGCCCATGGCTTTAACAACAACGCCGAACTGTTAAGTTTTCCTTGGGTTGTTGTCTGTTATTGTAATCTTTTGAAATCAGCTGCTTGGTGATGTGCAGATTTGTGTAGGGCTGTGCGATTGTTAAAACGGTGGGCATGGGTAGACCCACCCCTCAACATTTGTTACTTTCAAATTTCTGGTCACACTATATTAATAAACAATTTAAAACCCTCAAAATAAGTGGCACATTTGTTGCAAATTTCGTTATTTCCGTTTAAATGAGTACATCATTTGCTAACTAGGGTAAAGGGTAAAGACTTAGTTTTGTGGAATTTAAAGAAAAGTGTAAAATAAAATGATGCAATGATGAACCAGAGCATTTTGTGAAAGTCCTCTTGCAGGTAGCAACTTATATTGCTATTTGTATTCAAAAAAACGTAGAAAAAGTGACTTCACGCTCCTTATATATTCATCTTTACCTTTTTCGAAATAAACAAGCCCTACATTAGTCTCACAAATTTTCTTTTCTATTTTAACAAAAGCAGCGCTTGCCATCTAAATATGTCCAAGGATGCAAGCAGCGCGTTTGTTCAACAGAATGTGAGAAAGCTTGTGAAATGTTTAGCTGGCGGCAACGTAAGTAAAATCACTGCATAAGTGTTTGTAAACATGTATATTAACACTGCTGATTTCTGATCTCTGATTTGTGCAGTCGACAAAATCTCAGAGACGAACTTTGGAGCAATATGGATTGCACAAGGTGCAAATTCATCGCTCCTTGGCTATCAACAGACACGAAGTGCGACGATCCGTTGATAATATGATCGAGAGATTTCGCTGCGAGGGCATGCCGCATCAGGCTAGCGCACTGCGGTATCTGAGCACGCTCATCATGGACCATGACTTGTGGAAGTCCCTCTACGTGACGGACGTACAATATTCGGTCATCGATTTTCTCCTGAGCGTGACCTATGCGCCCATCCAAACGGTGCGACGCAATAGAAGACTGATGGATCTACAGCTTCTGGTTCTAAAACATGATCTCGAAAGGGCGCCGACTAACGATAAACTCGTGAATCAGTCCCTGTCTAATCCTGCAGAGGCAGACGTCGATTGGGTGGCGGTACTAACAGAGGATTTCGATAAAGAATCACTACTAAGCTCGGATAGCAACAGCAGCTTGAGCGTAGGTTCTTTTATATAACAATTAACAATTTGCAGCATAAAGCTAAACCCGTTTATTATGCTTTGCCCACTTCAAAGGACTGGTCCGATGACGAAGAAAGTTTCAGTACAGAGAACACAATGCATGAGATCGAGGAGGAAGAATCAAGTACGAGCCTGCAGCTGTTTGTCAGAAATTTTCCTTGCCACTCAACTGAATCGACATCGTTCGATGGCACCCCAAAACGTTCCAGCTGGTGCAAGCTGCCCACGCTGTCAGCGGTGCAGGCTCCAAGTGCGCTGCCAACATACACCAAATTTATTGCCGAATCCACTAATCTGTCGACAAAGGTGCATTCTTATTGGTGGCTGCAACACGTCAAATGCTATTCATATACAATGAATTTCGATCCATTAGCGAACTTTGCTAGTGCTTATGTGCAGTATATGAATCCACAGACGCAACGCTTGCTGCCTAAAACCATCGATGAGCACAGCCTGATTCGTGAGATCATCTTCATGTTTTTTATGCCGGCTAGTTGCTGCTTCTTTCGTGTGCACCCAGAATCGATGGAGATCAGCGTTTGCAGTGATGTTTCCATCTGCAGCGTTAGCAACGTATGTATATGATAAAATCAGAAATGTATAGCAATTATGATTCCCAATTGTATTGTAATGTTTATTAGGGCACTCTGAAGACAGTGCTGGAGGCGGAGGTGTTGCCAGCCATGCAGGCCATGCAACAACTGCGACAGATTGTCAAAGAGCATACGCTGCTCAACGACCATACGCCCACCTCAGGGACACTTCAATGCTTTGCTGTGGGGCTGCGCGATGTCATCCAGCCCATCGAGCAGCGTCTCATTGCCTTCGAACGGCAACTGCTTGACTGTGGCGCCGGCATTACGGAGTCGTCTCTAACGCTGATTGCCTTTGTGCGGCACATGGATGTGCAATTCAAACAGCTGCAGGTTATCCAATCGCTTGCGGCCAACGCAATTGTTACGGCCCCGCCGCATCTGCGGAGCGCCTATCTGCTCTCTCATCTGTTTAAGCACACAAAAATGCACGTACCGAACCAGAAGATGGCAATGGCACTCCTGCTGATCACGCTGAAGCGCTATTGCACCATCATTGATAACTGGTGGCGCAGTGGCAATCTTAAAGACAGTCGCCACGAGTTTATAATGGAATGCAGTCGCGATGACAGTGTGTATGCTGTACAAAGCGTACGTGAACGTTGCCGAACGGAGGACCCAAAGGATGTGCATCGAATTATACTTAAGGAACTGCGCGACTGCAAATTATATCACTTGCTCATGGAGCATGCACTCCAGTTCGGTGAGACGCAGAATCTGCTGGGCAGCCACAATTTGCTGGGTGAGTTGATTGAGAACAGCAAACAGGTTGGATCGCTGCACTCGGATCTTATCAAAGAGCTCTTCGATGAGCTGAAGAGCTTTGGATGCGTCGCCTGCCCAGTTGGTCGCCGGCGTACTAGCGTTCTGGACGATGTTCGCCAGAACTGGCAGCAGGACAAAGCGCTGATACTGCAGAGATTCAGTGAGCTGGGCGATCCGCAGCTAATGGGCTTTTTTACGCAGCACCTGAAGCAATCACAACGGGAGCAAGTGCAAATGGAACAGAGAACGCCGCCGCTGCAGGTGCTCGATATATTGGAAGCGCTGGAAATATGCACGCCACTGCAGTTGCCCCAGGTGCTGCCACGTGCCCTGGCCAAGGTGTTACGGAATCGCATCGAACTGGCCAATGTCTTTGTGATGCGATGGTATCGTGAGGAGTTGCTGCTGGGTGAACATGTACGCTTTCTGCGCCATCTGCTTATGTTGGAGGCTGACTATCTGCTATATCCATTCTATACATGGCTCTACCGCAAGATTGAGTCGGGCGAGCAATGGGCGCGCACATCGGATCTCACCAAGTACCTGTACACGGTCCTGGATCCGCACTATCCGGCCATGGCCAGCGATATATATGTGGAGATCATTTCGCGCATGCGCTCACAGTCAATTAAAGTGTTCGAAGCTCTGGAAGCCATCGAGGTGAAGTACACCATGCCGCAGGCGCTGTCGACCATTGTTACAGAGGAAAATATGAAGTGTTACAATGACATTTGGAGGCTATTGCTCAAGATCAAATGGGCGGCATGGAAGCTGGAGAATATGCGTTTCATACGGCGTAACTCGAAAGATCTGTACGCACCGCTCGATCTGCTGGGCCTGACGGTGCGCCGGCTGGAAATGCTCCGTTTTTGGATGATCAATCTGATCAGCAGCCTGCATACGCATCTCTGCACCCACGTTATACACGCCATGGGCATGCACTTCGAACTCGAACTGAAGAAGACGCGCAACATCCGCGAGCTGACCAAGCTGCACAAAGACTATCTGTTGCAGCTATCCAGGCACTGTCTGCTCACCAAAGAATTTGAGGACTTTCGCTCGGCTCTGGAGCAGATATTCCATTTGGTATTTGTGCTGGACATGGAGTGGCATAGCTGCACTAGCTATCTAAATGATTCGCATGCGCTTAGCATAGATCCTAGCTTTTGTGGTGGTGACTCCAGCTATGTGGGCTGCAAAAGTTTGGATACCTCTGAAGTTAACAATGGTTTGGAGTATCTGGCGCTTAGCCAGGTGGGCGAGATTGAAGGCACCTACAAACGTTGCCATCAATTGCTGGCCTCAACACTCACGACGCTTGTCTATAAGGACGATCACAAGATTTGTAAGTGAAAATCATATATGTATATACATATATATTATTGTACTCTGTTACACCATTTATCTGTCTCTTTTACACATTTTTATCTCTTTTTAATTGCAGTCAGTTCTCTGGAACTGGCTCTGAGCTCGAGCGTGCCCTGCTAAATCTATGACCGATCCCAAGGACCCACCCACACACACCCACCCACATACACCCACACACATACACACATACACCCACACACACACACAGACACACGTGTAATTACATTATTCATTAAAGTTGTGTTTGTATAAGGAGAAAGTGGCGTTGTGTTTCTTAAATAAAATATTGAAATTATTTGCATTATGCATTAAGCGTTAATAAATTATTAACATTACAACGTATTTAATTGTTAAATTGCAATGTGTGTGTTACTTTTTTATTTTTTTAATATTAATTTTATTTATCATGGGCTTGACCACATTTTAAATTGCAAGCAGCTAAGGGGATGATTTAAATACCTTGTTGTCCTGGCAACCACGACCGGCAAAAACATCAAAACAGCAAATCGAAAAAGGTTGTCAGTGAACTAGTTGGTTATGAGAATGGATACCGAGATTAGGAGCAGCAGCAACTACTACAACAATGGCCAGACATGTACGTACATAGATCCACAAATATATATATTTTAACTATATGCATATATTTCTAGTGCTGCCGCATCGTTCCAATTTATTGCTGCAAATGCTGCTACAGACCAATGCCTACGTCTCGGTCATCTGGAGTTTCAGCTATTTGCTGCACATGATCATCTGGGTGAGTTAGATCAGCCGAACGATTTACATACATATACATTTGTCTCGGTTTCGCCGATCTGTTGCAGTCGTTTCGATTGTGGAACTACACTGGCCTGGCCATGCTGCTGGCCTATGTGCTGGCAGTTGGCACTGAATCGCTGCGCCTCTATGCCAGCTACTCAATTAATCTGGGCATTGGTGCGACGACCATGTGGTTGCTGTTGACGCTAACGCCTTGCGTCCTGCTGCCCGCGCTGGTCTATCTGCGTCTGGCTGCTGCTTTGGGTGACTGCTGGCTGCAGTTCATCTCGAATGTGCAGCTTGTACTGATTGCGTTGGAGGCGCTCGTGGCGCTCATACATTATGCACTGTGCACCTCCAGCATTAGGGAGAAGCAGTCGCGGCAACTGCTGATGCTCAAGGCCAAACAACTGTAACTTCAATGTGCACGTTAATGTTTATGTGGATTTCGACTTAAACAACATCATATTCTAAATAGTATATGTATCAGCGTATAGTATAGTACTATTAATATAAGCTAAACTAGCAAGCTAAAGGAATTTCGATCATCATCACTTGAATCACACTTTGCGCGCATCGTCCAAACTGTGCGCCTTGAGCAGTGCATCGATCCGATCGAGTTGTGCCCGCATTGTGGGCAAGTAATTGGTCAGCACCTCGATATTCTCCTGCTGGGCGGCCCCCTGGCCGAGCAGCTGGCTGCGTGTGGGCACCCAACTATAGATGATCTGGAGAAAAACAAATTAGAAAACGTTAGAAATTAAGCATTGCATTTTCGGCACTTTCGATAATTGCACTCTCACCTTGATGGTGCTTTGGACAATGAAGCCGTGATAGGGCTTTAGGGTGCGCTCGTAGGCATCCTGTAAATGATGCTTCAGTGCCTCTGTGTTTTGTGCATCGTTGTAGATGTTCTCGAAGAACGTGCAAATTAATTGCAGACCGCGCTTTAGCCAGAGCAGCGCATTTGCCGCAAAATCATCCACATTCACATTCGTCACAATCATATCTTCCAGATATTGATATTTCAGTACATCCGTGCCATAGACCTTGGTTAGTTTCTGTGCCAAAGATGTGATAAATACTTTTGTGACATATATGTATGATTGCATTGGGTTAAAACTTACATTTATATTGCCATTCATATCGCTGATTACGGGCGTGAAGAGCTTCCCAAAGGTTTCTGTTTTAAAGATTGCGGGCATTTAGATAATATATTTAATATATATATAATTTATTCATAGCGATCGATCAACTACTGATCGAATAGGCTCACCAATTACAATTACAATTTCCTTTGCCGCATTTAAAAATGTCTGCGTTTCTATTTTATCCGTCGCATCCGGGAAGCCTTTCAAGACTTTAAATTTTATGCGCGCATCCACCATATTTAATTGGGTTCCTGTACGATCCTACAGCTGCTGCTCCAGTTGAGCTCTGAAATGTGAATGACACACAAGCGCCACAATTAGTAATTAGCGCAGGTTTTTCTTGTCTCTTGCCAATATGAATTTAACTATACATATAATATACACTTTTTTTTTCAATATGTTTATCTTATCAGGCAGACCTCTGCCAAAAATATATTTTTTTTTTTAAGTTTGCTTGTTTGTTGCTTCTATCACAGCATATTCACTATCGAACTGTTGGCTTAGCAAAAAAAGCCAAACAGAAAACAAAGTGTAAGAAATGCGAGTTGTTTGTCGACGCTGCACAGTGTTTAAAGAAACGAACTCACGTGTTCCAATTTCAAGTCGACTTTGAACTGAAATCAATTTGTTTGTAATATATATTTTTTCGACATACCTCTGAGAGTATTTTGAGTAATTCAATGTTGATTGGCTGAGTTGATAGCGGCTTTCTAAAAGAAGCTACAAAGAAAAATTTTGATTTCTCATTAGTTATTTGAAATGAAAAGCAAAAATCGTTACGAATATGTGAATCATGTTTAAGAAATCTATTTTCGAATATTGTTCATTTGCAGCGTTTACACCAATGTGCAGCAATGCTGACAACGCAAAAGCTTAACCCATTTGACATAGACAACGATCGATGAGTACTTCTCTGCGATAGTCGTCTTGAGGCTCTATCTCTCCCACGTCTCTCTCAGCTGCTTTGCCAGCTCAGCTGAGAGATCAGCTAACAATCTCAGTGGAATGGGGAGCTACTCTCAAAGCTATTTATCTCGTCTATTTCGACTTTAACTATCTGCGTACGATCATCGAACTTTGATAGCAATTCGAGAGCCGGTTCCGTCAGTCGATGTTATTAACCCACGGGCACTTGTTGATTTAATAGCTGCGCGCATGAATCATCTAGTTGTGAGTAGTTTCAGATATATGTAGCTGCATATGTCGCAACATGACTCATAATTTACAATATATGATTTGTTATCTCTTCCCCAGTCCATTGAGGCAGGACAGCACTTCTTAATGGGTTGCAAGCCACATGCCAATTTGATTGTATTGATATCTTTTCAGTGTTATTCATTTATTGAATCAAGTCAGAGCTATTCTGTTTATAATTCAAAAAATATATAATACTGTATTTTAGCAGCAGACATTGCACACGTAGCTTTACTTGTTTAAATTATTTCAATAGAGAATTCAAATTAGTTTTAAAGATACGCTTTATCTTTAATAGATAGCCAAGTTCCGTAATGATATTTAAATATATATATATATATATATATATATATATATATATATATGTTGGTATTGCGTGGCTTTGCTTAGGTCAAGTGGGTTTATGGAAATGTTTCACTTTAAAAGTGAGTTCAACAATTGGTTGAAAAACAACAATTTTGCATGACAAAGACTTAGACAGTTTCGGGTTTCGCAGTGTAATTTTAGTGGATGAGCATACTGAAGAAATAGATCTACAACTATTAATCAAAATAAATATATGTATTAAGAAAACTGTAGGTAAAAGTTGTAAATAACTTCTTGAATTATGTTGTATTCTGATTATTATACTACGATTTCATTTGAAAGCAAATCGCGTCAGCATTTATTGTGCTCATTAGCAGTTATCGTTTTAACGACTATTATAAATATCAATCAACATTTGTTTAATTTCGAACACGCAAATATTCGTGAGTCATTGAATTTACACCCACTTGGAATACACTCAGGTTTCAGAAAATGAGAAAGAGCAAATGGAGATTTTAAAGTACTATAATTCCAAATTGGAGGATCGGTTGACTATTGGATTTAAAGCTGGTTTGCCAACTAAGTTGATCAAGATGTTGAGGATTTTTATGGTTTATGGAATTATGCGACTCAAAGCTCACCGGGGCGATAGCTAGTTGGAAGCGTTGTCACAGGTCAAGCGTTTGGTGTCGCCGTCAATGGTCAGTATAAAGACGTAGTGGGTGCGCTGGGTGGTCAAAAGATGCCAGAGCGCAGCGGGCAGCTGGAAGCGATGCGCCTGCTGCTGCTCCTCGAACACCTCGTAGTGGGCAACCAGGCTATTTAGATTGCAGCGCAACTCGATGAGACGCAGTGGTATACTTGACACAATTTCAGCGCTCGCTGACAGCAACTCAATGTGTGGCTGCTGCTTCTGAGCCTGGGGCTCCAAGTCGGGTCGCATCCAGCGATGCTGGGCGAGAATGACGGCACAGTTGTTTGTAAAGTAGAAACTATCGTTGCGTCGCTGCTCGTGATAGGTATCCAGATACTCGCTGCCCGCCGGCTTCTTTAGCTTCAGCTGGGTGAATCGTGGACGCACCAGAGATGTGGATGCATCTGTGGCCGCCACCGCCGCAGCCGCCACAATACGCTGCGGCAGATGCTCCGTGGGCTGATCAACGGTTAGCACACGATTTAGGAAATCAAATCCATGGCCCATCACACCATCGATGGTGTGGCCGAGGTCGAAGCAGTGGCCTAGCTCGTGACAGACAGCGCCCAAGGTGCTGGCATAAACGCCGCCGTAGGTGCGTCGATAGTTGCTCTCGTCCGGCAGTCGTGTCACATCCACACGCCTCGTGCTCCGTATGCACTCGCCAATCTCCGCAAAGCGTCGTGGCCATGCATAAAAATGACCGCTTCCAAACAGAGCCAATCCACCGCCACCCAAAGCAGCGTGCGCCTTCAGATTCCGACGGATATTCGCGTAACTGTAATCACCACTGGCTGCCACTCCAGCGCCGTCGTATTGGGTACAGCCAATGAATGCAATAAACTTAAGATGCAGCTGCTGGCCCCAGTTGGGACACGCGAGTATCTCGCTGGCGAATCGCTGCCAGAGTTCGTCCTCGCCGCAGCCACGCACCGTCGCTCCACTCAGCTGGCTGCGGAAGATTTGACAGGTGCCGTTTAAGCTGAACGTGCGATTCGCATAGCCGGCAGCCTGCAGCTTATGCGCATAAATGCATTGCACCAGGCGCAGATTCAAATCAATTAAAGTGCACCGTTCGCGCTGCAACTGCTCTGATTCTGCCGGCTCGTCGTCGTGGTCGCTGGGACGACACAATAGATACAATGGTTGCACACGATAAGTGCTGAGACGTCGCTGATAGCTAAATTGCAGCAAACGTTTGCTGCTGCAACAGTTTAATTGCAGCTCACACGGCTCCTCCTCCTGCACCTCCTGCGATTCCTTATCCGACTCTGATTCCAAATCAAACAGTAGCTTAAACTCACCAACAGCAGACAGCTGGGTGAGTTGCTCCCGTTTCGACCGGCGCAAAGATAGTGTAGCCGTCAGCTGATTGCCACTGGAGCAGCTGGGCAGCAGTCGGCCCTTTATCAGCAGGAGGCTGTGACGCACTTTGTCTGACTCTCGCAGAGATTCGACTTCAATCTGATGGGTGCGCTGGCAGACGTTGACGCTGCTGGTCATTGCTCCCCGACCGGCGGAACGCAAATCGGTTTATAAAACAGTTGAACGCTGCATGCATCACAGCTGTAACAATTAGAGATGGGCGCTTGCTCAGACATAACGTGACACGGTATGCACGAAGCCCAGCAAAAAAAGAAGAAGGAAAACAGCAGCAAACAAATAATCCCAATGTGTTTTACATAGCTTAAAGGATTGCGCTTAGAGTTTGATAAAAATAACACTAAATAGCAGCACATCTGGCACAAGGGAAAAATACTGTAAGCATTAAGTGAATTGTTATATTAACAATCATTCTACGAATAATACAGTTAAGAAGTTCAATGCACGCAAATAGTTAAACAAATGTTAAATGCTAAAACAATTGTACCTGGGAAGGAGATCATCATATATTGATGGTGGCACTTATGAGCCTCTACTCTATGAATGTGTGCGTGTGTGTGTTGTGTGTGTATGATAAGTGGTAACACGATATCACACGAATATATACCACACTATTATTATTATTATTATCTATAATCATCTATCTGAATGAACTCATTATTTAATTCATCCTCAATTTATTCATACCGTTCCAATCAGTTAAGTCTGGCTATATATAAAGCAATGACCGGTTTATACAATCACAAACAAAAGCAAACGAATATCGCAAATTAACATATTTACGCACTCTCTCCAAGTTCAAATATAATTCAAAGCATCGAAATCCTATGAAAAAGCATGAACGATTTTAGAGACGGTTCGCTTATTTAGTATTTATTAATTTTATGTAACTGAGCACAATTTCAAAGTATTTTGCATTATTTAGAAGTCGATCTGCTGTCGAGCAGGGGTTCATGACCCACCGCGAAAATGCTAACACAAATCGATCGGTTCGCACAAGAACCGGTTTGTTTCTTTTTAAGTTTGAACTTAAGCCTAAGCTGACGACGACGCGTTGCACGCGTGCAACAGCTGCCTGGGTAGAGATTCCAGAGAGAGTTTGGGTTTCAGTTGCAGTTAATTAAATAGTGTACTAGTTACTAGCTAAGTTTGCCATTGTGCGTGGTGCGATATTTTGAAATGAGTTCCATGTACTCCTCGTGCTTGTCCAGACTGGCCAACAGGCCACCTGTATTCACTGACGAATCGTGGGGTCCATATTGGATTCGCTCGCCATCGAGCGTTGTCATGGCGCCACCGAGGGCGCGCAGTATGGCTTCGCCGGCACAAATGTCCCACTTCTTGATGATGGAGGTATGCAGATAGGCAGTGGCATTATTGGCTACCACTTGTAGCACCTTATAGCCAGCGCCAGCGGCCGTCAGCAAACTGACATTCGCACCAAAAACATTGCGCGCCACATTCTTGACAGCGGCAGCATGGGACCGCGAAACGGTTATGATGGGCTGGTCGGAGTTGAGGCGCGGCATTTGATGCAGCTCTTGCAGGTATTCGGATCTGCTTTGGCCAACCCACGCCCAGGCGGTTTGACCGCTGAAGGGACTATGTATGACGCCAATCACTGGACGACCTGCCACAGCCACACACACCATTGTCGTCACATACTCGTACAGCTCCTCTGGGGTACGAGGATTACGATTAGATAAGATTGAACTATACGGTTGGCTTTTTTGTATGACAGTGATTTACCTGTAAACTCCTTGGTGGCATCCAACGGATCCACCCAGACGGTCACATCTTGAGCAGTGACCGACATGTCGGGCACCTTGGCCGTCTCGTGCAACACAGTTGGATCCAGATCAAAGCTGTACGCATCCTTGCAATGCTCCTTATCCTCCTCCGAGAAGATGCGTACACGTGGAAAAATGCGTTGCAGGCCCTGCTTCATCACACAATGCGATCGCCCGTCTGCATCCGTAAATGGATCGTTGACACCCTCAGCCGTTTTGCCCTTACTGCGCTCCTTTAATTGACGCGAATGCATCACGTCGACCACCTCCAGACCGCCGCGCTGTGCCGCCTGTATGGCGGCAATGAGCATCTTGCGTAGATTCACATTGTTGTCGCTGCGCAGCATGCCGTAAATGGCCGGCCGCTCATCTTTCTGGAAGTTGAGAAAGTACACAAGCGCAATGGTCAGCAGAATGGCAGTGATGGTTGCTGGCACCCGGTTGATGCGTATGGTGCGCCCGTTCATATTGTCTGTCAGTTTATTGCTCATTAGTAGCCAAGACGTCTTAATTCCTTCACAGTTCAGCTAAGCAGAAGTCGCCCGTAATTCTTTCTTCACATGCGAAGTGCGGCGGTCGACGTGCCACTGGCCGCGGGCAATGCCAGATCAGCACAGGTTCTGCCGATGCCGACGCCAATACCCCGCTACGGTTCTACCCTCTGCTGACAGAACAGCACAGAAACAACAAAGTTAATACAAACGAACAACAACTACAACAGCAACAGCAGCAACAGCAGCAACAAATGGCGAAATACCAAAAGTCTGTGTCAATAAACAAATACAGCTCGCCGCCGCGGTCTTATTTTGAGAGAGCGTCTGCGGAGTTGGTAGAACAGACAGTCGCGCCGAGTCCACGTTGCTTTATTTCACCCACTTGTTTCTTGTTCAAAACAAAACAATTGAGCAAAAAAAAAAAACAGAGTTGCCGCGATAGACGTGGTGGCTGGTCGATAAAGCTATCGCTGAATTTGCCAAAGTAAATTAAAAGTTTGTGTGCCTGTATATATATCCTATAATTATATTCCTTTCAACGTATAAATGAACTTTTTAAATAATTTTTTTGCTATATATTAAAAGAAGTTTATGTCATTAATTATCGGCTGCTTTGAAAATAATTGTAATATATTTTAACCTCAACTAACTCAAAATACATTTTTTTGAAACTTAATTTTTCGTTTAGGTTGTTCACATCTAATTGTACATATTGCACATTTGCAATGAAGTCCGTAAATTTCTAATCAGAGTTTTAGTGACAACCAACTATCGAAAAAGCTGCAGCTCTGCCCCGCGATTTGAAAATCAGGGTGGCAGCCTAGCGTTCTAACTGTTTCTAATACGCAACGCGTAGAAATTCGGCGGGAAACATCATGTTAAAACGTAATTTGCAAAGAATTCATCTGACTCTGGCTGATTTGGAGGAGTACCAGGCGTTGCGTAGGCGCAACAAGCTAAGAGCAACTATCGATGCGAGCAGATCATCGTCATCATCGGTTACCGCTACGGCAACCGAAACGGCTCCGTCCACAGATAGCAACTCAACATCGGAGACGCCAGTAACGCAGAGGCATCTGGAGGATCTGCCGGCCGCTACTGGCTGGGCCACAGCTGTTGTGACCAACAGCAATACCAATTCTGGTTCCACCGAAGACGATACCAGTGTGGCTGCTGTGGTCGATGACAACGACACCATCGCTGAGCTCAGTGACGACGGCTGGGTGGATATTGATGAGGAGGATGGCGCCAGAGGTGGAGAGCCATAATTTATAACTGCCAATAGTGACAACTATCACACACATCATTCCATTTGTTTCTTCATACATATATCATGTAATCATCCCAAAATCGTGAAGAAACTAAACTCATGTCAAAGCTCATACTAAAAATGGACGTGAATTTTTGTTTTTGTTTATTTTAGTTTCAGGCAACGGCCAGGATCCTGTTACAGCATTCGCCTGACAGCTTGAGAGCTTTTGGTCGAACTGCGCGAGCTTTTATTGCGCATTTCAGCACGCAGACAAAGCTCAGAAGCCCCGCTGTCGGCGCTGGTTTTAAATGGAAAAAGCTTTCTCATATTCGGCCAAAGGAGCAAACAGGAAAGCTAAGTAAAACTGCTCTAGTCTAGATAGTCTCCGACTAGTTTATACCCAGCACCTACTTAAAATGCACAGTCCCAGCTACGAACGTACATTCAAATTTAAATGCGTATGCAGTGGCTATGTATTTTGTTTTCGGAACCCCATCCAAGGAAATCATTCAAGTTTCGAAATACCGGTTTGGTTTGTCCTAATTTAATGGTAGAATCTGAGATCAGCAATCGTTCTGCCCAAATATGTTCATTACTTTCATTTGCAAAACTTGAATATACCCTTTTGATGGCGTTTAAAATGGGTTACAGGGTATAAGAAATGGCAGTCGTTGAATCCTCAGGTGTCTGTTGCGCAAATGCCACGGTCACTGCGGCACTGTCAGTCGCCGTGTGCGCCTGTCTGTCCGCATAGACATCCGCATCCGCAGTTTGGCAGACAAGCGACGCAATCGAGTCTCGGCGCAGTGATTTCAATTTGCCGGTCGGCCGTCGCACCGGATCCGACCGGCTTACGTTTTTTGTTTATTTTTTTGTTTCTGTTGTTCACGTGTGTGCGTAAGAAAATACGTTTAAATGCTTGTCGTTATCCAAAATTAGTGCGCGCCATCAAATAAATTACGTGAGCAAATTGGATTGTGCGCTGTGCCTTTTAAGTTTGCTATTTCCTTTACCTTAACCCCGTCAGCGTCAATGCTGGCGTCCGTGACCTGCAGTCGAAAAGATCGACCCACGTGCAAGTGTTTAGTCACGTGGTAGCATGGCACCCCCCTCCCCCCACCCACCTTACGCTATCCCCATCCCATATCCTTTGTCAACAAACTATGTAAATGTGAGTTAAGAGAAGAGAGTGAGAGAATGAGAAAGAGAGTATAGCTGGCGAGCAAATGACGGGCGGCGTTGCATTGATGTAACCACCTGTCACACATACACAACAACAATAAAAACAACAACAACAAAAAACACACACATATATGTAGTGACTGGCACGAGACGCGACACGTGTGGCACTATTCGAAAGCGAAAGCAAAAACGCCAAAGTACAGTAACACTTTCCTTTGAGGCAAATGGGTACAAATACAAATAAAGTTTACTTCTGTAAATACTGAGTAAATCTTCGGCTGCTCCTTTAGAAGACATATGTACAAATAAGTATTATAATCGCATTAAAAGTAGAATAAAAAAACCATCGTTTATCAATCGATGAAAAATATTGATGAATTTTCTTTATACAGAATAAAACATTATTCCGAAAAAACGTTTTTTTGCGTACAACTTATTTTATTATACAAGCAAAAAATTGTTAAAAATACATTCATTACATTCATTAAGACAAAGGTTTTTTTTGTTTGTTTTTAATACATGAATATTATAATGTTTCTATGATTCAGCAAACTTAATCTTTTGTACAAGTTTTTCTTGTTGGTCAGTGTATGAAATGCACTTTTGAGCCAACAAATTTTATATGCAAAATACTATATCTATGGTCAAGGTTCTTAAGTATAAGGCAAGGCTTCTGTGTGTGTGTATGTGCTGTGTGTGTGTGTGTGTGTGTGTGTGTTTATATAGCCGGCCACTGGAGCTTTTTATAAGTTTTACATAATTAGCAACTGCGTAGGCTTATGGACATTAGGGCAGAGTGAGTATTTTGTTTTTGTCAATCGAAAGCAACATTTCTGCAGAAAATCAAAGTTCTACGAATTTATATAATTATCGACAAATTTTAAGTTGTAAAAGAAGAAATGATAAAAACTTATAATTCTGATATATTCATAATTAACAGTATATGCTTATATAAAATAAAATCTTACAGGAGTAACTTTTGTTGTTCTTTTTGAGATCGAATCTTAGCCTTTTCAACAAAATCAGATTAAGAAAATGTAGATTTTCTTTAATTTATTATAAGTTCTGGCATTTTGTATTTAAAATAACAAATAAAGAAAAAAACTTTTTATTTGTAGCTCTAGCATAGAAAACTAACATTTCGCATGACTGCATTTAAGGTTAAGGGTCATTGAGTGAAATTAAAGCTCAATTAAAAATGTTGGTTCGCTCAACCCTAATGTCAAAAACATCTAGATATGCGTGTGTGTGTATGTAATTACATGTGCAATCTGATGCTTAGCCGGGTTTATGTTACAGCTGCTGCTGCTGTTGCTGTTGACGTCGCTTTAGGGAAGCCATCAACAGGTGAGAGAAGGCTCCCAATGCGCTCAAATTGCACACAAACACCCACACATGCAGTGACTTGCATTATTAATACGGCACAATGAGCAAGTGCATGTTAAATAGAAAGCGGCAACAATGCAAACGACCCCCTTCCCCCCACAGACTGCTCTCCCCGTTATCTTCATCGTATCTCATTTCTCTGTCGGGCTAACAAGCTCTCCAGTTTCTTGTTGCCTGCTTTTAGGCTGGCAGTGTATTGTGTTTCGTATTGAGTATGCAAAACAAAATGGCTGAATAATGTACAGTTGATTTATGAATACCAAACACACACACACACACACTCACACACTAAGGCACATATTGATGTATATCTTTGCATTGCATGTTTTGTCAGCTAATTTGCATCAATCTATGTTGTGCCACTTTCGTCACTTGGCGTTGTGTGTGTGCGTGTCACTTGGTGGGTTGGGTTGGAGAGGGTTATTTTCATGTTCGATGCACACAGGCCAATGCCTATATATTCCAATGAATAACAGCGAACGTCAATGACAACTGATTGACAAATCAACAACAAGAACAACAGATATGCATAACAACATTATAAAACAAAGCAAAAACAAAAGAAATAAAAACCAAAGCAAAAGCGCAGTAATCAAATCAATATTAATGATTGAAATGAAATTCAATTTGAATTTGGTGTGAAATGTATATGCACATGAAGCAAAGACTGAAGGAAATGATTATGCAACGTTTTCTTTTGGTTTATACAACCAAGCGTATCATAATCCTGTCACGGAACGACACACAATATAAATATATATATATGTACGGATGAACTGAATTTTGATGGTCTCAAATTCACATTGGTTCATCACATTGAACAGAATAGTCCAGATCAGTTATCTATTACTATATAAGTTAAAACGATTGGCAAACCTTTCTAAGCATATCTAAATTTGCAATATGGCCTAATTTGTTCGACTTAAAGAAAACAATAAGATACATTTAAAGTGTTAAAATGTGTGCTAATGCTAAGTGTAAAAAATTACACAATTTGAAGTTAATGCTGCGAGCAGATGAAGTACTCGGACATTTGGATACCCTTGCAATGAGTATTATAATAATATGGTAAGGTTTGTGACTAGAACGGTCGTTATTTTTATTAATCTTTACCATGACACTAAACTCGGGAATGGAGCGGCACGATACCCTCTGAGAAGGGGTGACTGTGCAACTGTCGCAGTGTCATTGTACAGAGATACTTGTCTCTATGTTGGGGCAAGGCTGCCCCGCCAGGTTGAATGCACCTATATATATGTGCTGTGTTGAAGCGTGTGTCGCTTATCACAGTTGCATTGAGGCCATTGCCCATTAATTGCATCTCGAATGGAATTTCACCCCAGTTCTTGTATTTATTTGGTGTATATGTACGAGTATATGTAAATATAGATACATATATGGGCTAATTATTGACAGCTAATATTGGGTTCGATTGGGTGTCAATGTCGCTATCGCCATCTCTCGGGGCACACGTTGAATTTATGCTATGATTTTCCATTTTTTCTTGATTTTTGATTTTCTTGTGGTAATCTAAAACTCTCTCTACAGCAACCAAAAAAAAATTTCCAATGCGAGTGCAGTACGGGCGAGTAGGGTATATAGGAATTGGAAGTAGCAGCAACGCGCGCTATCTGTAGTTGTCACGAGTGTGGAGCAAGGCTTAAAATAGCAATGCTCGTTTTAATAATAACTAACTATTATTACGAGCGGAGTGCGATTTGATAGTGTCTACTTTAACAAGTGTACATGGCAGTAGAATGAGCGCCAATAGCAATGCTATGACTAGCCACAGGCAGGTGATATAGTTATACGCTTTGATCGCGAATTCTGCACCTTCTATGTCGGTCTGGGTGCCAATGCTGTGGCCAAGCATCTCGGTATTCAGAACTTCCATATCCAGTTTGTTAAAGGACACCCATGGCGGCAACTCGTCTTCCAGTTGCTGCAGATTCTCCTCGCAGATGGACTTGAATACATTAGTGCGAACAATTTTCTCGATGTACGATGTGGTGTTGTGCGAATTGGCGTCTTCAACTTCATTCAAGACGATCGTTTCCATTCTGATTGCTCGGCTGCAAAAAAAGCCTAATAATATGTGAATATGTTTACTTTAAATGCCCTTACTCAAAGGAATAAAATAAATGAAAATATATTTTTCAGCAATGAGCACTCTAGTCGACCATTTTTAATATTGTTCAACACTGACACAAATCTCACAAGGGCGACCCGATTTCTCAAACTCCGCACCTGTGCCCCAGAGGGTGTACATAATTAAATTTCGTTCCAATCTATTTGCAGTTGCGGCTTGCAATCGTAATCGAAGCAGTTATCGCTGTAAAGTCTGCTTATCGAACACTTTACTGCAACTGGCAACTGCAAATATGTAGTTCGAAGGGGCGTGGCAAACGCCTGTATTGCTTGCAAATCCCACTAGAGCATATTAGCGTTGTGAAAATGTTTGAAATGGTACCTATATTTTATTAAAAAAAAAAAAACCTAGAATGTGGGAAATAACTGTATTTGCCTATGTAAACCGCAGCTTGTCTTGCATTCCCGTTTTGTAGTCTTAATCTGTTGTTGCCTGCGAGCAACGGTAATTGTAAGTTTCTTATGATCAAGACCTTCGTCGATGGTATCTTTAAGCTACTTTCATAAAGTATGAGTCAGTCACTTTTGGTCGCTTGAATCGCGTGGTATAAGTCACATGAAGCGGACATATTTTCTGTATTACATACAAAGTTCTGAATAAATATAAAGCCCAAGTTATAATATTAAAAATGTTAAATAATGAACGTTATATATGAAATGTACCATTCCTATATAGAAGAAATATATTGAAAAATGTATCACATAGACGTGGGGCATCAGGGATAGGGTATTCGAGCATTGCTGCGTTGTAAGGAATGCACTACATGCACTGCTGATTTGATGTTGATGCGTATTAAATTCGATGCGAACAGCAATCAATGCGCTTATCAATAACGCTCAAATATGTACACAGGGTAGTAAGGCTGCTTATCAGGTCGCTTTACGTTGATCGCAAATCGTGTGTCGGGGTACGACGGATCTATACGGGGAGAGCCGCGCCAGCTGGGGTGGTGCATTGAGCGTTGAGAAACGATCACGAGTTGTCCATCGCCCCCCACATTACCCCGCTGCGCTCTAGTCCTCTTATGCGTTAGCAGTGAGAAGTGGGCATGAGTTGCAGTTGATGGACTCGATCAGATTAACCAACTAATGTGGATGTCGGCGTTGGAACAATCGGTAGGCAGTACTCAAGAATTACTTCCCCCATTCTTTCCCCCTCCTATACCCACAACAACCGCATCCTCGTACGTCATTCAATCAGGCCAGAAAGCAGATGGACTCGCATTAATGAAAGTTAATAAGGCATAAGTCAAATTCGCTCACACCTTGCATCTTTTAAATTTGTTTACTCAGATAATTAGGCGGCGAGTGCGAACATTCCTACAGTCTTTCAAAACTAACGGTTTTCACTGCACAGTGGAATGACGTACACAGTTGGAAACAATAGATGCAATTCAAACATATCGTGCACACTAATTTATTTGTTTTAAGCTGAACTATTGTTTCAGTTCACAGTTTGGTTGTGGGTTGGAAAAAACTAGCATTCCAGGCTCGTTTCAAATGGGTTTGTGGACTTTGTTTCATATACATTATGCTAGCATTATATCACTTAAGTAGTAATTAAAATTTGCTTTGTGTATGCTGAAAATGGTCCCACTGTACCACACGCTTCTCCAACGAATACATTTTTAAAGTTCCTATTAGACAGTAAAGCGCGTTACGATTGAACATACATAAATTGAAGCAAAAGGCTTGTTATCTGTACTACACCGGCGCCCAATATACTCTAAACCAGTGCCATAAAGATAATGCCTTTTGTGAACATACGTATATCTTAAGCCTTAAATCTATTATAATAGCTGCAAATGTTTGACCCTGAATTGAATAAGAATATATGAAAGAAAGTGAAAAATTGTTTAATCAGAAGCATTGTTTCGTATAAAAGGAAAGTTAAAATAAAGTAAAAGTTCAATTTATGATGATGTCAGTATATTGTAGTGGCTTGTCGCTGTGCTATGGAATCGAATATTTATATAATTATTTTTTAAATATTGGTTTTTATTTTTGAGAGAGAACAATCGGCAACAATAATTAGAACAGGATTGATTCAACTCCAGAGCAATATACTGTTCTGATTCCTCTAAAAAGAAATGTATGTACACATTTATATTTATTGAATTTTGTGTGTGTGTGTGTGTGTGTATGTATGTACATATGCATGTATGTGTGTATGTATGTTGTATTTCGCATGTTATTGTAAACTGCTCTATATTCTATTTGCACTGCTCTCTGACTAATTTTGTTGAGATTTTTAGGTAGCTAATGGCTACATATGTATGTATTTATGTATATATTCGCTTTTGTCATGTTGCCAACTGCTGCATAAAGTTGTAGAGCTTACTCAGCAAAGTGCAAAAGGGAGAGAGCACAAGTATGCATGGATGTATGCATGGATGTATTTGTATATATATATATAACTGTATACGTATGTATGTGTGCAGAGTTAGTTGAGCGTGCTTTTGTATATACAAAATTATTCAATAAAATATATGCTAATTTTAATATAACACTACACCCCCGACCACAAGGCACTGTGCAGCAGCTGTACCCCTTCGCCCCTTCACCCAGCTGTCCCATCCAAGAAAAGAGCCATGTTGCGAGGCGCCAAGTTGACGATTCAAAATCAATCTCTGATAAGAGTTCATAATTCGAATCAGATTATGTTCAAAGTGTGCTCTCTTTCTCTCTCGCTCTCTCTCTCGCTCGTTCTCTTGGAAGTGACACAACTGATAAGAAAGAAACAACGCGCTCGCCTCGGGCGCAATGATAGCGACTGAGCAAGTGAGTGAGAGATATCAACAGCGCGAGAGTGAGATCGAGAGCGACAGAGCGAGAGAGAGAGAGAGAGTGAGGAAGCGAGAGAGTTGCGAGTCATTTGTAGATTTGGTTTGGTCGCGATCAGAGCGCGGCATCGCCATAATTTGTTCTTCTTTTGGTTTTATTTGGTCGCGCACCGGCAACGGCAACGGCTGTTTCCCACTCCAGAGCCAGTTGCAATCAGAAGCCATCCAAACTGACTTTCGATTCCCGTGACACTCCGACAGGCAACATATACTCAACATATACTCAAAACCTACGTTTTTTGCAATTGTTTTCCTTATTTTTTTTTGTATTTTTTCAATGTTTTATTATTTTGGACAGTTTTATTGATTCTCGATTTTAATAAACGCATTGTTTACAAGTTGACGCGGTTTTATTTCCAAATCGGCAGCCCAGCGACGCGCATCGAGTGCAAAGTGAAGTGCCCCAAGGGGATGTAGTCAAAGAACACTTTAAAATTGTAAAAAAAAATTAAATAAAAACAGAATTAAAGTGCAAAATAAAATCAACAATAGAAACAACCCAAAGAAAATCAGAAACAACCAATAACTTAAGAGCAATCAGCAAACGGAAGACAAGGTAAGATCAGTACCTACATATTTGCCACATATATCCATAAAAATGATACTGGCCAAATGCAAAGCATGCATGGGCCAAGTTAAGATATATCGGATCAACCGAAACGTGCAACTATTTATAAAATTCTTTCGATTTCAAACACATAAAAAAAATAACTAAAAATATACAAAATATATTGTATGCGAGCGGGAAGACTGTGCGTGTGTGTAGATTTGTGTGTGGGTGGGTGTACGCGGTGCTCGTGCATTGAGACAGTTAATAACATTTTCTAAATAAGCGCTCCACAAGTGCTGCCACACCAGCGAGTGCACTGTCAACAAGAAGCACATGTAATATTATCGATGGGCAAAATTAGCCCCCAGGTAGCGTCCCACAGAAAGCGTAAATCCCTCAAAATGCGCAAAGTGCTCTCTGGCAATGAACTCGCCAATCAGCCAACCAGCCAACCAGCCAGTCAACAACAAAGCACAGATAGAGCTAATACCAGACCATACCTAGCTATACCTGCGTATAGGGGCTCTTTTTATCTGAATTATTTCATGTTATGTATCTTATCTTGAAATAATCGTATTCAATATAACAGATGATTTAAATATTATCTACTTATGTACATATAAGATTATATTTTACTGAACTTGAAACAATATTTATTCGCTATTATTCATTTCTCTTTTGCGTAATAAAAGTATTTGTATCTTGCTGTCAATATTTTTGGAAGTCAATTACTTAAACTCATGTGAATTAAAAAGTAATATGTCAATTTTGCTTAAATTGCAATAGTTATAATTCTCAGATATGATTTTAATCTAAAAAATACATGTAGATATTCTGGTATTCTGGTATAAATAATTATAATCGGTGTCAAAATGAACAAACGAATCAAGGGATCCTTTGTTGTCCAGCTGCATTGATGTCACTAGGTCGACTGCCATGCCTAAGGGATGCCTTGCCAGTTAAAGGGAGGATGGGGGCAAGACGGTTTGCTGAGAGGTGGCTCGGGTAAGTTGAAGTGATGTGGCGTGAATCAAAGCCAAGGGTAAAGCAATTCAATTATCTGAATGCACAATTTGACTGCATTATCGTACCAGACATGTAAATACATAAAATGCTATCTGTAATGAACAAAGTGTGAAGCCAGCTGATAAAGACGGCATCAGAGTAGGAGAAAAATGTGAGAGGCAGAGAGATCAAGACAAGGAAGGAATCAAAATGCTACTGCGACAGTTTATTCCAGAAGGCCTACAGCCTCATAAATGTCATTCATTCACTTCATCATTTCACATAAGCACACACTCACATCCATATTCGCATTTGCATTCGCATTCGCATTTCCATACATGCGTCCAAGATGAAAACGCGTCTGCGTTTCTTAACAGCAGCGTTCAGCAAGGTGAGAGATCTCTTCCCGATTTGTATCGTTCTACTGATCTATTAAAAAGCGAATTGAACTCTGAACTTAACTGAATTGAACTGAACTGATGCAAATGTACAGTCTCTGAAGGCGCATCTTTCTCTCACACGTTCTCTCTCTCTCTCTCTCTCTCTCTCTCTCTCTCTCGCTCTCTCTCTTTCTCTCTTTCTATCTCTCTGTTTAGCTTTTTTGCACTCATGACATTGGCATTTTGTTTATTTGTTTATTTGAGTTCAACGACTTGCAGCAGAAGAGCAGCAATAACAACTACAACGCAAAAGCTGCCAAAAACAGCCCTCCTCCCCCGTTACCCAGATCACCAATCCACACCATCCCTATTGCCAATTTACAAGTCAATTTGACATTCAATTCACCTGAATTCTGGGATTGGGGTATGGATAGGGATAGGTCAGTATGCCGCTAACACAAACCACAAACAAGTAGCCACCAACCACAAATCACAAATCAAAGCGTGACGCATTCATGCGATGCCCGAGCGAGCAACAAAGTGACGCCCCACTCGATAAACCCGAGCGTACTTATGCTGTTATCGGTCGCTGACCGATACACAACTCGACTTTACACCCAAACCAATTCGCCTAACAATATAATTGAGTGCAATCCCAAGATTACATTGAACCCGTACCATAGCTGGCACGAGCAAGTGCTGTGTATTTCCAATCATTCCACATAGCGAATGCCCTTAATCTTATTCCTGTCTTAGGCTGACAAATATAAATACTGATACTCACTTAATGAGCTATATTGTGAATAATTAATTTAAAATCAAAATCAAATCTGAAATGTTTCAAATATCAATTAAGATAAGACTGTTATAATTCTGCCCTGTCCAAAAATCTAGTTTTAATTCAGATTTTAGTAAGTTAGGAACTTCCAAGTAGTTTGTTAATCCAATATTCAATTATCGTCTAGCGTCAGATCCGAATTGCTTCAGTTAAATAATCATTTATTTTAAGTTTGCCGGCGCTTGTTAACTAAATTAATTAATAAAACCGACCATAATAGTTGACAGCAGTTAAGTTGCGACTACTTGAAACAAAAACTATATATCTTTGAAGAAATGCGATCTGAGTCGTTTTGAGTTTTTTGCGTTTTTCCTGTCTCTTCTTTTGTTTCTCTATTAAATATAATGAGTGGGTGGCAGACAAGCAAACAAGTCTGTCAATTAGTTTACCGTTTCACACTGCGTATGCGCAATATTCGATTCATCTATCTGTTATTGTTGTTGTTGTCGTTGTTATAATCACTTTTTTTTAGGTAATTTAACGTCACGAGATTAGGACCAACATCTAGTTATCTACGACTGACTGAAAGTCATGGTCAAGACTTCTGATTTCATTTAAAAATACATAAACTGCATACATACATATATATATATATGTATATATATACTCCTGGGCTTTCAACGTATTTGATGACGGTAGTGATGGAGATTTTTTTTGAGTTGTGGTTCAGATACCTCACGACATTTTAATTGCCTCTGATTGCACAAAGCTCAGCGCCGCCGTACAATGATTTTTGGCGGTGATTGTGAGCCGTAAATCGTGACTGCGATTGCGACTGCGACTGCAATTGTGCTCAGTGAAACTTTGGCGCAGGCGCCCTTTTCTAATTGATAATCCACTAGTTGTTCTTATTTGTGGAGACGCCCCTCAGCTGCCCCAATCGGTATTCTAATGAAGTTCCTTTGTTTCGTTCGAGTGTGACACATATTGTTGTTGTTGCTATCGTCAGATGACACATGTACATACATAATACAGTCAGCTATGAATATACTTTTGTGTATATACATATATGTAGAAATATTCGTATATTAGCTGATAGTCAGCGAGCAGGAAACTATACCATTTTCGTTCTCATTTTCTCCTTTCAGTGGGTTGTATATACATTTGCGTGCATTTTGTAACGCACTAATCGAAATACATGTGTTCTCTGCTTAGTGCTATGACTCACTGAGTCCGTCTGCTTATTCCAAAAACCAAACAAATTCTGCCTGTATTTTGCAGATCTTAGTGCAAAAATGTTTCACTCTACAATGGCAATTCGTAAATTAAGATTCTTAACCTGAATTAAAAGCTAACAACTCAAATTAAGAATCTGTTCTAAATATGAGAACAATTATCTTATTTTAAGCTGGTAAGAATCTTGGTTTAAGATAATCTCTTTCATTTAATATTAAATTTGTCAATTTTAAATTTCTAATTTTAATTATTTAACTTTTAAATTATAATTTCGACATGATACAAATTTGTTCACTCGTCAATATGCATTGTTTTCAATAAACTTTAAAGAAAATTATTCAGATACAAGTTCTTCTTCTTACCACCTTAATGTAACATGATTGAATCAGGAATACTTCTTCCTATTCTCTGTGTATTTCATCTCTTTAAAAGAAATATCACTTAAGAACTCGTTTATATATATATATATATATACAAAGTGAAATATGCGCGTTTGAATCTTTGATACTATTTGACTTGATAATTATGTAGGATCATTGCTGGAAGGGTATTTGTTCGTCGTCATTAACATAAGTCTTCCTTGTTATGCTTTGTTGTGGTTTTCTTTATTGTATATAGCATACATACAAACAAAGATACGTTTACATATTGTACTTGCTGTACATTATTGTGGCATTATTATCTCCGAATGACATTGTTGCAACTCTTGCGCATTGTTCTTACTTGACGGCAAAAACAACACCATTGATTGAGCATACATTGAGCATTGAGAACATTTTAAATATGTATAGATGTAAACATGTAAATATGCTTAAGTATGCAATCGTTGTCTCTGTATAAGGCGATTAACCAACTGACGTCAGCGATAGTCCAGAAAAACACAAAAATAAAATAATTAACACATTTTTACAGGCGTTTCAAATATGCCAGCCACAATGTTTTTTAATGAGCGACAAGCGCGTGATTCAAAAATCTTATCAACTTTAATATATTAAAAGAAAAAAAACCGCATTTTACAGCCCAGACTACAAACAAATATTCCGAATAATGTAAAGCCAAAATATACATGTGTACAAAATGCTAAATATTGCAAAAATGCTAAATTGACTCAAATTGCCTCAGTTTTCACTTACTAATTGACATGAGTGCGTTTCTTTATGATTATCACGAATCTCGCGTACGTATATACCTTTGGATTTTTACGACAACCTATCATTATTATAAGTATAAATTGTTTATTGCCTGCCAGCAACACAACCGCTGGGGGTCTGAGACCTGATAACCAAGGCCACTCAGTAAGTGATTTTTACATAAAAACAGTTCTTACTTTCCCATTTGTTAGATTGATCGGATCATGGCACAGCAATAACCTTCCGAGCCCCCATCTCGCGTCGGTTCGCAGATAAGGCTTGGTTTTAGTTATACCCTTGCAGAGGGTCTTATGACAGCCATAGAAAGTATCTGTCGATAGATAAGATCTTCTATAAAATATATCTCAGACACAGTGCGCAGTGCAAGCCCAGCGCACAAACTGTCATATTTAAAAAAAAATCAGATCAACTTTGATGCAAGCAAGTGCTGTGAAAGGGTATTTCAAATTCGAACTTACCCATATTGTATTATAATTATGTTATTTTTTACGCGATTATGGGACAGTTCAGAAGGTGGAGCTTCTATCTGATAACCGATTCCATTCAGTTTTGCTCACATCAGCGAGCTGCAGCGCTCCGTCTCTATTTGTCGGATTGCAAAGTCGTCTATATATTGACTTAATTATGATATTTGTTACGGTTAAACTAAAATTACTAAATCATTAAAAGTCCATGAGAATTCGATGAAGCATTTTTGATTATCGATGCTATGTCAATTTCAAATGATTCTGATAACAATTTTCAATTTCTTTTTGAATTTAACAAAAATATATCGAAATCATCTTGCATATAAAATTCGAGTATGTCTATTCGGCTACCTAATCTGTAACTTCTTGAATACAAAATAAATCAGCAAACTCTAGTCCCGAATGCTCAAGTAGGAGATACCGTAAAACCAGCTGTCAAATATATTAAATCTATTCAAAAAAACAGTCGCCAGATATATTGTGAAATTTCCTTATAACAGCTCGAACTGAAATCAACTGCTTGGCACAAGCGCGAGCCCTAAAAATAGTTTTAAACGGAGATATCGATCAAATAAAATAAACAATTTTTCACTTATAATCTTAAAAATATAATTTCGATGTATCGAGTTATCCGGATTCAAATCTACCTTTAAAAGTTATTATAGATTACATGTAGTTTATACATATATAGGAATATAATATAGTAATTCAAACTAAGCTTATTTGATTTTAAATGCAATTTGTAACTTCTCAAGCTGTGAATGACAATTTTTAATTGCCTGTAAATCTTATTTCAGTCAAGCCGCTTGGATCCGGCACAACATGCCGCAGCAGCTGCCGCACACATAGGGTACACCTGCAACTGGAACACACACACACACACACAGACACACACAACGCACAGCGAGAAGCAAGAGAGACACAGTCAGATACAGAAAGAGATACTGAGAGGGAGAATCGCAGGAGTCGAAAGTTATAGGAGCAGCTACCAGTACCGCCACAGGGCAGAGACAGAGGGCCAGGAGAGGAGTAGGAGTAGGATTAGAAGGAGCAGGAGGCATCGCACATTCCACACGACGCCAAAATGGTACACGGACCACCAGCACGTAGAAAATCTCAACAGCTGCAGCAGCAGCAGCAGCAGCAGCAACAACAGCAGCAGCTGCATTGTGACATGGAAATGGATCTGGATGAAATGCCGGCGCCGCCAGATGGCGGCTGGGGCTGGGTTGTTGTTTATGGCTCCTTCATGATTCACATAGTCAGTAAGTGATCATCCCGAATTCAATTAATTACTAAAAAACTATTCAATTTAAAATATTTATGCAGCTGGAGCCAATCGAAGCTCAGAAGACTTTAAATAATCGCTTGAATATTTTAGTATAATCAATTAGTTCTAATTCTAAAAGCATTTCGATAAGAACTTAGAAGTTATAGGATTCGGATGTTGTCAAGCACAAATGCATAGTATTTGTTTTAATCTAACAGAAAAAGAGTTGATTACACGTTTTTGTATACAACTCTTCTTGAGGGCTAATAATAAATGCGATAAGGCCTTGAAGTAAGTAATTCCTATCATGGACATATCTAAGCATACATCAATAGATAGAGTCGTTATCAAGCACTTCTAATGTATATGGGGCATAACTGATGACAATTGAAGGAAACAAAGTAGTAGGAATGCTTCAAATACACTGACGTCTAATCTATAATCCAATAAATGGGGTTGATATCAAAGTATTTGAGCACTGATAACGAATAGCCATAGATTATGTGATTAATCATCAATGCTCGCCTTTGACGATTGCTTACAAGTTAGCCATGAAATCATAAACTGGCATTTGTGGATTTTGATTTTCTTGCTTGTACTACTTCCAATGGCATGACACAGTCACATGGTAACAGCATGAAGTTGCATTCATAAATTAATAAAAACCAACTACAACATACATATGAAACAAAACCTTCGAGCGACATCAGCGATGGATCATAAAAACTCGCACTAATCGCACAAATCAAATTTGTTACCCAGACGTGATTAGCGCTAAGCCATAAATGTTTGTTAACAGCAGATTTATTATGCATTTAGTGTGGCATTTGGGTATTGAAAATGGGGTCTGTGGTAGAGAGACAGATAGACAGATGAAAGGTTCATAGTACATCCACTTGTGCAATGGCAAACAAATGCATAGTTAATAATTGGGTAATTGGTTGAATAATCTTATCGAGGGGCTGAACCATTCCAAAAGAAATTACACATTTGGCCATCGCACATAGTTGCTTATCGGCTTGAGTTCTGGGCCATAAACATGTCATCAGTAGCATTGCTGATAAACAGCGGCAGCCAAAAAAAAAACAAAAAACAAATCCAAATTTTGTCCATGATGGAAATGTATCATTAATTGACCGCTTAACTGATTTATGAGCAGATGTTGAAAATTCGTTAAAATAGACACCCCGTTTTAAGCAACTGTAAGAAGGCTTCCAAAGCATGTTGCCTACTTTTTCGGGGTAACAACAAATTCAGAGCGTTGCAATTGCTTCTGATTAGGAGTTAAACCAAGAGCACAATTGGATTTTATGACAATATGCATGACACAATTTTTCGATTTAATTTATAGAAAGCTTGTTTATACAAAAAAAAATATATATAATATAAGAGATAAATAAGAGAAGAAGGCAATCAACTAAGATAAAGTTTAACAGGAGCAGAAGGGAAAATCTCTGAAAAGCGAATACTGAATCTAGTTAAACTTTAATCGGTCATTAACAAAATAGAAACAAACAGAATATAATAAAACTTGAACTAACTCAATATACAATCCTTTTGCGACTCTACACTTAGCCGATGGCATGACATACTCCTTTGGCCTGTTCCACAATGAGTTTCTCAGGTACTTCAATGAGGGCAATGGCTACACAGCCCTGATCGCATCTATAATGGTGGGCGTTACCTATTCGTCGGGTGAGTTTCGCATTCATCTCAGTTCGTCTCCGCACAATTGTTATACGGTGTAATTGTGTAATATAGGTCCCATTAGCTCATCCTTTGTCAATCGCTATGGCTGTCGAGCGGTGACCATTGCTGGCGCCATTCTGGCCGCCGTCTGCATTGTTCTCAGCGTGTTCGCCCAGAATGTGGCCACGCTGATTGTCACCATTGGGTTGGGCACCGGCCTTGGGTTTGGCCTCATCTATTTGCCGGCCATTGTGAGCGTGACACAGTATTTTGAGGCACGTCGATCTTTGGCCACCGGCATTGCTGTTTGTGGCTCAGGCTTTGGCACCTTTGTGTTTGCACCGGTGACGGAGGGGCTCATTGGCAGCTATGGCTGGCGTGGTGCGATGCTCATCATGGGCGGCATCGTGCTCAATTGTGTCATATTCGGTGCAATGTTCCGTCCATTGGAGGCGCCGCGCCCCAAGGTCCACAAGCTGTCTAAAAAGTCGGCGATTATTGATCAGAATGTCACGCCTGCCGAATTGGAGCCGCTCAAAGCAGTGACCGCACTTAAGCCAGCAGGCGATCAATATCTGCAGCTGCCACAGCGCACAGATGCGCCACCTTCCGCCGGCGGCATCGGTGGAGGCAATGGACTCTGTCGCTCCAACAGCGTTGGCCACAATCTCAGACCCGGCCTGGTAAGTGCAACCACTAATCCTGGCCAGCTGCCCGCTATTGCCTGCTAAACGTAGATCTTCGCAGAACAATAGCTCGAATGGACTGCTGAATGACGAGACCCGTAATGCGCCAACGGTGGTGAAGAGCACCAGCAACAATGACCTCGGCCGCCAATTTGCTAGCCAGCCGCAACTGATGCCCCTGTGGGAGGTGCATCGGGAACGTAGTGCCAGCGGCACCATGTATCGCCCGGATGCCCTTTACCAGGTAAGCGCCAACCACGCTCTGCTTTACGTTCAGTGTAATTTGCTTATGTCAAATGGTTAAAAAACAAAATTATAATTTCACTAAATATTTGATTGCATTTTTATACTCTGGCATCGAAAGTAAAAGAGTCTATTCTGTCATTTGTTTTGTAAAGAGATGAATCTTGGAAACAAATTATCGTTACTTAAAGTGAAGGCAACAGTAAGATAGAAGACAAAGATTACAAGTCGATATATCCCAACGGATACATCGATAAGTCCTAGACTCATCAATTTTAAATGATAGATGACGGACAACCTTTTTCAAAGGTCGAGCCAATAAATAATTTAAATAGAAAACTTGACAGACTTAAGTATGTATGTAATATGTATTCCATTTATTACTTTCAGGGCTCTCTGCACAATATACCGGAGTACGTCAGCTCCCGCAATGAACTCTCCCGCTCTCGGTCTGGCTCGAACATCATCAAGCGCTATGGATCCCTAAGACAGAGTCATCCTTTGGCCCAGAGTCAGGTAAGCTTTGCTATATGCAAACATTTGTTATTGTTTTCTTTCGCATGCCAAAGGTTTTATTTGGATAATGCTAGTGATTGGTTACTTAGGGCTAACAAAAAAAAACCATTCCTTCGGTCCGCCGAAGTTGAAATATCCTTGGAAGCAGAGTTCTTAAAGCAAAGTAACAATTTTCCTGCAGACAAAAATTTAACAAAATGTATATTCGAAAACTACAGACTGATTTTAAAAGTAAGCAAATATTTGTGTAAAAGAGATTATTAATCCCTGAATTTGATTTCAGGAATCTAAAAAAGGTATTCAATATTTGTAAATAGTCACAGACATTTAAAACACGCTGATGTTTAACAAAACTATAGATATAGAATCTGTAGTTTTTTGATATGAATCAAGTGTCAGCTGAAAACGCTCTGAAACTTTGTAAAGTCTTTTAAGTGCTTCTCTGAAGTTCCAAGGATAAAAACAATTCGAATTCGAATATCGTCTCGGCAACTAGACCAGAAAGTGATACCACAGCCAGCTCAGCATCTTGTAGAGCAGATATATGAGTATGGCTCTGTAGACGACTGTCTTGCTGCAGTCAGAAATAGATAACAATCAGTATCTATTAGATTACATTTGTATCTCGACTACTTACATGCGCATTATAAGCTGGGCACGGGGAAGAGTGCTCGGATGCTCTTTGAGCAGATCATGGCGTATGCTCAATATCATATTACTACAGGCGGACGTCAGGCGCTCGGGATTATAATTCGTACTGTATTCTTCGCATAGATCAAACTCGGTGCTGCATATGAAGATAATGTAAAAAATAAGTATATAAATTTAAACAAAAGTAAAACAAACATACCCCTTGGTTTCCTGCAGCAAGTGCTGAATTTTTGAGGTGCCGGGACTATCGTAGTTGTTGAGCATGAAGGGTTTCATCACCTCGAGCGTGTGGTAGAGCTTTCGCATAATTGGCATTAGCACCGGTGGGCGTCGGAAGAGCACCATCAGCAGATCAACCAGCAGTGCGGGTATTAACTGCTTGGTAAAAACCAGGAATTTGTAGACAAAACGATTATCCGTATAGTGGCAGCCCGGCACCATTAGATTGTTGAGAAAGGCGCCAGTGTACCACAGATCGTAGTCATCCATGTGATTAGCCATTTCCTTAAAGGTGTACGGTATGTGTGTGCGAGATGAGGTCTGAAACACCAACAGCTCCTTAGGCGTGCTAAACGATACGATACGATACAAACGGATCAAAGTTCAGATACTCCTTGAGGTATTGGGTATTGCCATATTTACCCCTGCTGGTAGGCATCGTAACCGCATTTGGTATAGTATATCATGCCCTTAATGCCCATATCCTGCGGCGTTATGTCCAGATGCACCGTATTTCCTATATATACGGTCTTGAGCAGTCCGGCACCAACAAGCGAAAATAAACCCATGGCGCCCATCAGAGAGGGGGCATAGCCAGGCAACGGATCACGTACCGCAAATAAAACTATTCAAGCAAACAGAATAAATGAAATAAGTAGAAGAGTGAGGAGCTTAGCTCGGAAGTGCATACCTATTGAAGGCCGATAAACGATAACAGGCAGGCGTGTACGATAATCGTTAATCAAGGATTCGGCCAGATTTTTTGTAAATGTGTACGTATTAGGAAATCCCACAATCAGTCTAAAAAATGAGGATTAATGTAAAGAAAGTCCAATTGCGTACCCCTTTCTTCAATCTCGAAATCAATGTCGTTTACCGGCTCGAAAAGCGCTCACTTTACTCTCCGAACGGAGTTTTGGGCAGTTGGTCGATTCCATTGCCATTGCTACTTACTTGCGGGTGAGCGCATCCAGCTCGTCATCGTCCTTGATCTCATGCAACAGACGCAGGCACAGGCGCCAATCCATGGGCGAGGAATAGTACTGGAAATAGATGGCAGGGTGAAGAGCTTAGCTATCGAGGCAATGAACTAATTTGGATAAGATAACAACCTTGGGCTCCACACGCTGCAAATACGGATTGCTGAAGAAGGTGGAGACGTGAACAAAGACCCGCAGATGACGCAGTTGCTCGGCAAATTTGAGTGCCTCCAGAGTGCCGCCCACATTGAGCTGAAGGGCGACGCGCAACGGTTCATCAAAGCGTACCGTTGCCGCACAGTGAAACACCAGCGAGACCTGGGTGAGCAGCTTTAGGTGGTTGGCATCGATGCCCAGTGCCTGCTGCGAGACATCTCCCGGTATGGCAACCAGTTTGTCCAGCTCGTTTGGCTTTTGGACACGCAGCACTTGAAAGATCGCGGCCTGTCGGAGCTTGGCCAGCCGCTGCTCGACGTTCAGCTCTCGGCGCGGACGAAGCAGCACAAAGATGCGTCGCACATTACAGGATCGGAGCAGCTTCTCGATCAGTGCCTTGCCAACAACACCGGAGCCACCTGTCACAAAGATCTCGGTGCCCTCAAAGAACTCGGCTAGTGGTTGCGTCATTGCCATGCGAATCTTTATCAATATATATGGGTATATATAATATGTAAATTGGCATTCGCAAGAGCAACCAGCCAGTTGTTGTCAGCGTTACGAACACAGACGCACTAACTGCAAGAAGTGCCACATTTTGTCACTGCTACCTGTTTCTCTGTCTCTTTTCACGACCTGCTGCAGTTCATTCCATTATTCATTAGATCGTCAGGAATTAAACTTACATGAGCTGCTTACTTATGTATAGCTCATTACAATGTGCGTGTATGTTAATTGGCATGCGTAGCCGTCCAACTCATTATCGTGCTCCATCCCCCTTGCCCCCCCTCGAATGTGCAGCGGGCAGCCAAAGCAGTCGGTTCGGCCCTTGTTTCAATTGCTATTAGTGAAAATCCAGAAGTTCGTATCACTGTTAAACAAAAAATATTATAACTTGAAGAACTCAAGTCCATCATAAGTAAAGATCATCAACACTGAGATATACCACATGTAAAATCGATACAGTTATGGAAATTGCACGTCTGGGGAAAAAACCATTCTGTTGGCTGTTAGTTGGTGGGAGGAGGAGAAGAAGTGTGATCAGGTGGACTGGGTGACCTGTTTCCCAGATTGTTCAAATAATTGTAGAATGGTTTCCCGTGAAATCGGTTCAGTTTGCTTAGTAGTACGGAACAAGAGATGTTGGTTTCTCTCTCGCTTTCTCTCTTTCAACACTGTTGATGACTACTTTCATCAACCTAATACTATTTTTCATAATAATACTTAAAAAAAATTTCAAAAATACAGAAGAAAGTCATTCTTAAATGAAATTCGAAAAATAATGTACTCGGCTGCAATGCTAGGCTTTACTGTACGAATGTCCACTTTGGGCTATATCTTGCTCGGCAATTGAGCAATTAAGTTTGGGTTCCATCGCTGGTTTTTGGGTGTAAGTCAAACGAAAAGTTCCTGTGAGGATCTCTCACGACGTGAAGCTTTTGCTAAAGATTGGAGTATAATTCTAATTACTTCGAAATTTAAAGTAATTTATGTATGCTTTTACAGGAGGTGACCAAATGTTGCGGCTGTATCAGTTGCTCCAAGGAGACGCGCGACACGTTCGCCGAAATGATGAACTTCTCCCTGCTGAAGGATGTGATCTTTGTGGTCTTCGCCATATCGAATTTCTGCACAAGCATCGGTTTCAATATGCCCTATCTGTATATAGTTCCCCTGGCGAAAGAACTCAATATTAGCGCAAAGGATGCCAGCTATCTGATCTCAGCAATCGGCGTTGCCAATACCATTGGACGCATCATTCTCGGCTATATAGCCGACAAGCCTTGGGTGAATCGCTTGCTCGTCTATAACGTCTGCCTCACTATTAGCGGCATCGGTGAGTGGTGACAGCCAAATTCAAAATTCAAGATTCGATCTAATCCGTTGAGTGTTTTTATTTTTGTCATTGCAGCCACGACAATGGTGCCACTGTGCCTAGATTACAACTCACTGCTCATTTACTGCTGTGTGTTTGGGTTCACCATTGGCGCCTATGTTGGTCTGACCTCAGTCATATTGGTGGATCTGTTGGGCCTGGACAAGCTGACCAATGCATTCGGGCTGCTCTTACTCTTCCAGGGCGTTGCCACGTTAATTGGCCCGCCCATAGGCGGTAAGATTTGGGCAATCGATATCTCTTTCTACTTAACTACAATTTTGGAATATCCCATTTAATTGCAGGTTGTTTGTACGACATAACGAAATCATATTCGCCGGCCTTCCTCTTGGCGGGCGTGATGATTGCCGTCAGTGGACTGGTCATGTTTGTCATTCCCCCGCTGCAGCGTTATCTGGCCAATAAGGCTAAACAGAAACCAAATTGCGAGCAGATGGCGCTCAGCTAGCTCTGTTCTCATTGGGCGCTAGGGCGGGACAATGTTTGAACATGTAAATTGTAATTTTTTTACTCTTTTTTTTTGCGTGTAGCTAGTAAGGAAAATATATAATGAACAATTGGGGAAAAAAAAAGCAAATGCAACTGCGTGCAGTACGCGGCGATAGACAATATATGCACACACACATACACAAATACATACTTACATACATACATACATACATAGTGTGTATGTACTAAGTAGGCCTACATACATAGATGGATGCACGTGTATTCATAGCTATAGCCATCAGTTATTTATAAAGAACCTATCCAATAGGAAAATTGGGGGAATAACAACAATAACACAACCGTCAATTTCTGTTTACAGTCTTATTTTGAACCTATGCGTACTTTGGAGTACTTATTAATTGCGTTTATACTCGGCCCGCGTGCATAAACAGGCAAACATAGATACACACACACACACACATATATATATATATATATATATATGTATATTTTGTTTAGTTTTAATAGATTGAAAATTATATTTACTATTATGATATTTGCTGTACCATTAAAGAAAAGCAACAACAATTTTCGATATACAATTTTATTGGAATTTTACAATCGGTCATCAAATGTTTATTTATCGATTCGAGAAATCCATACAATGGATATTTACATGCATATGTAAATATATATATACATATGTATGTGCATGTCATTAACACAACATAATGCTAAATGTACCACATATCGAATACGTATCATGTAAGTACAGTTTCAATTGTGTTGTCTCTGTCTCTCCGACGACTTCATCGTTGGCTTTTATTTTGGCTTTGGCAAAGCTCATCTCTTCAGTGTGTGTGAGCAATGCGACAGAGAAGAACAGCTGGAATTGTAATGCTCGTTACGCTCCCCTCCTCATCATATGGTATGTTGTACAATACCTGTGCAGATCGGAGTGTGAAGTAAAATCCAAGAAAGGAGCCTAAGTTACGGACCAAAAACCAAATGAAGTAAGCCTCCTAACTAGTTAGCTTGATCGACTTGCCGTTGACGCTGGCCAATAACATATATGTATGACAAAATAATAATACCCCATAAATATAAACCATGCCGCATTCTTATTCATTGAATTTTTAGTATTTCAAAACTAATTTCACAAACTTTTCGATACCAATTTGATACACACTCCGCGAAATTCGATTAAAGGCACTTGAGTTTTTCCTTATAAAATTGATAATAAAATTTTAAAAATGGTTTTTTCTTACAGAAAAGTTCTTTTAAATACAAGTCAAATTAAAAAGGAACTAAATTTGTAAAATTAACATAACATTTTTTATTAATTCTATTTGTTTAAAGTGAGGTTAAGGCACGAAATTCGATTAAAGGCAATTAATACATGAAAATAACAAATTAATAAAGTGTTCAGCCTCCAGAATTGATAACAACTAAAAGAATTCCATTTGATATCGATTCAACAACTTTTTAGAACTCAGATAGTGGGATTTTGGACTGTTCTTTAACGACAGCCTTTGCAGCTGCTCAACTGTCTCAAACTGTCGATTACCCCCTTAAACTCGACCGATCAGATTTCACCACATGTTCTTTATGGGATTCTGCTTGGGTGATCTTCCTGGATCTTCCTGGTCACTCTAACAGCTTAAAATTCTTATCCCGAAATCACCCACGACAGGCCCGCGGCACATGTATTGGAGCATGATCCAGTTGGAATAAGGCATTTGGGTCTGGTTGATGCTCCATAAAGTTCACCAAAACTTCTTCCAACAGGCTTATGTAACCCTCCGAGCTCATACGGCCTTAAATTTCATAAATCGGGGACCTCTTGTGATGACTGAATGCAGCCCAGATCATAAGTGAAGCACCGCCACAGCTTCAAGTAGGGAAAAATCTCTCAGACTTGGTTAAATCTTGCCAGTAATCATTTAAACCGTTTAAATCACCGAAGTTAAATTTTTTCTCACCAAAAAGTACCACATTTTGCCACTCTTTGTCCAAGATATGTGTTCTTTTGCAACATTTAATGTGCTTTGACCATATTTTCTTCCAAACCAATGGATCACTACTTGATAAAATTTCATGAATACTATGTTGCGATATTTTTAACCCTAAATCAAATATAATTTTATATGCCGTATCATTTTTATCCAGACCAGCCCATAGGATTGCAGATGTTGTTTTTTTGGCATTATTTGTTGTAGTTTTCTTTTAATTTGAACATGTCATCATCTGCTGATGCCGCTCGACATAATTTAATTTATATTTGTCTGTTGCTCATTCCAGTACCCTTGCAAGCAAACATCTTAGCTATATCCTCAGGTTAGAGTGTTTTTTCTCTGCCATTTCAAATTTTTGTATGCTTCTAATTTATTTTTACCTGAAAAATATTAAATAAATATGTATACTTTATTATCCCATTCAAGGAACTTTCGTATAACGCCCTATTTTCTTTGACAAACGTTATGCAGTGAAGAAGAAGACGAAGCACCATTATTAAATGTGTAAACAAAAACCCCTGAGGGATGGTACAGTTTTTAGCACCATAATTAATCGAATTTCGCGGAGTGTATATCGAAGCAGATCCCCACGATTCAATTGGTTCAGTCTAAAGCTCCAAGTCAATGTCTTACTTTATTCACATTGCTCTGTCCAGATTGAGCCATTCTATATATGAATATATATATATATATATATTTTTTTTGTTTTTGGAAACACTCTTAAAATATTGTTAGACTTTGGATTTCGATTTGTTAACTGCCAAATCCAAATTGGAATTATTCGACAAATTTGAATGAAGTACTTACATAACCATAAATATTTGAGTGCTCGTTGTGAGATTCTATTTTAATCGAAATGACAAATGACAAGATTTCTAAATCGAAAACATTTCGACTTTCACACAAGCGAGAATCCCATTTGAGTTGGTTTCTGCCATTCGATTTTTCGGTTGAGCTCATGACAGCTGCCACAAATATGTCTTGAACATTGACAAAGGAGGGAAGTATTGCGCTGATGTTGATTTTGGGAGAGCAGCGAAGGAGGGGGTATGGGGGTAGGGGAAGAAGGTATCCTGTGGAACACTGTTGGCAGCGATGTTTTTGTTAAGAGCTCGATTTTTATTGTATTCCTTAAGTGATTACAAAATAGAGGGGAAAAAAAAACACTTTTCACTAGATACCACAACTCAATTGCCAACAGCTGACCCAACTAACACACACTAACACACATACACGAACAGACACATACACAATCAGACACACACATAGTTGGGTGAGGGGTCGGTCAACTGTCGGCTCCCACTGGATTAGGTCACTTGATCTCCTCATTGATGAGCTTCTTCAGTGTACACTCGCCAGCGCCAAGCTTATGTAATATAGCCAGAATCTCCTCGCGATATCGATCCTTGTGGGCCAGCTCCTCCGGCGAGTACTCCTCGGCGCCCAGTCGTGTCATGCGCCAGATGACGTTGAGCTTGGCCTCGATGAGCACATAGTTGGAGGGCGGACAAAACCGCGGACACAGATCATTGATGAAATGTATCATGTCGCGAACACTGCACGTGTTAATCCGATTGTTGATCGTGTTGAGGGCAAAGTCCTGATAGCGGGCCATCTTTGAGTGTGGGAATACATTCTCACAGCTGAGGCAGCGCCAGTCTGGCTGCAGTGTCTTCGTCTGCACGGGTATCACCAGCCCCTTGCAGCCCTGCTCCCGGCAGAACAGCGCCGCCAAATAGGTTCCATTCTCCTGTAAACGAGACGAGTGCAATGCAAATCAGACTGAGTTTCAAGTGAGTTTTTAAAAGAGATACCCATTTTTTTTTTATTGGGAAAGAAAATATAATCGGCATCGATGGCTAGAGAGGAATACGGTTTTTTTTTTTTTGCTGCACTGGAACTGGTTGTTCTTCGAATACAAGTTCTTGGCAATGATCATTTCCAACGCTGTCCCCGCATTGTAATATTTTCTTTTTCGGTTCATTCAAAAAATTTCCGCATTATATAGCTTTAAATATATCATGTTGACCTTATTGTTGCTTGTTATAATAGCTATTTTAGTCATTAAGCTGCTGCAACGTCCGGCATATAAAGATAGGAACATGGAAAATCAGACACTTGTGGAACAAATCAGTTCGGCTTACAAGTAGATACCCATGTGCTCCTAATAATAACATTTTAATTTTTTAACAGAAACTCAGCCAACTCAAAAATTGAAAAGCATTAAGTAGCCGCACATGTCCACCTGTTCTGACCACTCATATATTCATTTTTAGTTATTTTGCTGCTTGTATGCCTTTGTATTCGGCGGCGTCATTTGCATAACCCGACATAGCGACTCTGATGGATGCACTATAGTATTGATATAGTGGGGCGGGGCGGGGGCGGTGGCGTGGACGGACATGTCATTCATGTTCGAAAATGCCCAACACAATCCAACCCAACATCCATCCCCAATCCGCATCCCTCCATCCCCGAGCGCCAGCAGCAGCAGCAGCTGTCTTAGGTGTCTGTGCCGCTTAGTTGTCAGTGTTGTGGTTCTTGGTCTGGGTCTGGGTCTGGTCATGTTGCACTAATGAGCTCACGCTCATGTTCCCGCTCACGGCCTCAAACTACTTACAGGTTAGTTGTGTGTATATGAGGAATACGTGTGTAAGCGGGTCGGCGGGGCTCTACGGGGTCTGCGGGCCAGTTCTGCATCATCAGAGCAAGTTCATGCAAAAGTCATACAACTAATCTAATTAAGCGCATTTTTGTCATGTCGCTGCCAAATGCTATTATTCATCTAATCCAAAAGATATGTATATAGATATAAGGTAGAGAGCGCGATATAATTTTGATGAGCATATTTGCTCATCACACATAATACACACGGACACAACATGTATTCAAACACTCACACGCCGCTGCAGATTCTATTCAAAGATTTTCTTGAGAGACACAGGCACATTTCACATTTCAGAAATTCCAATAATTGTTTTTTGGCTGTCTAGAGATGACCATTCCCAGGGTCTCAATCTCAACAAACCTTCGGATCGATCCCACAATGTGAATGGTCGTTGTGAGCCAATTTTTCCAGGAAACAATTTTCCCCAAAAGCGAATCGGAAACGAGTCTTTATAATTTAAATATTGTACTTAATGATCTCTTACATACATCGAGCGTATACAAAAGCTCTAAGCACATTTACTCACATAAACTCAACTTTTTATTAGTGAGAAAAAAGTTGCAGCCCTAATTAAAAATCAATCATTTTTACTCAACAATGTGTTAAATAAGATTCAATAATAAGTGATAGGATTTTGGCATGGTAAAAATTAGTTTGATCGTAATTAGGTTGGAAAACGGATTTCACTAAATTTAAAAGAAAATGTTTTCATTTATCTAATGTCAACTAAAGTCAGTCGACAGAAAAAATACAATAACAATAACAATATGAATTGAATAATATTAAAGATACAATTTAAAATAAAATTTTAATTAAAAAATGAATGCCAAATGGTCCAACATTTGTTGCATGAGTTGCGGAAAACGCAGAAAAAACCCAATCAGACCAAAAAAAAAATAGTTACTATGAATTAGTTAAGTGCCACCATTCGAAAAATGTATTCACGAGACAGGACGATTAAAATTGAGTTTTTAAATATAGAAATGGATGATGCTGAATGGATTATATGATAGAGTCTATTGCAATCATTAAATTGTGCTCATGCAAGGAATAATTAGTGGGACAACGATGAAGAAAAAGTGCGAAGAAATAACGAGACGGTCTAAAGGGAAAAGAAAAATTAAATTAAATTATCGGTGTATGGAGGCAGTGCACCCCTTTCATAGCGACGAAGAGCAACAAGTAAGAAACTAATCTGCACAGACTCTACTCTGGCGAATCGGACATTGAGCAGACCACACACAAGATCCGTATTCCAGAATTAGACGTTCAAGAGAAGTGAAAAGTATCTTGGTCGTATAAGGGTTAACAAATAAACCGAGATCTTGAAAGGCTTTGTTGACAGTGCATTTACAATGACGATCGAATTTTAACTTTGGATCGAGAAGTAAACCTAAATCATTTACTTCATTCAGTCTATCAAGTGGCATCCCATTGAGCACGGAACTAAAATCTTGAGGAGAGCTACGATAAAATTACACAAGCTTTCAGTTAGAAGAGTTACATTATTATCAGGCAATAAATTTAATTAAATCAGATATAAGTTTTCTTGTACAAATATAGAACTAATTCTTGTAACATTTAATGAACAATTTGTTCTTAGTTTAAATAGAGTTTGCTTTTACTCTCTGTTCATAGACTGGCTATTGGTAAGATCTAATGAATTGTCACTCATCCACTCGCAAAAGCATTCAACTTTTCATAATCATTTTTTCAAATTTTCAGCTTGTTTTTAAAAACTTAGAAAAGTGATTTGTAAGCAATGTTTATGAGTTCATCTGATTACCAAAGTTAGTTATTGAAAATAGCTTCAAAACTTATTATAAGAGCCGCAGCTTATCATCGGATTGAATCCGATTGAAGGCTTATCGTTCTCATCAAAAGCAATATGTCTATATACATATACATATCTGCTATAAGTCTTAATGCAACTAAGGTTCATATCTTCCACACTATTCTGATTCTATTCTAATTATCTGCTTACTAAAATTGATCAAATCAATGCTTGCCTTTAATCGCCAAATCATTTAAAAGGAAAGCACACAACTTGAAATGAAACATGGCACTTTTCCAAGATAAAGAGTCTCAGCAAATAGCAGATGTAATCGTTTTGACTTAGGGATCTCGGACGACGAATAGCGGGTAGTGGATGGGTCTACTCACAGAGTTGTCGTTGCATCTGTCGCAGTTACACACAAAGTACTTGGTCATCTTGAGGAAAATGCCGCGCGTGAGATTGCTCCAGAGGATCTTGGTGTAGGTGGTGGTTATCTCGCCACCCTTGGGTATCGCCCGTGCCGCCCGCACCACCGCCAGACGCCCGTTCTCAAAGTAGTGGCTGGCATTGGGCGTGCACTCGTGGTTCATGATCGCCGTCAGCGGGAAGAGGCCGCGCAGCAGCGTCTCGTGGGTGTCGACGCGGCATGGTGCCTCGAAAGCGTTCGTATTGAGGACACCGACTACGCGGAACAACTGATCCATGAACGGTTTGTCTGTGGTTGGGAATTTGCGAAAACATTGCGCCGCCTTGATGATCTCCTGGCGATAGCCACGCTCGGCATTCGCCTGCATGGCATCCACCAGAGCACGCTGCTCCTTGCTCAAATAGAAAACGCGCACCGCCGTCAAAATGCGCAGCGAGAGCGGATTCACCACATCCATTTTATCAGCATCCGCTGGCGCACCGTTCACATCCGGCTGCACCTGTTCGTCGAGTTCCTTGGGATGCCAGCGCTGAAAGTGAGCGCACTCATTGCGATGCGACTCCGAATCGGCGCACTCAGCGCACACGGGCAGCGTACACAGATGCGGGCAGAGGAACCGCTTGGCGGACAACAGCTGGTGGCAGCAGACGCACGTATTCAGTTGGGAACCCTTCCGCGCAGTCGGACCCACAACCAAGGCGTGCTCGCGAAATATCAGCTCGCCGGCGGCAATGTCACGTGTCGCAAACACACCACGTCCGGCAACTGGCGATGGCGCCAGCATCCAGTTGGGCTGCTCCTCGCGCAGCTCACCCAAATGCACATCGATGAGCCGGGCCAGCTGCTCGGGCGTTGTATGCCGACTGGGCGCCATATGGGCCACCATTGTTGCCGTCGTATTCATGCGTGCCGTCATTCTAGCACACACACACACTCGCACACACACACACACACACACACACACTAGCTTTCTCTCCCTCTCTCTCTCTCTCTCACTCTCTACCTCTCGCTATCTCGCTCTGGGCAGGATCGGCAAGACGACGACGACAAACGTAACGAAAACGAGACGAAACGCAAAACGCGACGCGACGCGACGATTTTTTTCTTGTTTGGGTTTGGTGTGTGTGTTTAGCGTGTGATGAAGGCGACGCTGGCGACTCACAACTGCCAACTCGCAAACTGGCAAACTGGCGACTAGGCGACAAAGACCAGACCAGGCGAGCGCTGGGCAGCGACGTCGACGTCGATGGTGGCGGCGACGGCGACACCGACTGCGACGCCCTCAGAGAGCATTAAACGCAACTAGTAAAAAAAAACAAAAACACACACACACACACACACACATACAAATTAGAGGCAACAGCAGCAGCGACAAGAAATATGATTTTCCAAGGCGCGACGCACACACACACACATACACACGCACACATATATATATATATATACATATATACACATAGTAAAGCCGCTTACGCTTTTGCTGTTGACTCTTATTCAATTTTCTGTTGCATTCAATTGGATTCAATACAACAACAACAAGAAACAACAAACAACAACGCATGACAACCACATGCCGTGCTGACGAACATGCCACACACACACACACACACACACACACACACACACACACACACACACACACAGCAACACCTCCCTCCTCTTCCCCTTTATAATCGACCACCTCCCCTCCACGTACCCTCTATAGCTTTAACAACTGTCTTTTGCTTTTTCACTCATTTCGATTTGTCATTTCAATTTGTATTTTGTATGACGCCCCTCCTCTCCCATCCCCTCCTCAACCCTCCCAAAAACCCAAGCTCCTCTTGCCTTGCCTTAGCGCTGCGGTTGTGAGCCGCCTATAAATACAAAATGTCGACGTGTACAACTACAATAGCCGCCACAACTCACAGCTTTCAGCCCTGGCCAAGAACCAGGCGGCACGTGGTGATATCGTCGTCGTCGTCGTCGCTTTTGCGGCTTCCGCTGAAAGGCGGTCCCCCAAAACCGCTGTTGCAGTCGCAGCAATTCCCACCACACACCACACACCGCCCCCCCATTTGCCTTCTCGCAGTGCTTTGTGGGCGTGGCACGCGTTAGGGATTTCACTTACCTTGCTTCCTCCTTCCTTCCTTTTTAGCTTGCCACTTCTTCGTTTCTCTGGCGCTGCGTGCTGCCGCCACATAAATTAGGACATCCCCAAGCTGATTGCGTGCCGCGGCCCTGACAATGGCCAACAGCCAAATGGCATCATCAGGCCGAACAACATCACATGACACGTGACCAGGTTTGCTGCAGGTGACTGGCACACATTGTCACCAAACAAAAAAAAAAAACAAAAAACCAGACACACACACACATTGCGTATACGCGCAACCTAGAAAAAAAATTTAAGAAAAATGTTCGCCCTAAATCAGTTGTTATTTTATTATTTATTTCACAGTTTTTGACTTTGTCCGTGAACCAGCAAAAAAATATTACACGCTTAACCCTCACCGTCGACCTTCGACCGTCGACACTCGCCCCTCGCCCCTCGCCATCACTCTCACCCTCAATTCTACGTCCAGTTTCAGCTGGCCCAGGTTTATCAATACTAGGTTCGGCAACTGAGAATACTCTGAGAAGTGTTCCACACTTGATGTATGTATAAGCAAACATATTAAATAGCAATACCAACAAGAAAGCATTAAAAAAGAATGAAAAAGAAAAACAAATACCAAATTTAAACCACAAACAAACAACAATTTGTTTTTCAGTTTTCATTCTGAATAGAATATTTCTGCACAAAATTTATATTTAACATACCAATGAAATCCAACAAGAAAAATATGAAACGTTATAAGCAACAAGTAAGAATGTTCTATAGGCAGATACCCTGTAGCCAGACCTGAATTGAGTCAATAACTTATCATATCAAAATAAATGCAAACATATTCAAGCTGTATATCGAATGGTTATTTTTGGTTTTTTCTGGTTTATTTTTTCGAAATGAATCGAACCTCTATTCCGAAAACTTGTGGGTTTTTTTGTGAATCTTGTAAAACAGAGCATTTATCGGAATCATCTTAATTTCATCATTAATTTCTAATGGAACAATTTTACTTAAAAGTCTTAAAGATACAAGAAGAAATTCATAAGCAATACATTAATTCATTAGTAAAATGATTTAAGAGTAACGAATAAAATACAATTTTTAAATGCAAATATTTACTCTATTTTTAGAAGATATCGGATATCCATTCCTTTCAGCTCATACTTACATTATGCCTGTTTGAATATACCCTTTTTTCACATTTCATTTGAATCGGGAAGCACGTCAGTTGAGTTTTGATACATACGTCTAACTGTCTGTCTGTCTGTCTGTCTGTCCGTCTGTCTGTGTGTCTGTGTGGCTGTGTGTCTGTGTGTATATATGTATGTGCATATGTGGTCTCGCATGTGTCGCGTTTTCTGACCAAAAGCCAAAGATTTACAACAACAGCGCCCCCTGGCGTGCCGAATGTGCGTGCATGAGCACACCAAACTGACTGTGTGTGCGAGTATGTATGTGTGTGTGTGTGTGTGTCACTCTCTGATTGTGTGCGTGTGTATTTGTACTTGAACTAGTTTGGGCCTCCATTAGCTCTTAACCTGGCAACTTGCCCAGGCCCATGGGAATATGCATTATGACATGCCATGTGACACAAGTACAGTGAACAGTGGGGGACGGGGGGGTGTACTGATTTGGAGGGGGTTGATGTCAGTTGCGGGGCATATTCGTTCATTCAAAATATTTAACAAGAGCAAAAGCAAAGAGAAAGTGGGCAAAAGCGAGAGCAAAGCCGAAAAAATGTCGATGCTGATGCTGATGTTGATGTTGATGTTGGCACATGCAACAAGTTGTCATTCAGAGCATTTGTTTTATCATTTTCTTGAATGAAAGAGAATGGGAACAGTGTTTTACGAGTACTCGAGTCTGTCATGTCTCTCGTCGCCAAGAGATGTCCCCGTAGGCAGTTTCATATGTTTGTGATCGTTTCGCATTCATTCACTTGCCAAAGCGGCTTTCTTTTGAATTCACTTTTCGTGTTAATGATTTGCTTATCATCTGCGCAGAATGAACAAATAAACTATTCATATATTATTATTATAAGAAGTAAGTCTTGTCGCTCTGCCCCGTTGTGTTTATCAAGTTAATAATCACTTTAGCATTGTGTACTAATTAATTTGCTGATTGGAAGCTGCCAGTAGAATTTGAATTTCAATTTAGCCACTGCAGACAGCAATTGGCTCAAATGGGCCATAAATCAATTCATTTCGCAGTGTTGATGGACACACAGGTGAATGAACCTGGAAACCAAGTGAGTACCGAGTGCAGAGATATAGTATAGATATAGTATATATATAAACAAAAAAAAAGAAAGGAAACGAAACGAAACGATTCATTGATCTCGAAATGCATAATTACGCGCATCGCATGTATCTATTGCCCCACATACAGTTGCAGCTATAGATACAGATACAGATACAGATACAGATACAGATACAGATTCAGATTCTGATACAGATACAGATATAGATCTGTTGCTATTTTGGTGTGTGAGGAGCACGTTGATTGCGACACACTGAAATGCGCTGCTTGAATGAGAGGGGAGGGAGGAGGAAGCATAGGAATAGGAATCTATCTACACATGGCGTAGAGCTGTAGAATAACGGTTGATATGGTTAGTTAGCTCACCGTTGGATCCTGACAGCGCGGACATCGGCACATGAAGTGCTTCGTCATGCCGAGAAACATTTTGCGCGCCAGCGTCGACCAGAGGAGCTTTGCATAGGACATGGTAATCTCGGCGCCCATTGGTATCCGCTCCGTTGCCGTCACCACAATCGTTTCCCCATCCTCAAAGTGATGGGCCGCATTCGGCGTACACTGGTGGTTGAGCAGGCCGGCAAGAGGGAAGAGAGCACGTGCCACCACCTCTTGGCCATCGATGTGGAATCGGCTCTCGAAGGCGTTCGTATTGAAGGCGCAGACGGTGCGATAGAAGTACTCCAGCAATTCCGGGTCGCGTGGGAACTGCTCAAAGCACTCCGCGGCACGCTCCACCTCGCGAATGTAATATCGATCCGCATTCGCCTGCATTGCGTAGAGGAGCTTCCGCTGCGGCTCGTTGAGGAAGAAGCAGCGCACCACGCTGAGGATGCGCAGTGCCTGCGGCTCAATACCGGCCTTTGTTGCTTCCTTTGGCTGCCACTTGCGGAACAGCTGGCATTCGGGCGTGTGCCGCGTCGAGGACGCACAATTGCCGCAGACGGGCAGGCCACAGCCGGCGGGACAGAGGGCGGAAGCATCGCTGTCGCCGGGTGGCTGGCCATAGCATTGGGTGCAAGTGCGCAGATTGCGTCCACGATGCGCCGTTGGCCCCACGAGAAGTGTGTGCTCGCGAAAGATTAGCTCCCCCTTAGCAATATCGCGCAGAGCAAAGATGCCACGCCCCGAAATAGGAGAGTCGGCAACACGATACGATGGCGACTCCGCACGCAATGCACCCAAATGCTCATCGATTAAAGTGGCCAGCTCCTGCGTGGAGGCGCTTATCGCCATCTGTGGCACTGCCTGCGTCAGCTGCTGCGACATTTCCGCACTCAATTCACTTCAATTTGGATTTGTTTCTTTGTTTGTGTTATTGTGCGGTGGGGAGGGGGTGTTCACAAGCGAATCGCATAAAATCGAACCAAGTCAAAGCGAACCGAACCGAATCGAACCGAATCGAATTGAATCGAATCAACCTTTCTCACTCTCTCGATAATCGAATCGCAACTGACGCGTTCCCAATTCTGCCGATGTGGCTGATCTTGGCGATGTTGATGTCGATGTCGATGTCGATGCGGTTGATACCACGGCTCGCTCTGATTATATCACAACATCTGAGTATCTCAATTTCTAGTTATCTCACTACAGTGCTACCTCGGCAATTGGAATGCTTCCGCTCCAGCGCTATATAATTTTTAAAACAATTTGCAGCTCTTGCCTCTCCAACAGTATATACAGCAGATGAAGGATTATGCACATACATATATACAAAAATATTATTCAAAATACGTATTCAAAAGTGTTTAAGAATGGCAGAAAAAATAAGTATCAAATTTAGATTTTCTTTATTTTGCATTTGCAATGCATTCAAAATAATTATTTTAATATCAGCACAATTCAGATTACTAATATTATTTTTCTATATCAAACTGAAAAAACCAATGAATACAAAAATTAAATACCTATTCCGTTTGATCAATTCGAAAGGGGTTCTTACCAAATTCTATTATATACCGAAGTGTAAGAAAAAACACGGGCAAATAATAAATATTAGCGTAGTAGAAAGATGGAAGTTAAGGCTTGGACATTCAGTTTATATAGCAGCTTTTATAATATCTGATCTGACAACGACACTTAACGGTTTATTATGAGAGAGCTGTCGAGTAGAAATAACTATATAATTTTTGACTCATCGAAATCATTCAAAAAATATATAAATACAACTTTAAGGAATTGAAGCAGTCGCCTTCAATGCATAAATTAAATATTCTCAGCAAGCACATACTTGTGAAGTTTGAAAAGAAAATAATGCAATTCATGCATTGAAAATTACGATTCTATGGCGCGTGAGTGACTACTGTACTTCAGTATCCGCTGCGCTCTGCACGATGTTCAACCCGAGGCATGGAGGCAGCAGGCAGCAGGCAGTTGTCTATTATTAGTTTGCCTCACTCGAAGCGAGCGAGCAGCTAGCTGAACTGGCCTCTCCAATTTCCACATTTTCCAGTTGCCTTTGACTGCAGGCGGGTGGTAGAGATGTGGATGGGGGTTGTGGTTGGGGGTTGGGGGTTGGCTGTTAGCGATAAGCAAATTGGATGCCGCACAGTCAGCCGCCTAAAAGCAAGCAGCACGTTTGCTGCAACACTCTTGTGCTGCGCTATCGGATTACGTTGCGTATACGCAGGGCGACAAGGCAACTGTGTCACCAGCAAATTACGCATACGCCATGTCAAGTGCTTCACTTCACTGTGCAATGTAATTATATATTTCCCTTTTAGCAATGTTTCTGGAAAATATGACATGCAAAAACCCAAGAATATAAAAACCTATTTATTGCTGTCGGCTTGTAGAAGAGTACAATTTGAATATTTAAACAATTTTAAAAATATATTTGATTCATTTCACAACAAACTTGTCAACAATTGTTGCCTATCTTAGTCGTTTATATAACTATATAACTATCCGGCCAAATCGATTGACATTCACAAATTTGAGGTGTAGAAAAAAATGTTTGAGAAAAATGACACAAGTGTCCTTTGAACTTTAGGTAGAGCAAGCAGGAAGATAAAATTGCCATAGCCTTCTAGAGCATGGCAAGTTCTATGTTAAACAATTAATTTTCACCAGAACTACTAACTGACCGAAGGACATCCGCAATGTTTTTGTTACTTCCGAGATGATTTCAATCGCCTTGTGAGCACAATTTTTACAAGAGTCTGGTTCACAGATGACGCACGTAATCCTTCAATGCAGTTCGTTAGTTCCTTGCGAATCTACTGCACCACATCCTTTCTTGTAGATTACAAGGATATGGCCGATTTAAGAGGCAGTTTTGTAGCCAATTTGTTAGTTGCCTGTGCGCCCCTAAAAGTATGCCACATCTTTTATTTTGCGTAAGGGCAATTTACTCAATGCAACAACCTAATTTACGTCACTGGTGCTGCAAATGCATCCACGACAAGAACCACCATGTTTTTTTACTTGGATTTTTTGCTTGCTCCACAAATCGTATGATTTCAGCAACGTTCAGCCGATAATCAGCTATATATGTGTAAAAATATACGAAATAAAGTGTCCACATTGAATTGTAACACTCGATAAATATATTTTATTTCAGTTATTTTTCTTGAACATGACACATAACGCGTTGATCATTTTAGGCTTAGTTGGTTAAGGGCTACTACTTCTAGTTATAACTATGCAAGTACAATGTGAATTAGGCACTCGATATACACATACATGTAGTTATAGTGTATATAGTATGAAGACATGTATACTTGTATATTCGCACATTTTCAAGTTAGTCAAAGATCAATTAACAATTTTGAGGGATTTTTTGGGGGCTCTGTAAATGCAGCTACAAGAACCAACTGACGATTAGTTGTGGTGAGGTTTTTTGTTTTTGTGGATGTTGCTCAACATATTCAATTGGATTGCTTTATATACATTGCACCTGAATGTGTGTGTGTGTGTGTGTGTGTATTATTGAGAGTTTGTGTGTGTGTATGTATATATGTATGTACATGTATTTATTGCACGTCTTAAACATTAAATTTATAAATACAGAAATGGAGAAAAAAGGAAACCAAACAAAACAAAACAGAAACAGAAACATAAACATATTTTTCGAGTGGTGGTAAAAAGGGTTTCGCAGTTGGGTATTTCTTTTAAGCAGAGCACATAATAAATAAATGTAGCTGGAGGAATTAGAGGGAGGATTACGGGCATTAATATTAAAATAGCATCAAATGTTTTAAGATTAGTATAGTTTATGTTACACAAGGCACGAACGTTGGATAACTCTATCAAAAGCCTAATTGCCTAGTACTGATACCACGGCTGGCGACGGACCCATTGCAGTCGATTGCTGGTGTGATCGGATCGTATCTTGATGCTGGCACCTTCGGCAGCGCGAACCGTTTCCTTCACCTAGAGAGAGAGAGAGAGATGTTAAATGGGGGAGAAAGAGAGAGGTGATTAGCTTAGGTAGATGTGTTTGGTTTAAATTCTACTCACGCTCTGCATTAGATTCTGGGCATTGCCAACGAGCATTTCGGTTGCCTCGCGATCCTCATCGGATCCTTGGGCGCCTAGCATGGTCGCCTTAACCGTGGACAGTATCTTGAGCTGGGTGCCAATGGTTGGAATGCGCTCGCACACCTGCAACAGATTGGTGCGAATGCGACGATCCGTGCACTGGCGCGCCAGCTCCTTGGCCAGTCGCGTCACATCCTCCGATGCCTCGGCGATCTTCTTGGCTGTCGAAATGAGCTCACGCTTGCTGCCACTCGAATCGGACAGTACCAGTTCGCTGAGGCGTGCCATTAGCTTGGCCATGCGCCTGGCCGCCGCAATGATCTCGTTGTCCTTGGACGACCACTGGCGCACTTCATGGTGCAGGCCACGAGCCGCAATCTGGCCGAAAAGATCAAATATAAACAATAGCCAAAGGCATGCGAAGTGGAGCTAACTTACAAGTATAGGCTGATTGGCATGAGGCATGGCGCGGAAGACGCCCTCATCCTCATCATCCGTATCCGGGGGTGGTGGACGCACGGGTGCCAAGCCCTCTCGTGGCAGTGGTGGACGCGGTGGAGCACGCTCCGCTGCCATACAAAAAGAAACACAGAGAGAGAGAGAGAGAGAGAGAGAGAGAGAGGGATAGAGGGAGAGGGAGAAAGCAAATGAGTCAAATTGGATTGAGTGCATGTGAGAAAGTATTGAGACGCACCATTCTGATTGGATAGATGCAGGGCACTCAGTTCCGGTATGGGCGGTGGCAGCGATGTGGGCAATGGTGGCGGCTGCGGTGGTGCAATGGCGTCACGCACCTCGCGCACATCGCCGAGCAGACGCTGGAATGATTTCTTCCAGGCGGCAGCCGCAGCGGGATCAGCGATATTGGTGGCCACCAATTTGGCGTCGCCAACCATAGCGGGCAGCGATCGTTCCAGATTTCTGGCGGCGGCATTCAGTCGCTCGGTGAAGATGGGATCCTCGGAATTGTCCGCCTCCTGTTTGGCCACGAGAAGCACCCGATTGATGAGCCGTGCTATGTTCGACGTATTGTCCACCATCTTCTGTGGCTGACGTGCATGGATGGCATCCTCGCAGAGTTTGGCATACACCTGCATTTGCTCCTCGGACGTCTTGATAAAGTCTGCCGGATCGGTGGCCTGGTCGCAGAGTGTCCGCATTCGCAGCACCGTATCCGCATACTGTTGCTTCAAATTCTGGAGATGCTCATCGGCCGCCTTGCTCGCCGGATAATTCATGCGTATGCGTCCGGCATTGATCAATTGCGGCGTCAACGAATCCACCTGTGCCGCCGATGACAACAGAATTTCAGCAATCTTCTTATTGCCACATGCCCCACCAGCCGCCACCATGCGCGACGTTTTCGAGGCGCGATCGCTGAAGGCCTGCAGGTTGTTGGACTTCTGATTGAAGTTCTGCTCGCGTCCGGGCGTTCCCTCCGGCATCATAACCGCCTCGGTGAACTGCTTGAGAGGCGTGCTCACATCCATAAAGTCCTGCACGATGCGATTGACCAGCGCATTCTGGACGGCCGCCTTCAGCTCGTAGAGCTTCTGGGTGAGCTGCTTGGCCGCCTGCTTGGCAGCCGGCCCAGTGCCGGCTGCCTGTCGCTTTAGTCGCTCCACTTCGTCGCACAGCTGCATTATCTCCGCCTTCTGATGGCCCGGACAGCCCTCGGCTACCTTACGTCCCTCCTCGACAATCAGGTTGATGGCACGCTCGCCGAGGCCGCCATCATTGATCTCCGGATGCTGCAGCCATTTGACCGCCTGCTCCAATCGACCCTGAATCGTATGCGCGGTCTGCTGCACACCGGCCTTATCAACGCCGAGCACAGCCTGTCGCACCAGACCCTGCAGCTCGCCGAGACGGCCATGAATGGCATTGGCCAGGCCCACCGCCTGGGGTGAGTTGCCCTTGCCATCGTGACGCAGCTCGCACAAATTGTTGGCCATGACGCTGATCTCGTCGGCCAGCTTGCGTATGGGATACGAGTCCTGGGGCAGGCAACGCTCAGAGATCTCGTTGGCATTGTCGATCACCTGACGCAGTGCCTTCTCGCCAACGCCGCCGCGCAGGGCATAGGGATTCGACAGCCACTCGTTGGCCAGCTCCATTTTGTTGCTAATCGCATTGCTGAGCTTCTTGAGCACGGTCAGATTGTCCAGTTCGCTGGTGTCCTCATCGTACGTGGTCAGCTGGAGTACGCGTATAATCTCCTGCAGTTCATCGCTCATGCGACCGGAGAGATAA